TAATTTGCTACCTTCCGAATGGTACCTTGAGTACCGTGAATCATTATTGGTAACTAAATAACTTAATATATATTTTTCATTTCCGCAGAAATCGCCACTTGTGGAGTTCCATCGCTGGATAGTGAAGATTTTTCACATTTGTAAGTACATATATTATTCTTGCCATGGTGACCTTAAGGCTCTGGGGTATGCATAGCGTTTGGAGAACAGTTATATAAACCTCATATAAAAAAAAACTAACGGTGTAGAAATATACATGGTGATCCATTTGGAATTTTTGAGGAACGGTACATTTTGCGTTTTGAGATCCCCTGTATAAATAGAAGGAAATTTCAGCACATTCCAGATAGCTTGAAATCAATGACAATTTTTTGTGAACCAAACTAAAATTTACCATGCTTCACTGCTGGTCTGACATGTCTCATTTTCAAATTGCTATGTTTTCTCCATAAATACAGTAATGGACAAAAGTATATAGACAAATTAATATTGTGCTGTATTTCTTTTTTAACTTGTTTTATTAATACATAATTCGATATAGCATAATACTCACTTATACATAAATAAATTCATTAGACTCCCTTCAGTAAAAAATTAATTGAAAAATCTGGAACTATGAAGGACAAAAATATATAGACAAAGCTAAACAATTATAGAAAAAAGAAGCAAAGTTCATTGAATTATAGAAAGCCAACCATGTTTGTGTTAATATTTTGTAGCATAACCATTATTATCAATCATCGCCTGGCATCGTCTCGGCATTGATTGCAGAAGTTTCTTGATATAAGATTCATCAATCTGTCTCCACTTTTGCTCTAAAGCGGCAAAAAGTTCATCCTTGTCTGAATAATTTTTATCTCGTATTTGCTTATCTAAGTATTCCCATAGATTTTCAATGGGGTTTATATCGGGAGACTGAGAACTGGTATGTTTTCATCCAGAAAGAATTTCTTTGCGAGATTTGAAGTGTGCTTCGGGTCATTATCTTGCTGGAAGATTGATCTTAAGGGCATATTGTCTTCCATATAGGGTAACATGACAACTTATCCATAATGCCATATTCTATGTAAAGGTCCCATCCCAAACCGCGAAAAGCACCCCCAAACCATAACAGACCCGCCTCCATGTTTGACAGTGGGCAAAGTGTACTTGGGGTTCAATCTTTCTCCACTAGGACATCTAACGTAATTCATACCATCTGATCCAAACATATGAACTTGGATTCATCATTGAAACATACCCTCTTCCAGTCACAGATGCTCCAATCAAGATGCAACCGTGCAAATTGTAATCGGTCCTTACTGTTTTTTCTTGGGCGACGTGCAAATAACTTCAAATCATTTAATCTTCTACTTATAGTTTTTGTAGAAACACTGACATTTCCTTTTGTCTCGATTGCAGCTTTTATTTGTCTTGGGGTTTTAAACGGATCTTTGGACGAAATTACTTTATTAATCTAACTGATCTAGCATTTAGTTTTCTAGGCCGACCACTTCTCTTAGAGGCTTCCAAGATACCTTTTTGTTTATATTTATTTAATATTGCCCAAACTGCTTTACGCTACAAATTTTTGGCAATGCTTATTCCTTAAAATTAAGCAAACACGCATTTCCTTGATCAAAGATTATGACGTTATCTTAAGATATCGGGACGAGATTAAAGGCAGGTAGGTCCCGGAGCATTGTGTTCGCTTGCAGTTTTTACTTTATTCTGAAAACTTGTTTGGTTTTTAAACAGCATTTGGTACAAAAAACGTTTTTCAACAGATCACAAAAACAGGTTTTTTTTCAAAAAATTGAAAACATGCCTTCATTGGCCTATTTTTCTTCTGTGTCCAAGTTTCATAAGTGTATCTCAAAAAAGTTATGATTTAGTTACGGGCGGATGTTTTACATAGCAGTATATAGGGGTACCCTAGAGCCTTAAAGCCTATAGTTTGCCTCTAGCAAAGTTAGATCCAGAATAAACAGCTGTGACAAATTCTCATACATACCACCTTATAAAATATCTTATTCAGTGGTACTGTCCACTCGTCACCTGACTTTCGATAAACCATTACAACCCAGCCCTTCAAATCATTATAATAAACTCAATTATTAAACCTTAAGCAATATTTGATATTTGAAACAACCTACTTTTGTTACAGACGTAACTTGATTCTGCTGTTTTATCATCTCTGAAATGAGCATTTCTGGATGGATTCTTTGGACATGGATATCGCGATACCAAATAGCATCAATTTTGAAGCGACGACCGTTGGGAGATCTGAAAGAAAAATCCCTTGGACAAAACGCCGAAAGTATAAGTTTGCATACATATGTATTTATGTGACTGCAAAATCTCTTCAACTTGAGATAGAGAGAGAGAGAGAGAGAATGTCTGGTGTAATATTTCACCAATAAAAAATATTCAAAATATGACTGGTATTTTTTTATTAAAATTTTTGTGTGGGAACCAAATGAAATTTTTCACACCTAAGCTGCCCAGTATTTCCAATCCTCCGTGTAAATGAAACTATAGTTGTAGTCACCGTTCTTGGCGGGTCAAAGTAAGACTACCACTATCCCTTTATACAGGGTGACTTCGAAGTTGAGTCATTCATTTTAACAGTGAGTAGATCTGATCAAAAGAAATGTTTTTTTCCTTTAACATTTTTCTGGTAAAATTAAAGTAACAAAGTTATAGCCCTTTAGAAGTTTGAGTACCGCCCTGTCTCAATAATAATATTATGTGCTCGTGTTTGGCAACAACGGATATAATCCGCATCGGAAACAAAAAAGCGAAAGAATTTGAAACGCTTATCACGATGTTTTTAGTTGTATTCAGTCGGTAACGCGTGAGTGAATAGTGGTATTTGTTGCGTGGCTCAAACGAAATAAAAAATGGCACATGTTTACGAAAATGCTGAACTTGTGGACATTATTCTTATTTACGGGGGGGGAGTCTTTACAAAATCGGTTTCCCAATCGAGTGCAACCAACCCCTCGTGCCTTTGTTAATGTAGTACAAAGGGCTCGTGAATCAGGTGACTTAAGACCTCACAGGGGACCTCACGATCAAATACAGGTCCGCACTGAAATACTTGTCAGGAGGATACTTTATAAAACAAGGTAAATTTTTTTTTTATTTTTACACACATTTTGGTTTATCTTCCTTCTACAATCACTATCTGAAAATTAATGACTCAACTTCAAAGTCACCCTGTATATCTCAATCTCCCTCATACATACACATGCAACCTACCCCTATGTGTGAACATTTGTTCGGTAAGCTCAAAGACATACGTTTTTTTAATTGCGTGTCTCAGTCTCGAAAGCTTTGTCGTTAATTAGTTTAAAAAAATAAAAATTCAAAGGATTTCCATATAAAATTTTCTTTTAACGAAACTTTAGGTTAGGAACAAGATATCGAGATGCGGTTTTCGCGAGCTTAGATTTAATTTTTTTAACCATTTCTGTCGGAATGTCGAAAAAGCCCTCTAGGGACCACATGTGAAACTAACAAAATTTCAAATATAACGTGTGTGTCCCAAGACCGGTTTTTTCAACTAGCCCAAGTTTGTTCAAATCTACTCGGTCGTTTCGAAAATATAGGGTGTTTTTTACGTCAAATTGACGTCAGGTTCGGAATCTATGCACTCCATTAATGCAGTGAAAAATGAAAGGTGTATCATGCAGTTCCCAGACCATACCCTATTCGTAGTCCATTTACGCCCCGGCACAACAAAGGTGCAAAGCGGCCATAAAACTACGAACAAGTGCAGGATTCTACAGGTTAGAACTCAGGCTCGAGGTATCGCCGGCACGCCGACGCCGGAAGTTGCTGTTGCATGTCGTCTACGGATACAGCAGATGAAACAGAATATTTCTCCCGATGAAAAAGGGACATTGGAATACTCGGGTAAAAGAAATTGTCCTTTATGTTTATGTGCACCTCTTTCTATAAAAATAATCATTTATTTTGTTAGATTATTCCAAGACCATTGAGGAAAATACGGACCTGTACAATCTCGCTTTCGGGCATGTTCGCATGTTGTGTTTTGTCTGGGCGTAAATGGACTACGAATGGGGTATAGCTCTGTAACTAACCGACAGCCTGAGCCTACTGTATAAATTATGGCAACAAGTGCAGAAAGTCGCCGACACAGAAAATCAAACTAGCACAAAAACACTAAATAAAATTTTTGTTTCACAAAACCGATGAGGAAACTGCACACTACTTTGTAGGGTTCTAAGCTGATTTATACCGTATTTCACAAGTATCCATCACGGTAGAATGACAGCTGATTATCTAGTAGTATCTCGAAATTCCCCATATTTGCATAGGACACAAAATTCTGACGGATCCGTCAACGTCAGATAGTCAGAGTCGTATTTTGTTTTAGTTTTTTGTACGCTACAGATTCATTTTGTACCAGCTAACAACTCTTTTATTTAGAAAACTTCATTTGCATACAAAAAACAAAACAAGTTTTACTAAGTTAACACCAGATTCATTATTGCCAACTTCACAGAATAACACAAAAATTATTTCACAAGTATCCATCGCGCTTTGACGTCTACTGAGGTGAACAGCTGATCAGCAAGGGACATTTTTGTGTTAGTCTACGACGTTGGCAATAATGAATCGAATATAAATCTAGTAAAACTTGCTGGTGGCGTATTGTTTTTTTGTATGCAAATGAACTTCTAAATAAAAGAGTTGTTTGTACAAATACCGAAACAAAATACGGCACTGTCTACCTGGCGTTGACGGATCTGTCAGAATTATGTGTTCTGTGCCGATATGAGGAATTTTGAGATATGACTAGATAATCGGCTGTCATTCTACCGCGATGGATACTCGTGAAATATTGCAGACACAGTCTCGCACTGCCACCTGTTGGTCAGTTGCTGAGCTAGTCTGACAACTTTTGGATACATCCACGTAGCCATCCTTATTCGATGATGGAAGCTGGAAGCATTAAAAGCTATAACTTGGTGGAATGAGAATAAAAATACTTTTTCTTTTTGAAAATATACTTTATTAGCAGTACTGGAATGAGCTTCAGTCTATAATGTATAGAGCTAACATTAAGTAAGTCGGCCTCGCTATTTTGATTTGCTACAAAATCACCAAGAGCTAAAATGTATCCCCACTGAGGAAATGACTAAAACTAGTGATTGAGCTCATATATTTCATACATATATGTGTAATGTGACATTTTCAAATTGTTTATACTGAAGTTGTATACAAATCGAGTTTTGTTTCTTACAAAATATAACTTGTCTCTGTAATGGTTTTCATTGAAAAAAATTTCCCTGACTCTACCGCATACATAATATGAAAAGAGAGCAGTCTATACATATGAAAATGATTTCATTCACGTAGTTTATAAATACACGAGTAAAATACTGAATTAATACTTAAAAATTTGTTTAAGTAGGCAATTGAGAAGGCTTAAAATCCACAACATGTTGATTTCTTCGGCGTATCTAATGGACAGCCACGACTCAGAACTGAAAGCAATTGACAACGTACCCTGAAAACAAAAATGTTTTTAGAAGTTGATGTTAGAAATACAGTTTAGTAGTGGTAATGGTGGTGAGGAGGTATGACATATACAGTGTTAAAGTTCAAATTTGAATTACGCGGCAACCGTATACGCGACGCGTTCGGCGCGTGGGTTAAATAGTCACGATGGAACGTTGGACCGGAGCGCAACTCGGTTTTACTATCAAGGCTTGCTTTAAGAGTGGTGATTCATACGGAAATTTTTACACGATACAACATTCGCTGACCAAGAGATGCCCCAAGTAAGAACCCATTGAACAAGTGGATTAAGCGGTTCCGTGAAACAGGCTGTACTCTTAGTCAACCCATTCCTAGCCCCACCTCTACTGTATCAACCGAAGAAAATGGGCGTCGAGTAAGTGATTCGGCATTGCAAATCTTCGAGATCCGCGGCAGCATTTTGTAAAGAAGAGTGTGTCCGAAGGGGTGGCAAACATTTGGACGGAACGATATTTAAAAAATGAAACCAGCCGAATTTACGAATATGTTGATAGTAATAAATATTTTCTTTTCAGTAAGTTTGTATTTTTTTCTTAAATCACAAAGTGAAGTTTTTGGAATTAAAATTAACAAAAATAAAATTCATGCTGGAAGACAAGAGACCAAACATCATATTGAAATTCTAATTATGCCATCTTGTGAAGGCTGCGGCAACGTTAACGTGCAATTTATTTTGAAATCCCACTATAAAGTCAGGAAAAATTTAAAACGACTGAATTTCGAAACTTTCTAAGCGGCATTTCTTGTTAGATTCATAATAATTAATGGTTTTTAATAATGATTCTCAACTAACTTTGCTCGGATATTCGTCTGTTGTTGAACCTCGCCGTCACAGTTCCATTTGCTCTTAGCATTTACAGCTCTGAAGCAGAATTCTCTGGCAGTGTACGTTTGGACAAATGGTAAGTCCTCTATTGTCGATCCACCGCTCGATAATCGTAATAGCAATCTGATATTGTTGAATACTGAAGTGTGTTTCACCAATACTAAATGAAGCATTCCATCTCCCAAGTGACTGTACGGTGCTATACCTGAAAAAGCATTAACCTATCATCTATACAGGGTGTCCGCAAAGTTGGGGTTTTCCTTTACACGACGTGTAGATCTTGAAAACATAAGCAATTTTTCTTAGTACCATATACACCAATGTCTTTTTTGAAGTGCATATTCGTAACAGACGAATCTACGTTCACGCGTAATGGGGTGAATAACTTTCGCAACACCCATGTTTGGTCAGTAGAAAATCCGCACGCTGTCCGTCGGGCACATTTTCAACAAACATTTTCGGTGAATGTTTGGGCTGGCATGGTGAACGGTATGCTCATGGGACCATTTATTCTCCCAAATCGATTGGACGGGATGCAATACCTAGATTTCTTACGCAACATTTTGCCTTCCTTGTTAGAAGATGTGCCATTAAGTGTATGACAATCAATGTGGTTTCTGCGTCTGCTCGGTAGCGCATCAGTTGATTTCATTTTCTGTTGGAGAGGTATGATTTCGGGCAGAGACGTACTTAGCCCTTCTCGTCAACTGGAGAGTGAGTACTTTTTCCTTTATTTTTTTTACTTGGTCGCCCTCGTTTGACTACACATTACCTTTGTTATTTCAAGGGTAGGTGTTTCTGAAAAGGAAAACCACAACTTTTCGGACACCCTGTATATCCTATATAGCCTTGATTAACGTATTCTATCATATAGGCAACCTAATACTGTATTCTAGCATCCAAAAAATTATCCCAGATTAAAATAGGGATGTGAGAATGAGTGAAAAAATCGATTAAGGGAAAATAGATTTTTTTCTTTTCCAATATTAATCGACTTGTAAAAAATGGCATCAAGTAGGTTGACTCTGCACTTCCTACGCAACACTGTCATCAGTTCATAAAGGATTATGGCCGGCACAAGTTGTCTCATCCAGAGGAAAAAAGTTGGTTACAAACAAGTACAACAAAATAATTTTTGACAGACAGGGCCAGAATGTGTGCATGCTGCATGCACACGTGTTCCCTGACCAGAGTCCGTGTAGCGTCCCCCTTTCTCCTCTATCCCCATATCGCCTCACGGTACCCCATGGGTGTTTGGGTCTTGGGCCTTCGTGGTGGTTAGGGTATAAAAAAAAGTTACTTCAGGGCTCCTCCACCCACCGAGAATCACTGTTTACACCCCTCAAAGGAAGAAAATCCGAATACAAATAAATACAGCATTAGGTTGGCTATCGTCATTTAGCATACATAAGTATGCTGCAGCATTTTAGGCGACAATTTTGCATTTACGCAAGTCGTATCTCTACTACCTCAAACATACCTTTAGGACTTCGACTACAGGCACAACTAATGTTTGCACCACTAACCATGAAGAATTTTCCTGACACTGTGTGCCATTTACAATCTACATCACAAGTTTTTTTACAAGATTCGCATCTATTACAGTTCTCTCTACATAAAATCTCTTCCACTTTAGTGGATTCTGAGTGTATTGCTATTTCGCCCTGGTAACCTTTGTTCATCACTAATTTTTTAAAACCTGAAACAAAATGCAGCATTCAATACTGTACTCCTATTCAAGTTGAATGTGTGCTACCCCGCATATTAATACGAGGTTTGTTCCAAAAGTATCGCAAATTATGTTGGTACCCATGACCCTCACTAATGTTGACAATTTCGGCCATTTTGAATGTTCAGTCACTTTTTGACAGCTACTGTGCGTGGACGTGTTTTAGCTTGTCTCCGATTTTTGTCTGTTCCAAAAAATGGATCAAAGAATTTGTATTAAATTTTGTGTAAAAAACAACTTGAAGTCAGCGGACATTTTCCAAATGTTGACTGTTGCAAACGTTATCACAAGTGTATAATGTCTGATGGGGATTACTTTTAAGGGGACAAAATAGATATTCATGAATAAATAAATAATTCTTTAAAAAACATGCAATTCGCGATACTTTCTGAACAAACCTCGCATATACTAAATATTAGGACTACATACAGGATCGGCAGAGAATCAGCGAGGTCCCGTATTTAATGTATACCAGCGAGATAGAGAGAGAAAGATGCTAACACCAAGACAAAACCAATCTAAGAACGCTTCAGTTGCTTACTCTCTCTCTCTCTCTCTCTAACATACGTGTTTTTCTATCTTGCCCGTACACATTAAATAAGGGACCTCAAATGTTTCTCTGCCAGTCTTGTATACAAATCGCGAATGCCCTAAAAATACGATTCTATCAAAAAAAAATTGCACTGACAAGGAAAGAATACGTGCACGAAAGATAAAAACCACCAGCATGACCAAAACGTCAGTATTTTTTCCTTCTACATGCGGTATATAGACTTTGAAGTTGAGTCATTAATTTTCAGATAATGATTGTAGAAGGAAGATAAACCAAAATGTGTGTAAAAATAAAAAAAAATGTTACCTTGTTTTATAAAGTATCCTCCCGACAAGTATTTCCGTGCGGACCTGTATCTGATCGTGCGGTCTTGGAGCACCGGCATGCCCTCCCCTGTGAGGTCTTAAGTCACCTGATTCACGAGCCCTTTGTACTACATTAACAAAAGCACGAGGGGTTGGTTGCACTCGATTGGGAAACCGAACCGCATAAATCCGTTATGCCGCGGCAGCATTTTGTAAAGACTCCCCCCCGTAAATAAGAATCATGTCCACAAGTTCAGCATTTTCGTAAACATGTACCAATTTTTAGTTCGTTTGAGCCACGCAACAAACACCACTATTCACTCACGTGTTACCGACTGACACATTGACTGAATACAACTGAATAAAATTGTAGTAAAAACATCGTGATAAGCGTTTCAAATTCTTTCGCTTTTTTGTTTCCGATGCGATGAACCGATAAGGCGGATTATATCCGTTGTCGCCAAACACGAGCACATAATATTATTGAGACAGGGCAGTACTCAAACTTCTAAAGGGCTATAACTTTATTACTTTAATTTTACCACAAAAATGTTAAAGGAAAAAAACATTTTTTTGATCAGATCTACTCACTGTTAAAATAAATGACTCAACTCCGAAGTCACCGTGTATATACGCGTATAACTCACCAGAATAATCATATCTGTGGGGTCCCATCCACCTATATTGGTCACTATGATAAGCCACATCTCCTAAATATCCGTAACTTAAAACGCTGGCGTATAACCGAAGTAAACTGTGCTCGTCATAGACAGACACTAAATCGAGTCCCAGTGAATCCCCAAAAATAATTTGTAGTACGGCTGTTGTGGGATCCGTGGTACCATGGAGGCAATATGCTATCGTGTCAGTACTGCCACCTACAATCGACCAATAATACACCGTTCCAAAAGCATTTCAATAAGAAATTTATGGAACCTATATTTTAGGAGAAACGACCTGTTCTATTATTTATCATTTATAAAAATCAAGTTTCATCGAAAAAAAGATACCTGCAGATTCAAGCGGCCGAATCTTAGAGAGAGTGTTAAGGCGCGTTCGTTAAAGCACAGCGTTGCCAGATGGATCGGGCAGAATTGCTACTTTTTCAAAAAAAAACAGTTAATTAATGAAAAGGGGTAGGTTTTGTTCAAAGAGCACGGGGATGCTTTCTATCTGGGAAACGTAAAATTTCCCTAGAAGATTAAATCCCCAAAAAGTCCCCACGTTAAAATCCTCCAAATTTGGGGAGAAATTCCCCAACATGGCAACCCTGTCAAAGCACCACTGCTACTCCAGGCATCAAGTTTTAGGGTCGTTTTTACTGCACGAACAGCATTGCCGTAGTTTCTCCCGGTATATAGGCTCCATGAAGAAATAATATATAGTTCCTTAACAAGGTGCTAATAGTCCTGGTTTTGATTTCTCGAATAATTTTATGACGAAAAGTTTATATGGACATATGTCCGCAAAGGCTTAAATTTTTGACAACAAGCTGCTGGATTTTCAAGAAAACCACTGTTTTTATTGCATATCTTTGAAAATACTTTAGATATCATTTTGATTTTTGATAAGTTGTAAGATTTAAAATGACATATTTTAGAATAAAAACGTATTCGCACGATAACCATGTGTGGGCAGACGAAAACGCCATGCTATGAGTGAAACTTGATGTATGGGCTGCAATTATTACTAATAACCTTATATGCCCATTTTTCTGCCATTACGCTTTAATGGCCCATACTTCTTGCATTTCCTATGAGCACTACCTGTCTTACTTCAAGATGTACCAACTGCGATAAGAAATGGAATGTCATTTGGCGCCTGCTATTTAAATACAATTTACTATACTATACAGGGTGTTGATAAAGTATGTTGCTGTAGCCATGTTCATATAGAAATTTCGTCTTCAAATAGACCAAGGATTCGATGGTTAAAGTTTGTCTACACCCTGTATATCAGCAATGCCCTAATCAGTTTGGATTTCCTTTCATGGGGTTGCTTAACAATTAGAAGATTTAGAACAGCGTATAACAAATATTCCAAGATTATTTGAAAAAATACGCGATTCATCAATTTTTATTAAACTGTTTGTTATCAGTGTAATTTTTTAGCTTTAATTTAAAAAACAATGAGTACCAACGTTAACTATAATTTTAGTCAACGACGAAAAAAAAGCAAGAGAAAAATATCAGAGGCGTACCATATTTTTGTAGGGATGCTTTTTATACTAAACTATACCATTCTACATCCTATTATAATATGCCTGAATTTAAAAAAGAAGTGATGATAAAATACTTTCCAAGATAAAAAATGGCATCAAGTAAGTTGACGAACATTTATAACAAAAAATTAAATGTCCTTCCTAGGGTTGGATGCGTATAAATAAACCAACCTCAAAAAATTGAGGAACAGCCCCTTGCAACCCTTGACCCCCGATTTTTTAACCCCAAAAATTTTTTCCCAAAATGATCAGGAGCCTCTAAAACATCAAAAATCGAAGTTTGAGCGATTTTTATTTTTTCGTTTTTGGCTCGCCGTCACTGGGCCGATTTTCAAAAACTAGCTTTTTTTTCTTGGCGTAGTAGCAACTTTGTGTGATAATTTCACCCAAATTCGACAGAGAGACAGAAATGAATGTTTTCGTGATGTAAATTAGTAATAAAAACGATTCTTTCTTAAAAATTTAACACCGCCTTGTAAGCTATTTAAGTCAATGCGGACGTACGATCTTAGAAAATTTTCTGTATAACATTATCTTATCCTGGAATATTAGCACGTCATTAAGGAACACCCTGTATAATTAAAATAATTTAATAACAGTAGTTGAACAGTTACACAAGAAAGTTATAGCCCTCTTGGGCGCTATGCTTTCAAAAAGAAACATCGCAAAAGACTTTTCTAAGATTCCATGCGAATGTGACAAGTTCCGCATCTTACAACAATAAATTGATGTTTACAAATTCAGCGTTCACGGTGGTTATATATAGAGTAAAATTAAAATGACTCTCGCATATAAGGAACACGTTTGAAAATCGACCTTTGAACAAAGATAATCAATAGTTCCAATATTTAATGTACATGGCGTAACCAACGCAATACGGCAAACATGTAAATATATTACCTGGTATGATACCAACTGGAATTCTGGGCTTTGGCAAGTTTTCGTTAATATCATCAGGATCGACGCCTCTTAACTTACATTCTCTCAAAACTAGGCCGTTGAATATCTCCGATACTGTCCCGTCACCTCCCACGCAAGCTATAGAATCGAACATATCTAAGCAGTGACTGATTAAAAAATCCTTTATTTGATCTTTTCTTTGAGATACGTTCAAAGTAACATCGACGCCAGCGATTCTGAACAAATCTTTGCCGTACTTTTCGTATATCTGCATCGCATTTCTTTTACCTCCAAAAGGATTCACAAACAACAACAAATGCTTGGGCCTCTTTTTGAAACCTGCCACAAACAAATAAAAAAATTAAATTACATGCGAAGCGAGCTCTTACGAATTTCAAAGGACACTTGAATATTCCTGCATCACTCAATCAATCGATAAAGATCGTAAACAACATCCGCAATTTTCTCTCATCCATCCATCTCCGATCTCTGACTGCAAATATTAGAACTTTCTGTTAATCATAAAAGTCCTCTTCCAACATCTGATAGACATCCAAACAATTGTTTCTGACTATGAGAAGTGCATTTTAGTCACGTTGACACATACAGGGTGCTCCACGAGTCGACGTCAATCCGGAAACGGGGGATAGGTCAATTCATAATAGTTATCAGAAACATATGAAAAAATCTACACCCTGTGATGATCTTTTAGTTTCCATTACTACAATTTTCAATTTTTTCTTAGACGCAGTGATGGACTCTACGTAGTGACTACTTATATTCATTCGTTAATGTATTCGTATGTACGTTATCTAACGTACTGAAGTACTCGGGTTTCTGATAACATGGCCTGTAAAATGCTGGGGGCTAAGTATCTACCGGGATTCGATGATATTTAGGAAAAATTATTCATCCAAGAACGGTGGTTACCCACTTACGAATATGAGCATTAATTAATTTGCCACTGCGGTGAAAACGGTGGCGCAGCCATTATCTACATACACTTTTGATGAAACAAGGTCGCGACCACAGCACTGCATGTATTTTATTTTACGTCAATTCCCGGCTTCCCTTAATTACTTTTACCTTGGCCATATAACGATGCGGACATTCTACGCGTCATCTTTCAATACCGGTTTAAAGTTTTGTACTGCTTGACAGACATGAACAATGCCATCTGTATGTTGAAAGGTCTCTTCCCTAACTAGGAACGGATAAAAAACATTTGTTGTTTTGAAAGGATGGAAAGCTACCTAGTTTCACCTAATTTAATCCAAGTATGTCTTTATCGTAAACCTATCAAACACGAAAAGAAGGAACTGCAGGGAACAATTACTCGAAAAGTTGACAATTATATGAAAAATCCATACATAATAAAACATTTTTAATAAATCATCTCGCCATGGCCAACTATATGCTGAAGTGACCATAAAAACCGTACAGATTTAAAGAAAATACTAATTTGCGAAGCAGACAACTTTATACAAAACGATCCTTATGTTTATTATCTAACATTTCCTCCTATAAGGAAGTTACAAATCGTTCGACAAATACACAAAAAATTAATAGGTTTTTATGGACTTGCATTTGTGATTTTTTATACAGCAGTTCTACGTAGGGCACCCCGGTATACTGCAAGCCAAATATGTACGATGATAAAAAACAGTCCGTTATTGAAAATTGTTAAGATGTTTCGGCATCTCCGATTCTGTGGCTTATGTTAACAATACTACTATCTACTACTAATATCATCACCTCGCATTTTTACAGATTTCAGAAATATCTAATTTCTATTATACAAAGTTCAATTATGCTGCTGATTAGAGAAAACTGAAACGTGTTTGTGGGTAAATTCATTCATTCCAATTGCATTCAATAAAAATGTTATGATAAGCTTCAAGTATCCATTTTTCAGATAACGATAATGATCACACGAAAATATAAATACAATTTAAAATTACATTTTTCTCACGGTGCGGCACAGGAATACTGTAGGTACGACAGATTTGATGACATAATACACAATTGCTAATGAAGTTCATATGTAAATATATTGAGTATTTTCAATTATATATTATAGGTGCCGTTCAAGTATTGCGTGAGCAGATTTTTTACAACCATGAACCCACTTCCCCTTGTCAGCAAAAGTAAGCAAATCTGTTACTCCCTTTTACACTTTGAAGCACGTATTTGGATAGACATTCCAAATATTAATCAAGAGCAATGTATAATACTGCTTATTGAGGCCATCGAATATCATTGTAAGAAATGCTGATTTGAAATACCAAAAGTTTCCTTCTCTAAAAATATTAGATATATCAATCAGGAACGACATATAATAATGAAAATAAAATTGATTCATCATAAATATTTTCTTTGCCCTGCAAATCTACCACAATTGGCAATCTACATGAGAACATGAACCACTGTAAAGTCAAATTCACAGCATTTTTATACTAAATGCCATTTCCAGTTAAAGCAGAACTCATGTTGTTGTACATCAGTTGGTGAAATTAATGAATCTTTAAAAGAATTACTGAAAAAGTAAATAGGGTGTATAACATTAATTTATCATCATCATCATTTATTATTCCTCTTCCTGCCAAATAAGAATAAAGACGGTAACATACATGGTTTTGCACTTCAAATACAAAGAAATGAAAAAAGCCGAATCTGGCCCTGGAAGTTTTAGTTCCCAAAACAGTCCTTACTTCAAACCAATGAAATAAAATTTATATGTTTGAAATGTTGAGTTATATTTTGCATAAACTCATAGAAATAAGATAATTAGATAAATAGGAGCCCTACTGAGCGAGGGCCGTGGCAAATGCTTGTTCCGGAAGTCGTTGTATCCAGTATACAACTTCTTCCCGTCCAAGTGATTGCGCACGCGTTAAGGAATACCTCAGTACCGATTGCCGGGTGGCGGTACAAGTCCGCCAACGGGCCACTTTAGGTCTATTCAACATCACTAACACGTAAAAAGAAGGTGGTAGACAAGGACCAGTCGACCGTGGCAGTACCACCCGCTAGCTTTTCCCAGGGTGTCTTATAAATGTCCGCATGTTTCCACACCTAAGCTATGCAGTCGGTTATCTACCAAAACAAAGAAATTAATGATGATGGATCCCTCGAGCACTAAAAACTCCGGACGTAAACTCACTCCACTCTCGGAATGTCCGGGTGGAGGGTGGGCTCGAGGGAACAACATCGAAGATAAAATTTGTTTTTCGAACATCTGCGGGATCAACAGCAACATTGATGCTGTTCATCACTACCTGCAATCCAATCGTCCCGCCGTGCTTTTCTTGGCGGAGACAAAAATCTCAGAGGCTGCACCGATTAACCATCTCAACTTCCCAAACTACGAGGTGCACTCCAATCTGAGAAAGAACGGGGGAGTTGTGGCTTTTGTCCGCAGCAGTCTTTCCTGCTCCAGGGATCTTTCTTTGGAATCAGACCGGAAGGACATTCTGTGGCTTCGCCTCAACTCCAAAACATCACCCAAATTTATTTGCTGCCTTTATCGCTCTCCCTCGAACCATAACTGGGATGACCTACTCGAATACCTCGCCGTCCAGATCGACTTCCTGAACATCAATCACCCCGCTTCAGAGGTAGTTCTTCTCGGTGATTTCAATGCCCATAATGAGCTTTGGTTGGGCTCAAACAAGACCGATGCAGCAGGTCGTGCAGTCGAAGCGTTCGCTCTTACTCAAGGGCTGACCCAGCTGGTGACGAGCCCTACTTTTTTCCCCCGCGTCTCGTCACACGCCAGTAGCCTGCTAGATCTCTTTCTGACCACGCATCCTGCCCCTTACAGCACTGCCGTCCTGTCCCCCCTGGGTAACTCAGATCACGGTGTTGTGGAGGTTAGGTTTCGGTCAGAAGCCGCTGTGGCCGCAGAAACTCGCACAGGCCGCAAAACTTGGCATTACGGACATGCCGACTGGGAGGGGCTCAGAGACTTCTTCTCTAGCTTTCCTTGGAGAGATGTCTGTTTCACTGACGCGGATGCGTCGACTGTCTGTTCTTCAATAACCGAAATTATGCACGTCGGAATGGAGGAATACATCCCTCACACAGTGAAAGTTCCTAAACCAGGGTCCAACGGCTGGTTCAACAAATCGTGTGACACTGCTCGCCAGCAGAAGATCAAGGCCCACAGAACCTACTTACAAAACCCCACTGTAGAGAACAGACAAGCCGACGTCGAGTCCAGAAACAAATATAACGAAGCGGTTCGCAATGCCAAAACCCAGCATGATATAAAAGTTAGGCACAGGGTAATGTCGCAGCGCAATGGCAGTCGGTCTTTCTGGACGCTGGCCAAGCAGAATGAAGAGAACTTCTCACACAGTAGCCTTCCACCACTTACGTGTCAGGATGGAACTATTGTATTCGACTCAAAGGCCAAGGCAGAAGTGCTAGCCAAGATCTTTGCTGCCAACTCCACCATGGACGTCCCCACCAACGCCCAAGTGCCGTCAATTCAAAGGGTTCCCCACACTATGCGGGAGGTAACATTCAGGCATAAGACCGTAAGACGAGTGCTCTTGTCGCTCGACATCAACAAAGCTTCTGGTCCGGACTTGATTCCTGCCATTGTACTGAAGAGATGTGCAGCTGAGCTTGCTCCAGTTCTTTCGCGTCTCTTCCAGATATCTTATGAATCCGGCACCTTCCCAGAAAACTGGAAATTTGCTCATGTACAGCCCATCCCAAAAAAAGGATCTAAAACCGACCCTTACAACTACAGGCCTATAGCTCTGCTTTCTGTTATAAGTAAAGTGATGGAGAGGTGCATAAATCGCGAGCTTCTGGACTACCTCGAACGTCACAGCTTGATTAGCGACAGGCAGTACGGTTTCCGGCACCAACGATCCACAGGGGACCTCCTAGCTTACGTCACGCAACTGTGGAGTAAACTCATCCAGTCTCATGGTGAGGCTCATGTCGTTGCTCTTGACATCACGAAAGCGTTCGATCAGCTGTGGCACGCTGCCCTCTTAAGCAAACTTCCATCCTACGGCCTCCCAGAAAAGCTTTGCAGATGGGTGGCTGACTTTATCTCTGGCCGCAAGATATCCGTCGTAATTGACGGATTCTCCTCTTCATCCCACAACGTCAACGCGGGTGTTCCCCAGGGATCGGTCTTGGCTCCAACACTGTTTCTCTTACATATCAACGACCTCCTTTCCTGCACGATCAACCCAATCCACAGCTTCGCTGATGACAGCACTCTACATGCGGGAATTCAGAGTGACAAGCCGATCTCTGCCGCTGAGCTGGAAAAAAGAAGACTAGCGACGACTTCTTCTCTGACAAGAGACCTGGAGGCTATCACTGCTTGGGGACGCAACAATCTTGTACAGTTCAATGCTTCCAAAACACAGTACTGTACTTTGACGAACAAAAAGCGTCCTAGCGCTCATACAGTTTCGATGGACGGTCGAGTTCTACCAAAGAGTCATTCATTTCGGTTGGTCGGAGTCCATATCACCGAGGACCTGATCTGGCACGAACACATCTCTTCAATAGCTGCAGCTGCTGGGAAAAAGCTAGGCTATTTGTTTAGGGCTAAGAAGTACTTTTCTCCGCATGACCTTCTCACTCTATACAAGGCCCAGATAAGGCCTAGCCTCGAGTATTGCTCACACATTTGGGGTGCTGCCGCCCCGACTACATTGTCCATGCTCGATGCTGTCCAGAGGAGGGCGGTCCGACTGATCGATGACTCTTCTCTAACAGACAGTCTCGGGACTCTTTCGCACCGGCGGGCCGTCGGCGATCTAGCTCTTTTCTATCGCTACACCAACGGGCTTTGCTCCTCAGAGCTCTCTTCCATGATGCCGCCGCGCGATGCGCCTGCCAGACAGACCCGCCTGACTTCGGCATCCCATCCTAACCGTGTCAAACTTCGTACATCCAGAACTGGCCGATACGACCGCTCCTTTGTCCCGAGGGTGTCTAGATTGTGGAACAATCTACGGGAGGAAGCTTTTCCCAGTTCTACTAACCTTAGGCAGTTCAAAAATCGTATTAACAAAATATCTTTGGGATCTTCATAGCAGCCGCGGTGTTCCGGCATTTAGGCTTCTGCCTGCGCGGCTGTTTCGATATAAAAAAAAAAAAAAAAAAAAAAAATAAAAATGTTATGCTTAAAAACTAACGAGGTGTAATTGATTTAATTTGCTAATTAGTAAGCACCATTCATTGGCTTTTTTCATACATAGTTAGCTTAAATACCAATTCTCCAATGGCCTTCACAGTCTCCCGATATAAGCCCCATTGAAAATCTATGGGAATACTTAGATAAGCAAATAGGAGATAAACATTATTCAAACAAGGATGAACTTAAATAAAATATAGCACAATATTAATTTGTCTATATACTTTTGTCCATTACTGTAGGTATATGGAACAAATTATATTTTATGAAAACCAAATAATTTTTTATTTTATCATTCAGTTTTACCTGTATGTCTAACACAATGAATGTCGCCAAGTTTTAGTAATATAATGAATAAATTTATTATGCAGGATGCATATTATATTCTACTTCATAAAGGATGATACAAGGCTGTTGTTGAGAACTTCCTTATTATAGTTGTTTTTTTATTTTATGGCTTAACAGATGCAATCATAGAGTGTAATGGGAACATGATGTACTTACATTTCAGATGATTCTGTAGAGTTTTGACCCAACTAGCAACTTGGAGAGGATCCGAATGCTTTAACTTTAAACTTTTGTATAACCATTTAGCTTGTTTGCCTCTCTCTGCATAGTGTATTGTAAAGGCATTGAGATCAAATTGCTTTTCATCTGAAGGATGTGTACCCCTCAAATAACTGTTCTGCACTGCTATTATATTCTCAATAGGCAGACTGTTTTGTTCTTGAAAGTAAATAGCGCAATCTTATGATCGAGTTTCAAACAATGGAATGATAACTTACCAGAAGGGGGTTTTACATTGTCCCAAACAATGCTACCTTGGTGCAGAATGATTCTTATTTTCTTCTTACCATTCTGAAAAGTGCTCAGCAGCACAGCGTTTTGAATATCACCACTCATTTTACTCACGCATAATTTAATAATTTATTGCTGAAATATATTACCTACAAACGTCAAACTATACAATGAATAATCATTTTAATAACCTGTTCACATTTTAATTAATATAATAAATTGTCCTATATTTAGAAAATCTTCTTTTGAGGGTCATTACGGTTACTTTTTACAATTAATAGAAACAATAACAATTGCAACTATAATGTGACAGCTTGCTTTGCTGAGTGAAAACTACTGAAATAAAATAAGAGGAAAGAGCGCAATGTGCGGTGTGTTCCAGCAACACCTTTAGAACGCTTTCCAACCTGCCCAATGCCATACAATGAAAGCAACCCGCATTCTGAATTTTGGAACCGAATTATTTTTCTGTACAAGCTCGAGGTAAGCAGGGTTCTCAACTAGTTATTGTGTTGGAACCAACGAATTCAGACTAGCTAGAAGGAGCCAGTCAAGGATATGCTTGTCTCCTAATTGTCATAGTCTGTAGTGGACATCAAAGTGCACGTGAGTTTTTCGACTTTATGTTATCTCCTTGAATTTGATTTTTTTTCGGATAATTGTGGTATAAGACGATTCCAAGGCATGATACTTCTTACATGATTTGCAAAGGACGGCACAAGCTTAATAAAGGTAAGTATCATTATTATGTTGATACAACGCTATCACTTTCGTAGGCATCGGTAGACAAATGAGTCCGAAATGTGCCTTAAAACTACGCAGATTCAGCGACAAAAAATAATGATAATAATAAAAACGTTTATTGAGATACAACTCAAAAGGAAAGGATATTGTATTGTAATTCGCGATTACAGTACATGCAACTGATACAATAACATCGTATTCTTACGCACCTTTTTGCTTGTGAAGAAGATATAGCCTGTAGTATTCGTTAAACCGTTGTATGGAATTTTCGTTAAATAGTTCAACCTCTTTGTTTAAAATGGTTGGAGTCATGTAGCTAAAACTACTTTTAAACTTGTTTGAAGAGTGCGTAGGAATAAAATATAAATTTGAGTTTCTCGTATCTAAATTATGAACATCAGAAAGTCGCCTTAAATTGTTATAAAGGTGTGATGGTTTTTTATATTTGATCAGCTTATACAACATATATACTGTATTGCAATTCAGCCTTTGAATCGTATTTCAGATAACTTGGAATTTGAGTGAATGTATTGTTTTTTTGGCGTACTGTACGCCTTTTGAAAGAAAATGGGAAAAGGGATGGCCCACCTAACAAGAGATGAGTAGCTTGGTGAAACATTCTGAATGAATAGTACGAACTTTTGTTCTTTTAGAACTGAAATGCCGTTGACTTTAAAGAGAGCACACACCGCTACAGAAGTAGAGGAGGAAATTAAGAGGAACGCTTACAACACTAAGCTGTTAGTTGACTAAAAATGAAATAAATATATAAGATGAATATTACTGATAACATGATTGAAACAAATTCTTTGAAATTATCGACACTTAACCTATGCAATTTGTATTTCTGATGATGATCGACGTCATCCATCCTGTAATCTTTAAACGCGCATGCGCTAACAAATTATAATCTGTTGTCCTCCCTCAGAATCAGAACTGGTAGAACGAATTCAGAACCGGTTCGGAACTAGTATGGAATTTGTTGGAATATAGAACTGTCAGTTCCGTTTTCTGTTGGACGGTAATTCCGAACTGCGCATACTTTAATCAGTTCAGAACTGGTTCCCTGGAACAAAGCTCGAATTTAATAAACATGGCGTTACAGTGGCATAGAACGCTACAGATGATATATACGCTTTAGCTTCCAAACAAGAGATGGCAGCATCGGCTATTGATACAGGTGGCGCCATCTAGTTATGAATACCTTAAGCACGGCAGTCATTTTTTATACAGGAAATAGGAATACCAGCACCTCTTTGCGTCTCTGATATCCTGATAACAAATTTTCGATTTTAACGTAAGATTCGGCTTGCAACTGTGCGTTTTACACGTTTAATCCAACATCAGATGGCACAACTTGTTTGGTCTGACGTGACGTCCTGACGTCTATATGTCTACAAAGGTGTTCAAAAGCAAGTGTGGTTGGTGTGTTTTGTGTGATCTGTAGCTGTAAAAGTATATAATTATCTTCTTAAAACAGAAAGAACTAGTTATGGATAATATGAAAAGCGATTTATATGAATCCCAAGAAAATGTGCGAGTGTTTATACGAATTCGACCACTTAGCAAAAAAGAAATATCTGAAGGAAAAGAAAATATTGTGGTTTGTGACCATAGAGAAAACCTAATTGTTTTGAAGAAGAATGGAGAGCATACAAAACCGTTTAAATTTGATCATATATTTGGTGCCAATACAGCGCAGGTAAAATTTTTCTCTATCTGGATGATAATCCATATTAATTTGCTCACTTTTAGCTTGAAATGTATCGCATGATTGCTTTTCCAATTGTTGAAAAAGCATTAGAAGGTTACAATGGCACCATTTTCGCCTATGGTCAAACAGGAACTGGTAAAACATATACCATGGCTGGAAATCACAATGTACCCGAGCTCAAGGGCATCATACCAAATACTTTCTCGCATATATTCAGTCAGATCTCGAGGGCCAGTGAAGAAAAGTCATTTGTGGTGAAAGTAACATATTTAGAAATATACAATGAGGATGTTAGAGATTTGCTATCACCAGATCCTAACAAAAAACTAGCCATCCGAGAAAGAAAAGATATTGGTGTTTATGTGAAAGATCTCATGGGATTTACAGTGGATTCAATAGAATCTATAACAGAATTATTGAACAGAGGCAATAAAAATCGTGTTACAAAGTCAACATTAATGAATGATATTAGTAGTAGATCTCATGCAATTTTTACAATTACTATAGAATCTAAGAATAGGATTGATAACAAGACTACTGTGGCAAAGCTGAACCTAGTAGACTTGGCGGTATGTTGTTTCACTTATACACTACCGCTCAAAAGTTTTGGGACAGCAGAGTTTTTGAGGGAAATCAAACAATAGAGTGTGTTTCATCAAAAAAATAAGAAAGGAACTATTTTCCACTGGAACTCAGTTAGTTGGTAACTTATCTATCAAAATTTACTTGTGATTCATCAAAATGTCCACCACGAGCCCGAATAACTGCATGACAGAAACGACTCATCCGACGTACCAAATTTTCAAGAATAGCTGGTGATAAGGATACCCACGCTTCCTGCACTAGTAGGCTCTTGTTGCTTCACCTGTCTGTCCAATTCATCCCACTAATACTCAATAGGAGACAAATCTGGGGACTGGGAAAGCTATGACGTGATTTTCATTGCACCAAGTTCTTGCTGCTGGTCCAAATAATTGCGGCATAGTCGAGATGAATGCTCAGGGTCACTGTCTTGCTGAAATATCGAAATTGTTTCCAACAATCCTTTGTCCTGAGGGGACAGTGTGGTTTTACAATATTTCCAAATTCTGCTCTTTTCACGTTATACCCTCAATACGAACCAAATCTCATGTTCGATTTCCAGCAAAACAGCCCCAAACCATTACAGCCATGCGTTTATGGGGTTGGCGGCGTACAAACTGTCGTCGTCGAGATTCGAACATTTCGAATTTGGATTCATCCGACCAAAAGACTCGATTCCGATCGTCAATGGTCCAATCCTTGTGTTTTCGAGTCAGTGCTAACCGGTTGAGTTTACGTATAGGTCGCAGGAGTGGTTTGCATGCTGCTAGACAACCTCTAGGGTTAGCGACGTTTTACCGTGAACATGGACACGGGGTTTTCCCTTGTTCTGTACAAGCTGTGTGTGAGTTCAGGCAATTTAAATGTCTATTTCGCTTATTTGTTAAACCTATCCTCAGGAACAGTTGCAACTCTGCGTCTTCCAGAGCGTGGACGATCTACGACACTGCCTGTTTCTCTCTTTTTCTTCAAAATTTGAGACACAGTGTTACATCAGAAATGCAGCTTTTCAATTGGCAATCCCTCATCACATAAAGTACATACTGCATCCCGTTTTTCAAGTAAACGTTACCCCCATCTTTACCATTTTCCATTATTTTGAAAAATCTGACCCTAGCACATCAACTACGTACAATTTTTACTTTGTTTCATTGATACCCAGAATGTTTATGTATCACATTACGCCCCCTTTCCCATGTATCACACTATAGCCCCATGGTACCCAATGGGTGCTTAGGCCTTAGGCCTTCGTGGTAGTTGGAGTATATAAAAAAAAAGAACATAATACATAGTACAAAAAAAAGTAAGCAACGGAAGGAAATCGGCCATTTATGACTGCAATGAACTTGTTTGTTTGTTTGAAGATGTTTACATTTATTCCCTTTTAAGTGATTTTTATAGATGGTAATAGTCAATCAACGTCATATAAGCCTTATTTATTTTAAGTTCTCTTCAAAAAAGTTTCTGTCCCAAAATATTTGAGCGGTAGTGTATATTTGTTGACAATCTTATATCAAATATACTTTGCAGGGTTCTGAGAGAGCCAGTAGGACTCAAGCAACAGGAGATAGACTACGTGAAGCTAGTAATATCAATTTGTCCTTGTCAGTATTAGGGAATGTTATATCAGCTTTAGTAGATGGTAAAAGTACACATATACCATATAGAAACTCCAAATTAACTAGACTTCTCCAAGATTCATTAGGAGGTAACTCTAAAACAGCAATGGTAAGCATATCTATAACTTACCGTAGTTATTTTCATGATTTGCCTCTTTTAAGTTTTTTTACTATTATCCCATTTTTATCCATGTATGATGATGACCCCTAGCCATCCAAGTCTGCAATTTTTTCGATAAAATTATTGGAGAAATTGTATAATGTATACCCAAAAATATAATTTTTTATTATACAGGGTGTCCCAGTATAATACATACAGTGTCATGTTGGAATCAACAGACCTTGGTAAAAGTTTTCTAGTTTTTGAGATATTGCCACTTTTAGTTTTTTTTTTAATCACTACTTTTTGCTCATTTTTTGCCTGTTGTGGCTATTAAGAACTTCTTACTTATGAGTTTTTTCCTGGGCTACCATTCATACTCGGTTGAGACAGCTGAGTATCCATTTCATTGAACACTAGCACAGTATGCTAAAAAAAATTATACATTCTGTTTCAATATGAAAACCTTCACCAATTTTTGACTAATTACTGAGAAAAAAATTTACCAGACTGAATCGGCAAATAATCTTAAAACTAGCCTATTTAATGCTCCATACCAGGCAAAAAAGGAGCAAAAAGTAGTGTTTTTTTGGAAAAAAAACCTAAAAGTGGCAATATCTCGAAAACTAGAAAGCTTTTACTAAGGTCATGTTGATTTTATCTGATTGATCTGGAGCCGAGTCACTCTGGAGTGTGTATTTTTTTTGGGACACCTTGTATATTACTTTTATATTGAAGATGATTAAGATGTATTTAGAAATTAGATCATCTTAAATGTGAGATGTTTATATTGTGTGGGATTGGGTCTAGGATTATCTCATTTCAATCCTTGGCAAGATGATGAGTGACACTTATTTTGGTGTGGAATTGTCCACAAAATCGCTAAAATCAGATTAAAGTGTTTAAATTCAAATCTTAATTCAATCTCTCTTATTTGAAGGATTGGCCCATCAGATTAAGGGGACAGTCCTCAGTGTTTATATAAGGAATTTTCAACCTAAATCCTAAGATCATTCTGTAAAGATCCATGATATAAACATAGATTGCCATAAATAGGCTAGAAAGTAACCGTGTGAATCTGTCATGTTTTCAAAAATATATTACATGGTTGCTTACAGATGTTATTACAAAAAATCGTGTTCAAAGCTGCTGGCTCATGAGTGATCTTAGAAAATATGATCATATATTGAAACTTATCTATGATCTTAACCATCTCCTAAGTTTGACTTACAGGACTCAAAAATACCGTCATATTTAGCAAAAAAATTCATAATTAGAGCAAATATGTATGGCATTAATATTAGATATGAAGAGATATATGTTTTCAATACCATGCCACTTCGCATGTCTATTCCAGAAAATGTACATTTACAAAAAAATCAATTTATATATTTCTTTAGATCATGGTTCAAAATGCACTGTTTCATTGCTCACATTCAAAAAAGTTTCAGCAGTTAAATCTTTTGTAACCAATAATTATCCATATTTAGCCATTTTCTTTATCCCTTTGTATTGTTTATGCCATTATTATATACAGATATTTAATTTTAATAAATGTCTTGTTCTATACGTCTCATATTGGTAAGAGGATTAGGTAGAATGTACAGTACCGAGCAAAAGTAGAGAAACAAACCACATTACAAATAAAAATCCAGAATGCTTTACTCTAACCCAAAACTGTGCACTAAAGTTTTTTATGTATGACTACCTCAAGATAATGAAATGCTTATCTTTGTATACATTCTTTTTTTTCAATATAATATGGTCACGAGCAAAAGTAGAGAAACATTTTGTAAATATTTAGTTTATATTTAGTCGTTGATTAGAATAGGTGTTATTTTTGAGTGTATTTGGTAAAGTGTAGTTCAAAAACATGACCAGAGGAATTACATTGAATTTGCAAATAAAAGAATTGATTATTTTAAAATATTGATCAGGCATGAAACAAGCAATCATACCCAAAAAGCTGAATTTAAGCCGATCGGTAATTTGCAAAACTATTAAGTTGTTTCCGCCTCAGAATATTAGCATTAATCAGTACCTGCTTTCACTAACAATATTTTAGATTGCGATGTTGAGTCCAGCAGATATTGACTATGAAGAAAGTATGTGCACTTTAAGGTATGCTGCTCGTGTCAAATATATCAAGAATTGTGTGAAAATTAATGTTGAGGAGAAAGGGCTAATCGAAGGTTTTGAGCTTGAAATTGCTGAGTTACAACAAAAACTCATGGAGTTGAGCATGTCTGAACAAAAGAGGGAACAGGTAAGTTGCTGCTGTCTTTTATCTTCTAGACATTACTGAGAATGCCAAACCTTAAACAGTAATATGGTGAGGAGATTGAGTGTGTTATGATTAATGTTTATAAATAGCTTGTTGGATACACTGTTGTTAGTAAAACTTTACAGAAGAGAAAAGAGAGAGCAGTCAGCGCCGAAGAGAAAGAAAGACAAAAGCAAACTGCTTTGGAGTTGGAGAAGACTGAGAAAATGAAGGCTGAGCTAGAAGAAAAAATGGCCCTTATTCAGAAAAAGATTCTTGTAGGAGGAGAAAATCTCCTAGAAAAAGCCCAACAGCAGGTATTCTTTTTGGAATCATCAGCAGCAGAGCTCGAAAGCCTTGATAAGAGCCACCAACAATTGGAAGAACAACTGAACAAGAAGGCCGCTGAGAAAATTGATGTTGAAGAACAATATTCCTCATTACAAGAGGAAGATCTCGGGCTTACAAAAAAGATAAAGAAAGTGCAAGCTTTCATAAAAGATGCGAAAGAGGAACATTCTGACAAAGAAAGAGAATACCAAAGGGATTTGGAAGCACTTTTTGACAATAATCGACTTCTTGTCAGAGAAACACAACTTGCTAACCTTATTATCGATAGCTATATACCTCAGGAATATTTGGTAAGCAGCATTTTTTCATAAAAGTTATTTTCTATATACAATATTCTTTACTGCCATTGATTAACATTCAGAGAGGAGGAACAGAGCTGTGACAAATTCTCATAGTTCTGTTTCTCATTTCATCTCTGATAATTTTTTGGACGCGGGAATATAGCATTAGGTTAGCTAGAATACATTAATCAATGGTTAATTGTAATTTCTTATAATATACTTTTTTCAGAAAAAGATTCTCACACATTTGATATGGAATAATGAAACTCAAGAATATCAAATGCGCGGAGTAGCGTATACGGGCAATAACATGAGAAAACAACAGAATACGAGTGCTGAAATTTTTACCCCCGTAAAATTTGAAATGAAACAAGTCTATCATAAATATCCCGAGAAGAAACGTGAAAAGCGATCCATGATAAAAAGTTTTTCAGCAATACCAAAGTCACGTTAGTAGCGCCGTGTAATTTTGCTTTCATATTTACAATGGCGTTTGTAAGGTTCATATGCATATATCTAGGATTTTCTTGATAACCTTTGAAGCAATCGTATCTTTTCATACGAACTGAAGCAATTGTTTGCTAGAAAGCTTGCTTTACATTGATCATCACACATTGTAAAGATATTTAAAAATCATATTTGAATGAATGTTATGTGTATATGAATCTTAAAGCATAGTTATTTGAGATTTTTACATGTGATTATGCTCTCTGTTATTTATTGCATGTTATGTTTGTGTTTGTTAATTTTGTATTTGGCTGTGTTTTTTTCTATTCATTTTTTAAGTCAAAGTCGACATTTTATTTATACAGTATTTTTGTAATAAGCCAGATAAGTATATATATATATATATATATGATACCATAGAATATAAGTGATATTACTTAAATTTGCATATTCGAGTGACTCCTATTGAAACATAAATCTGTCAGAAGTTGAGATACAAAAAGAGTTGATCATATGACTCGGCACTTTTTCTCTGCAACTTCTACTATTGAATTTGAAACTTGTGCACTACATAATAAAATTTAAACAGTTTAGAGTTTTCATGATTTTTAAGTAAGTGCTGTGAACTGACTTCTATGCCACGTAATTAAAATATTATTCTGATTTAGCTACAGGCATTATCGCGGTAGATCTTTCATAGTAACATCGTAATAATTGGCTACCTTCGATTCCATAAACTAACATTTTCAATATTGTCATACTTGGAGATTATGATCGTCGATATTCTTAATGTATTATCAAAGAGTAGTTTTATCAGGGGAAGACACTTTGTGGATGTCATCATTATAGTAACGAAGCCGATCGCAAATATTTGTTACATCATCGCGTATTGATATGATACGATAAAAACTAGTCTTATCTTACGTAGTTGGATGCTAAACAGCAAACTCGGAAAGTTTGGAAACACAGAGTGAGGGATGTGCCCACCTAATTATAGACAATCCAAATCTACGTCCGTCGTGTGACCGGTTGCCTAAGTGTACCCATACGAAGTCTGTAAATTAATTGATGGGACTCAACCGACAAGACCCTGCATTCTATCGATAGTTTCAATGATGAAGGCCTTCCGCTGCGTGGTTCGTCTTCAATCGATACTATCCCTTAAACCACCGAAAAACCTGGGCTGTTGACAAAATACTATCTCTGTAGGCCTGTCTAGCAAGAGTTTCCGTTGCACTGTGCGCAAGCCTGAAGCAAAACGATAGCACACCGTTGCTTGAAATTGATTTCAATCATTTTTAGAACACAGTTTCGAGCGAGTTTAAACTTGTACTGAAGGCGGATCACATGTTCCCATGTCTCCCCTCCGAGCCCGACGCCTCTAGTGTCGCCAGATCGAACGCTACGTTGCCAGTCTCATCACTTAATTTACAGACCTCGTATGTATGATTGGATTGTGGCACATAACTAAATAGACTATATATAATTCATTCTTTTGGCCTCAGCGTTTGGTTTCAGCTCTTTTTCGTTATACAAATTGGAACTATCTGAATTGTTTTAAAAAAATCGTGGAAATGGGGACGTTTGCGGTATTTAGGCAACATACTCTTGGACTAATACTCGCTCGTAGAAGGGTCTGTTGTGTTGTCAAACTGCCATAAATTGTGTAGAAAATACTACATTTATACTGAGCTGAATGGAGTTCCGTTCTTTTACGGTGGTTACGTCAAACATTCATACGAAATAAGTATTAAACATATCGCCTTATTTCCAGAAAACTGGCAATCATGTCAAGTAGACCGACTATTGATCAAATAAAAAATTTGAGGTTGGAAAACTTTTGATTTCAAGCTGACGTTCCTGTTTTGTTACTAAACTAATATTCCGCGTAAGCCCCTAAAAGTTAAATATCTATGTGATAACTGCAAGTAATGGTTAATGAATTCATCCAAAAAGGATGGTTTGTCAGGCAATACTGTATTGATCTCCTACTAAATAAGAACAGCACTTGTTTAGACCTGATCAACTGTTTTGTCGAAGCGATGTTTTTGGAGTCATATTTTCTCTTTCTCCAATGTTATTCGCCTTGTCTAACTGTCGTCTCTTTATATAACTACTCTTTGGTGCTGTTGCTGGCGTTATTTCCATTAAATGACTATTGAAATCATATTTTGATGGCTTTGCTTTTGGTGACATGGGATTCCAAAGCTTAACTCATGCGTTTTGCTTTTTCGTGGGTAAATTCATAAATTCGTATTAACGTTCTAATATACATGATATCTTGATTGACATGAAAGTAAGTCTGATTTCTACTATTTTGGTCTAGCTTAGATTATGGGGTTTTATTACGCCTTTGAAGTTCTGCACATCAGAAGCGAATGTTTCAAATCTGCATGTTTGATAATATACTCCAATTCGGAATTAGGACGGCTTGTAAAGAACGTCGTCCAGATCGTTTCAAGTTCGATTTGACAGGTTTAAATGGTGTCCCCTGCTTTTGGTCTGTAAAACGGAAGTAGTAGGAAATTTGATCGACAGCTTTTATAATTGCACCATTTCTGATGAGGCTTTGTAGATAGTGAGAAGGCACAAAGATACCAAACCTGACGTTGATTACCATTGATAGAATATGGTAGAATAGTGTATAGTATAGTTTTCTTTTTTTATACATTTTTTCAAGTCCTCGCAATTTGTGCGAAGAAGGTGATAATTTTGCATTTTTTATTTATATAATTTATTCAGTTTTTGTTGCAAATAAGCACTCTGTATGTATTATTTTGCTCTAATATTATTCTAGTCAAATATTGTCTGATTTAACATTGTTGATAAGGTTTATGATTAGTCTTGCAACTTTAAGCACTGATTTAAGATTCTTCTACATTTCAGTTTGTCCACGAAACAAGTATTATGAATAATCGCAAATATAACAATAACACCAGATTGAACTATTTTAATTATGTCCACTACCTATACCAAATTATTATACGAAACAATCGGAAATAGGAACCCATATTATGATAATAACGGTATATCGTAGAAATTGACCACTATATCGCCGAATGATTGGTTATAGCCTGGATTATAAAAAAGAACTTACCTAACACTACTCAAAAAAATTCAAATTTTTCGGTGATTTTTGATAGGCTGAAAAATGATCGTATCTAGACTTAAAAAAAGCATTAAGGTCTTTTAGCCGAAAAATTTTAGGAGCAACGGTTCTCATGTAATTCTAAAAGATAGCGCAAGAAACATTTAATGTAAAATTTTGCTTGCTTGAATTTTTTTTCTGTCAGGCCATCATATGGATCAGAGAGCCCGTTTATTCAGCTTCAATATCCTGTTTTGAGTGTTTTCAAGAATCGCCACTGGTTAGTATTTTGTTTTTTTTTTGAAATATTCCATGAATAAAAGAATATCATTTTTCTAATTATTATTATTTAAATTGACGGTGTCACAGATATCAAAAACAAATGAAAAATGATTTTTCCATTTTCAAGCAGATTACAGGATGTTTTGGTAAAAAATTAGCTCCTTTGATTGCTTTCAAATTTTGACCAATGGGTCTGGAGAAACCATACGATGTATCTGCCGCCGTGTATGGTTATTAGGGGTTCATTGAGGTATCAAAAAACCTAAAAACATTGCCCTTCTCATTAGCAGTTCCAAAAATACGATCGCTTTTCCAAACAAGGCAAAAAGTAACTTTTTTTTAAAATCAGTACTAATGAAACGAAAAAGTCTGCAATGAAATCTTATTGGAGATTTATGCCTGTTTTCGGAAATACGATTACGTTATCTGGTTACAGAGCTATCAGTAGTCGCTGACTTACCCCCTTTCCCCTGTATCACCCTTCACGGTACCCCTTCCTGGTAGTTGGAGTATAAAGAAAGGATTATTTTCCATGCAAAGTCAGATATCTCCGCGCCAAATGATCGTATTGGGATTTTAAGAACAGGATATTGAAGCAATGAACGGGCTATCTGATCCATGGTCTAACAGATTTTTTTTCAAGCCCGTGGACTGAAAGGAAGGCAAACATTTGTCAGAAATCACTGGAAAATTGGAGTTTTTTATGCTCCCCTAATTTTCTGAGTAGTGCATAACAGTGCAAGTTGCATTGCTCCTGATATACTCTCGTCCCAGGCCTATTGTCCATTATATTCGCTTGACTACAGTGTACCTGGAGCTATTTTGATATATCCGTCAGATATCTCCGGTATTTGCAGCTTCAGACATTTGAATTTGTCTCGGATGAAAACTAAATTTAGTGGAAGAACTGAAATGGGAATTGCGTAACGAATATATCGTGTATATTTAGAACGTCTTCTTTGTCGTATCGAAACCTTCACAGGTATTGTTATAAGAGAATCTTTCGGTTCTGGCGTCTGGTTGCAACCTGCTGCTATTTAACGCTTAATAAACATTTTATTCTTGGATCATTCTATCAAGTATCAAAATGAAATGCAGCAGGTATTATCGGCTGGAACAAAAAAATTCTCTGAATTCCTGTGGTTTTAATTGGCTTCCGCAGGATCAGCGCAAACAGAAAATCCGTTGAGAAGAGTTGTTACTTTTTTGCAGTGGCCCAGTGGCTTATCCATACCGCAGCATACAGCGTGTTTTGTTCGGCCAGAGGTTTCGCTTTTGCTTTTTCGCCTCATTATTTTTATCTTGTTTTTGAATGTCTAATGTCTGAATATTATTCCAGAAATTCCAGTACCCATTAAAAAAAGAAATTTGAGGTCAGTTACCTCGAGTATGTCAAAATACTGGGCTTTAAACAGAAACCAGGAAATAAAAGAATAAAGAAGCGTTTTTTAAAATATATATTGTACAAAAAGGCAAGGATTGTGACATAAAATAGTTGTATAAAATTTAAATTAAAAATTGATAGGATATCATCACCTATAAGGCAGTGACATACTTTGTACTAACCACTCTTTGTAAAATCACAAGAATATAACTGTATTGTATGTTCTTGTGGGACAAACCAATATATCTATATACATAGAATGTTTAAATACCCTCTTGCCATAATTAAATAATCTTCAATATAAAAACTATATACAATTTAATTTTCACAATATAGTATGTAACAACATTGATTAACGTGTTAGAACAGAAATACAATGCTATAATGAGATTAAAAGGGTATTCCCGAGTCTCTTTTTTTCTAAAATACACTTTGTCACGATATAGTCCTCATTTTTTTATACTTATAGTTACCATAACTAGCTAGAACGAGGTGGTAATCCCCAATCATGAAATCATCTAAAGCTAAAATACTGAATATTTATGGTATACGTGAACAAAGCCGTGAAAATAAGGAACTTTTACTTTCATTATTGCATTGCCTCTCTTTTCTAAAACATTAATCGATGGTAACGGTACCAATAGCACAAATAAAATAGTCAATTTCATAATATATTCAATAAATACTCATAAAGGGGAGTGAAAGAATTCAGGAAGTAATAATTCGTTAGAGTTATGGAAAAATTATATTTGTGATTCAATTATGTCGTTTTCATATGAAGAAAACAAAAAAAAACTAATTTAACATGGCTGTAACCAATGCCAGTTAGTTTCCCTTTGAATATTGCAGCAGGTGTGCTTTGATATAAGGTATGCTTCAGGTCCTAACAGCAGCTTAAAAGTCGAACGGATCAACATACATAGTTGGTGGAGCTTCAAATTTTGATTTTATTGAAGAAAAAAATGTGTGCGGTATTTATACAGGTGTCGTGGAGTAGTGGTTAATCTCCCGGAGTCGTGTAAATCACTAAGAAATCCTACAGGGCTCTCTTACGGAGACACAAGCCCCTTGAAGAGTGCTTTCGGTATCTGGTTGCGTGTATTTCTTTAGAAAGCCCCCTTGGATAACTTTTCATAGGAACCCTTGTTTTTGTGATCCATACGAATACGAGACATTTAGCACATACGAGGTGTGGCAGAAATGTATCGAGACTGGCAACATTACAAGCGATCGGGCAACGCTGCGGTGGTGCCCTGAGGGTCAGTCACGTGTTTTTTTGGACTGCTATTAGCAAAGTTGTGTTTTCGTTGTACATAACGCAAAATGATGGAACAGCGAAACTTGGAGCAACAAAGAATTTGTTCCTCCAGGACAAATTGTCAACTAAGTTTTTTATGAAGGCTCATTCGCGTGAGACCAGGCATTGTAGACAATTTGATCTCCGCCACAGAATTTTTGACCCCAAAAAGCACCTGATCTCAGTCCCTGCGACTTCTTCCGAAACTGGAAAATGTCCTGAAGGGACATCCTTTGGGGATTTTAGAAAACATTTAAAATGGTGTAACGGACATGCTGAAGGCCATACATACATACTAAGGGAACTACTTTGGAGGGGATAATGATGTTTGTAAAAATAAAAGCTTTGGTTAATAGAAAATCGGTCTCATTACTTTCCTGCTATACCTCGCATTCTGGAACGGCCTGAACATTTCGAGTCTGTATAGGAATTTAAACTAAAGTAGATAGTTCGTGCGGGGAATTTGTGGTGGCGACACTACTAAGGTCAACGGTGACTGTAGGCATGCCCGGACTGACGGAGCCACTGGCTTCTCGTTCGCGCGGATGAGACTGGGACACTTGCGACAGAGACAGCTTTGTCAAATTCAGGTTCAGGTTGTCCCCTGTGGGAGGCGTGCTGGTCGACGGCCTGACGATGTATGGCCCCGGTCCGTTGTGAAGGCTCGACATCGTCATAGGCTGGCCCTGGCTCAGGCCGCCGGCGAAGCTGTGGTTGAAACTGCTCACGTGCGAATGGTTCATCTGCACTCCTCCCCCGGGACTGACAGGACCTCCACACCCACCTCCGATGCCACCTAGCAAACAACATCATCTCGTGAACAAACATTAAGGCAGAGTTCCCAGGGTAATGAGGATAGGAAATCTATTTCACGTGTATCCATTACGTTTTGACGTCTACTGAGGTGAACAGCTGATCAACAAGTGACAGCTTTGTATTAGTCTGTAACCTAAAATTCAGGACCGTATTCAGAGCTGTTGTTCACATATCTAGATGCTTTTAGTGACTGGGAATTTTGACAATAAAATATACGAAGTACTCATAGAAAAATGTTTAATAGAAAATTATTATAGAACGTCTGGGATTTATTGATAACGAGGTAAGCCTTTGCAGTTGCTGTATTTTTTTTCTGTAAAAATTAATACAGACACGTTTCTGGTTAATTGCCTGTCATCAGTGTAACGTAATTCAAATACAGCACCACTCATAAAAATAATGTCATGGCCATGGAATACTTGTACATTTCACTTACATTTTTCTGATTTCTAACTTGTTACAGTAATGAGTAATGTTCAGACCTAATTCAGGGAATCGAACCTCTATCCATTCAGTCATAGACTGCCATATATTTTGAATTAATTGTATGGCTGTTTTATTGCCCTTTAAAATGAGATATGATTAACATAGTCAAAAACTGTTTATCTTATTCTGATCTGGCTTGAAATGCAGTCATGATCATTAGCAGCCGTTTTGCCTGTAGCATTTTTTTGTATACGAAGGAGCTGTTCTAAATGTACAAAATGCATCCGTAAAGTAAAAAAAAAACAAAAAAATACGGCTGCTGTCTACCGGGCGTTGATGGACCTGTCAAAATTGTGTGTCACTTGCCGATATGGGGAATTTTGAAATGTTACTAGATAATGAGTTGTTATTTTACCGTAATGGATACTCGTGAAAAATACAGTAATAATTGTATTTTGATACAATCGTGTAATCTCAAACATAGGGCTCTCAGGGTCGTTTTTTCAGTTGCTCCTATTTACCTTAATTCCCCTTCTCCAAGAAGACAAAATAAACTTAATTTGTTCCTTCCTAACGGAGACTAAGAGCTGGAATCAAAATAAGGAGTATATGCAAATGGGATCCACTGAGAATGCGACCTTGAAAGCTAATTAGCTAAGTTCTGTTTTCATGGAGTTAAGAAAATTATTCGAATTTTTGCATTTGTTAAGTGTGATGTCGCACGAGAATTTTAAAAATAACGATATGTAACCTCCGAAGACAAACCATAAACATCTTAGTACCTGCAATGCTGTGGAAAGAATTCCGATGGATAGAATTGTCGTGCTGCTGAGCGGCCAGCTCTTTAACTGCATTGGTCTTCTCCTTTTGCCAGATGAAAACATTATGAACCATGGCACAGCCGCAAAAGATGATGCCCAATCCGATGAACACACTCGTCACAATCGCAGGTGTCGAGTGGAACTGGATGAACGTATACAGGATTATACCTAATGGATATCACATATAAACATCAAATTTAATGTTTTCTTATAGAACATGGAAATAGACGATCAAGAGAAGAATATTTCCAAGTCCTCAGAATTATTTTCAATTTTGTTCACATCTATGACTAATTATAATATGTACAGTAAAAATCATAACACGTCAACTTCTGAGACCAGGGGCCCGAGTCTAAATGAGCTTCGGCCATTGAAATACTTGATGTCAGATGTCAAAATGATTATAGCGAATCAAGTATATCGTCAGATGGCGCCATTGAAATTAATTTCAACGGTCGAAATTCGTTTAGAATCAAGCCTCTGGAGCTTGAACGTCAGCGGTTGAATTTCACTCAGAATCAGGCCCTAGGTCATGTGTGACAGCAAGGCGCTATCGAAATTAATTTCAACGGTTGAAATTCAGTTAGAATTTCGACACTGCCATAATTTCTATATAGAAATCAGAATTCGCCATCACAATTATTTTGGCGGATCATATGTGTGACGACAAGACTACATGGAAATTAATTTCAATGGTCGAAATTCAGCTAGAATCACACATAATGCTTCAAATTACCTGTTAAGAATACTGGTATTGATATAAAAAAGCCTCCTACTGCACATACTCTGCTCACAGAAGATTTCTGCAAATACTTATTCGTTCTGCAAAAAAATCAATAACCATTAAAACTTTGGATAAACAAGGCCATTATAAGCATCAAGCTACTATCTCACTGAGCAAACAGGCGACAGTGTGTCATGCTTTCGATCTCTTTTTCGTGGGTCTTGTTTGGAGTGGAGAGTGAAAAGTGAACCAGCGAGGGTTGTGGATAGTTCACACGATCACGATTCACTTTATGCAGTGAAGCCAACGATGTGGGAGCTTCTGATTAATAGTTGTGCCCTTTTGAGTTCAGATTTTAGTGATATGTTAACGAAAAGGAAATGGATAATTGCATGAAGTTCAGTTTGACTGCCTCCTGGACCATCACACATTTCAATGGCCGTATCGTCAGTCGTTCCTACAATTTTGTAGGACGTCTTTATGGCCTCCTTGATTTTCATAGTTTTCTACTGTTCCGTGTCAGCGCTCTATTTTGAGGTTATGACATAAATATCTGTGTGCTTCAAATTATTCATGCTTTTGATTTATATCTGTTTTATGAGCCTAAAATTTCCTACAATTCAAAAAGAAAATATAGCTTCACAATAGGAGAGCGCTAACGCTGATACGGGATAGGTAAATTATAGAAATTCCTCCAGCCTCTCTGAATGAGAGAAGATACTATGAAAATCAAGGAGGCCATATTCGCTTTACCATTTGAATGTAAAACGAACTATATGCGAGTAAAAGTGAAATAATCGCTTGACTGCATTCTATTTCCTGGAAAGAACAAATAAAATAATAAGTAAAGCATCGTCTTCGGAACAAACTGATTCGAGCGTTCCAGGAACGACCCCAATGGGACGTTTCAAGGCCGCCCCATTTGGGCACGGGTCTTGCCGACAGAAATTGAACCTAAATCGTACGTTCCAGGTACCAAGTGTGCTATTAGGGTAATGAACTTGCCTCTCTCTCGATTGGGGGTAAACTCACGATCCCAGTGAGAACGCAGCTTTTGATCAACACCTAAATAGCGTGTGAAGCGTAATAAAAAAATAACCTGTCGTTTCCTCCATGGGGGCTCTTGACTAACTTGACAGCAAAGAGGAACTGTATAGCGCAGACCAGCAAACAGCACAGGTTGAGCGAGAGCGTCAATGCGCACAACGCCAGCGTTACTTCGTAGACAACCACGTACTCCTCAGCAGTGATCACTGTCAGCTGCTCCGATCTGAGCAGTTCCCGAATGTCGTTCGCGGTCACCGGAGAGATCTTCAGCAGGAATATCAAAGACAACAACGCCAGCAGTAGGCTCACTAGACACAGCAAACCGAGGCTCACCTGCAATAGATGCAATTCATTATACTTAATCAGAGCCATCCTTAGCAGATGCGAGGACTTTTTTTAAAGTAATTTTTTAAAAATTCTCGCGCAAAAGAGCTTTTAGCATTTCTGATGAAGTCATTTCATCTCAAAACACGCCAATTACCATATTTACGTGATTTTTTTCATTTGCGAGGGTTGATGTAAGTATACAATATTTCACTGTATAAAGAATTGAGATAAGAAAAAAAATATGATTTAATGATTATTGTCTAAGCTCTTCTCGACATACAACCATCGATATTCTAGGTTCGATGTTTTCGATACATCGGCGTATCGTCACTATTTCTATTCTGCATTGTTCATACCAGTGTTACTAGGCATACCGATTTTAGTCTTATTCTACCGAACATAGTTCATCACTTTTAAATAAACTGGTGTACTCATTCTAAGCAAACGGTTTGATGAATTTAGGCAAACAGTTTGATGAATTTAATTAAACAATTACGTTTTGGCTTAATTGAACTAGTTTCAAGATTCACGAAAAATGTGTCCTGGTATTTAGGCTCCTGCCTACGCGGCTGCTTCGGAATAAAAAAGAGAACTACCGATTTCAATGCGAAATCTACTGAACAATTTCTAAAATTCAAAAATAGTATATCTTTCCTATAATTCAATGGAACACAACAAAAAAAACGCATTACAATCCCGCCTCACCCCCGCTCCTCAATTTTAGATTTGATGCAACCTCGCGCTTTTCAATTATTTAAATAGCAGCATTCCAGAATACTTCCGCTCTTCAATTTTCAATCACTGGCAATATTTTGATTTTTGGTTGAATGTCTACCGAAATCATGAAAAATTTCTCACAAATCTGCTGAAAACAGATCGACCTGGCAACACTGCCCAACTAGCGAAGTAGTGCTATAAGCTTTTGGTAACAGAACCGTTCAGCCATAAAAGCTCTCTATTGTTGTTGCCTGAACACCAAAATGCTGGCTTAATGTTGTGTGGAATGCAAATTTGCTTTCTGCAACATATTTGCTCTAAAATGAGGTGTTTAAAATATTCTTATAGCATAGTTACACAACACCTTATAGGAAAAATTTTTAACTGTTGCATAAACGTTCATACAACTATTTTATACGGCATATTGGCAGGTTAGTCAATATGGTTGTGTTGTGGCATCCATGGTAAGGTTTATAAAACTTCACCATAACCTAACTTTCTGCTGTCATATTTTTGTTAAAATGCCATAACCAATGTTTTAAGACAAACAACGCATGCATATTGGTTAAAAAGGTTTTATCAACTGTTCAAACAGAAGATATAGATCTGGTACAAATTCTAGGTAAATCATTCGACTCTGTCGGTATTTCATTTCTGACATTTGTCAAATTGTTGTATAACACCTGCAGGCAACACCAAAATATTCTAATGAACTAAAGACAACATGGACGATGCCATGATTATACCAGAATAGTTGTATAGTTGACAAAAACTGAATCTTGCACTGACGCAAATGTCCTATAGCGGCTGCAAGAGGCTTACACTTTTGTTGTATAACTGTTACCTGCAGCCCTTATACAACCTCTTGTATAGCTGTTCTAAGAGGGTTTTGCCAATGTTCTTACAGTATACAATGCTGTGTAAGGAATACTGTATAATCATTCTTGCAACTCTAATAGGAGTGATAATTGTTAGTTGGGTGGTTTGTACCGACAACCTGTGCCCGCTAATGCTGAGGATCCTGAGTAAGCATTTAGGTACGTCGGCATGGCGATAATTTATATGGGCCTTACCAACATCTCCTTGACTCCAACTTCCTTCGACTTGGCAATAAATTTATTTACAGTGCTCTGGTTGCGGACCCTAGATATGTTCAGGCCCCCGTTGAGCATGGGTTTCGCAGGCGGCGAAAGACCGGCAGCTGCGGCAGCCGCTATGACCGCGTTGCTGTATATCGAGTGCTTCGAATTATCCAAATTCGTCGAGTGCAGCTGGGACACGTTCAACGGGTACTGCTGGGATATCCGGGAGCTGTTCGGGTTCGGCGACCGGTACCTGTACACAAAAACAACGCGTGGAATATATTGCTTCATTAGCTGTTACCCACGATTTTCCACGCTAAAAATTGTTAAAGTAACCACCATTTTCCAGTTGCAGGATTATGCTTTTTCTAATCCAATTCAATTTCCGGATACCCTGTATATGCTACGGTTCATCAACACGAGCTTAGCCGTTTTGGCGTGAAAACGAAACATAAATTCAAACATACGTATCTTGTTATTTATACTGGAGGTCCGCAAAGTTGGGACTTTCCATTATACGGCGTTTAGGTCTCGAAAAAATAAGCGGTTTTTCCTAGTAGCATATACACACAAGTCTTAGGATAACAGAGATATTGGGCTTCACTAAATCAATAACACCTAAACCAAACCTAATCCGCTCCAGATCAAAAACGAGAAGGCAACGTAGATAACTTGTCGATGTGAATTTATGGTATCTTCAAAATGCTACCGAGGCTTCGCGAGTGTATGCAAATCGCTTTCTCAGACATTATCATTCAGGGCCGCATATATTTGTTTACCCTGTGCAAAGAACTAGGGGTGCAGGTATATCGAGATGGGCATAGTGGCAGACCTAGACAACCCCGAATGATTCAAATTGAAGCAGAATCTTGCAGAAGAAAATCCTTCAACAAGACAAGACTTCAAGGCTAAAGTGTGATGATGATTTTGTGCAAGCCCTTCAAGATGAGGATTTTCCTGCAAGAGTGCGTTTTTGTGGGTGGTTGTTGCTCGCGTAATGGGTTAAATAACTTCCGAAATACTCATGTGTGGTCACTGGAAAATCCTCACGTGGTCCGTCGGTCACACTTTCAACAATCATTTTCTTTGAATATTTGAGCTAGCATGATGAATGGAAAAGGAAAGTTCCAACTTTCAGGACACCCTGTATAATATTTGTATGGATAGTATGAATGTTAGTAGCTATAGTTGGAATATTTGTAGAAAGAGGATAACTCAGTTGAGCTGGTTACTTGTAATAATCAAAATTGTGGAGTACCTGTGGGCCGCAGGGGTTGGTGGTTCCATCACCATGCAGGTACTGTCTGGGCGGGTACCTCGGTTCGAGATACCACCATTTGTGATATGCTTCAACATGTTTACCAGCAGCGGTCACAATCATTTGTGACGGCGACCATTTCAACCAGTGGTTGGTGTCACAGATGTACGTCTTCCACATATTCCACCTTCATGGTACGCTCTGGCTTTCAGAGGGGAAGTACTTGTCTCTCTCGGCTAGATCACCTCATATTCACACACATATTATATTCTCGCTGCTACATTTTCTGAAAATTGAATACAAAACCATGCACGTCTAAATTAAATAAATAGAGGCTATTGCCGACAGTAAAGTACGACCACCGACGACAACGCTTGTCCATCGAGGGACGACCTTTCATGTATCGACACCGGACTGTAGGAGATATTTCCAAGTTTTAAGGGTAAATGTACGAGGCATCTATGATGAGTGAAATATGCCTAATATGTGCGTAGAATTATTGGGGTTGGAGCCATAAATATACCGAGGTCAAAAAATTGAAACCCCCTGCACCTAACCTCAATTTTCAACCCCTACAAAAAAATTTCCGAAATTGATCAGGATTGTCTGAAACGTAGTTTGTACGATTTTATTTTATTTTTTTAATTTGTGGGCCCTTTTCTTCGTCCTTGGCACACTAACATTGTGTGAAAATTTCATCGGAATATGAGCAGTACTTTCCAAGTTACGGATTTTCCTACTTTTATTTGAATAATCTCCTCACTGCTCATATGTCTGGGGTGTTTCCTGTTCCGACTACTCATAGACTGTCCATACTTTTTTAACGGATAATCTCAGAATGACAGGTACATCGATATGTTATGAGAGTTACCTAAATAAATACGAATCTAAAATAGTTATATCTTCCACTAAAAAAATCTATTTAGTGTGCTTAGCACTTTTACCTATCCCAGTGCCGGTATTGACTGGACTATAACACTTCTTTACGGATACCAACAATCAACAATTTTTTTTCAACTCATTCAACGGAGATGCAGAGTCAACCTACTTGACACCGCTTGTGAGAGATGAAATTTATGTTTTATAATGACCCTTGTTTAATTGATATGCAGTGAATCTTGTATTTTCGCCACCATATTTAATATGGCAGTCGATCTCATTTAACTGACCTGTAATCTAGTCATAGACTTTCAGAAATACCTAGATTTTGAATATTCGAACTGAAGTTCAGACGACTTGCACATCTGATGTAAACGGCCACGGTTCAGAAGATATCAATCACCTTTTTTACTAGGAGTCTCTGATATCAGGGAAATTAATTTTTGGAATGAACGAAAATGCCCTTACTAATATTAATTGGTCGAAGAATTCCTTGAACTGAGTTCAGGCGTTCGCAAACTTCAAATCCTAGAAAAGCGTCTGTCACCTGGTCGTCTAGTCTGGGAGGTTTGTATCGTACAGGGGTTTGTCGGGAGCCCTATTTTTAGTGTTTTCAACGGGAAAACTATGTTGTGCCTTGGAAAACGTATTGGTGGCTTGTGGAATAAGTGTTTGTGAGTGAGTTTTCACCTTTGGATTACGGGAAGAATGACAAAAAACTTAGAAGATACCGCGGCAAAAAAATGGCGGGAACATGGTGAGCGCAATTTCATTTTTACCTATTTTTACGGGGTACCCGCTATATTTTTAAGAATCTTTTAAAATAAAGTGGTACACGAGCACACTAGTTTAACTAAAACTTTTAATCTTATGTGTCAAATCGTTGCATGGACTGCAACAGTGGCGGATCTAACGTTCCTCATATTAGCTGCAGATTCATATTGGAATATAATGAAATTACAGTCGACCACTTCTGTATGAGTTCAAGTCGCCGATATGCTAGAAAACTGGTATATTTAGCCCCTGAGAGCTGTTTTATGGTACTTATTAGCAAATATGGGTTTCAAACAAATTACTCTATATAGTATTGCGAAATTCGATATTACCGGTGGTGGAGCAAACGGGAGTCCTCAAAACAAAAAAATTCGCAGATCAAAAACAAAAAATTGTGCCACCAACAAACTTATACAGGGTGGCGCATCGAAAACGAAACAGACGCATTTACTGGCAGCTCAGTTTTTTTTTGGAAAAACGCTCAGACACAACAAAATCTTTAATGGAAAGGGGGGTCGAGTGATACCTTCTTTTAAAGTTCTTTCAATTCCCTTTATACTGATATAAAATTAATGTACTTCAGTTCAGTAGTTTTGAAGATTTATTGATTTAAAGCTTAAATAAAACTAATACATTATCATTAGAGGAGATCAATATATTTGGCAGCAAGGTAATTTAAAAATGAAGAACGAACTGACCCGTTAGGCAAGTAAATGTTGAAAATGGCCACCATGACCCTCCATGCAATAATAAAGATTTTGCTCAAAACGTTGAGTTAAAAAACTTTAGATATTTGAAAACGATCCATGGGCGCTGGAGCTATGGGCCAAAAATGCGAAAAATTAAAATTTTGAACTTTCTGCTTTTTTACGGAAAACTTTTTGTGGGTTAAAAATAAGTGATGGATGTTGCACGAGGGGGGAGGGTAAGTTTCAGTTTTACTAATCCATTATGAACTGATGACAGCCTTGCATGGGGGAAGTCTAGAATCAACCTACTTGACGACATTTTCATTTAAACAAAAGCAGCAGCATCGTAAATTACATGTCATACTTCTCCCTTCAATTCATTATCCTCCTACTGGGACCCACATATTTATACAATTTTGTATCTTTGAAAAATATCTTATAGGTAAGTAGATTTCAAAACACGTTATTATAAACTAATCCACTGCTTTTTATGGAAAGAATACGGTATTTTTGCTTTTTAATTGATTAATTGAGATAATTCGACGGCATTACTGAGGTTATTGAGAAATGCACCATTATTGGTCGGGCACTAAAACGGGTAGCATGTGATTTTTCATGCATTTTTGTTGCCTTCCAGTAGAATCATCAACTTGTTATCAGTACAAGTGTGATACCAGAAATAGTCGGTAACAATGACTGTCATGTGCAGATGTATGCATTTTTATAGCGCGAGCCGTATATTTTGATTGCGAAATTCTCCCAAGTGCAATAAACTTAAAAATACAACATCGTCCATATATGTTTTATCTACTGTATACGTGTATTTGGTTACATGGGCGCCCGCAAGAATTTTTCTCGTTGGCAAGAGGTAATTTGTTGTGCAATTGTACCAGCCCCCAAAGCTTTGTGGAGAGCCGCATGCATATTTAGCATGATTTAGTGTACAATTTTAAGGTCCAACCGGAGAATCATCTCAGTGGGTCACGGCCTCCCTGCCCCCCGCGGGCGCCTATGTTCAGTTATAATCACAGCAAATACACAATGCTCCAATCCTCGACTTTTTGACAATTACTGCCAAGCGCGGATCCAGGGGTGGGTCATGGAGGTCTAGTTTGACCACTGATATTTATGACATTCGAATTTATACTGACATATAAATCCGAACACCCAGTTTAAATGGTTTTATTTTAATAAAAGTTGGTGAATGTATTTATCTTACTGTAAAAAACAAGTGAACAAATTTTCAGCCTTATCAGTTGGACATTCCGGTTTTTATACTGCTTTTTTTTAATTCACTAACGCGCTACAAAATGAATATTTCAGCCGCAGTAAAGAATCAACGTTGGCGGATTTTGGTTCTTGACATCCTTTACGATCGGTTACGATGCCTAGAGTACGGAGACCTGAACGATTTCGTCAACTTAGTGAGTTTGATATTGGCCGTATAGTGGGACTTCGGGAAGCTGGACTTTCTTTTCGGGCAATTGCAGTTAGAGTGCAAAGAAGTGTAGACACTGTGGTTAGGTGTTGTCAGGCATGGCTTCGAGAAGGCCGTACGCAAAGAGCAAGGGGCACTGGACGCCGCCGTAGAACAACAGACCGTGAAGATCGCCGCCTAAGATTATTGGCCTTAAGGGAGCGTTTCTCCACTACCAGGTCCATTGCATATGAATGGTTTGCAGAACACGGAAGACCTATTGGCATGCGAAGTGGTTACCGACGAATGAGAAGTTTTGGCTTGTTTTCATACCGGCCACACTGGGTCCTCCCTTTAACTCGAGAACACCGACGTAATCGCCTTGAGTGGTGCAGACAACGGTCACTCTGGGATCAGGAATGGAACAGTATTGTCTTTAGTGACGAGTCTCGATTTTGTTTAGGCATGCACGATGGTCGTGCCAGGGTTAGAAGGCGACGTGGTGAAAGGAGGAATCCACAGTTTTTTGTTGAAAGACATGTTCATCACACTGTTGGAGTTATGGTTTGGGGTGCTATAGCTTATGGTTCCAGGTCACCTTTAATCTTCATCAGAGGTAACATGAACGCGCAGCGTTATATCCACAAAGTTCTAGAACCCGATCTTTTACCCTTGACACCCTGGCAGATCCAACTTTCCAACAAGATACACATGTTGCAAGAGTCACAATAGACTTCTTTCAACATAATTATGTCACATTGTTACCATGGCCACCAAGATCTTCCGACTTATCCCCAACTGAGCACGTGTGGGATATGATGGGTAGCAGATTGCTCAATTTGCAACGTCCTCCTCAGACTCTAGAAGCACTTCGAGAGGAGTTGGTGGTTGCCTGGAATGAGATACCACAGGAGGACATTGACCACCTGATCAGAAGCATGCCTAGGCGCGTTGGAGAATGCGTAGCACATCAGGGTGCATCCACACATTATTAAAGGTCAAAGGGCTTTAAAGCAGTGCAATCATTTTGAAATTTTTATCATTTACTTATTATGCTTCATTAAGTACTTATACAAAATTTTATTAAAATAAAACCATTTAAACTGGGTGTTCGGATTTATATGTCACTTAGTATATTTGATAAATTTAATGAAATAAAGAGTCTTTGCAAATAGTAGTGGATACAAACGGGTAAAACGTTACCAGATTTGGTGAAAAAATTCCACAGCTGGCAACCGTGATCATTGTGTAAGTACATAGATGATGGCGCGTAAATAAGAGGGTTGCGTAAGTCTGGTTGCCTATACGTTCAGCTTGACACAAATATAAATAAAACGGCGATTCTGTATTTTTCTGCTAGTTAGCACTGCATGTCCGTTAGTGCATTAGTGGAAATTGGGCCTCATGTGTTCTGTGATTAAGGTTGTCAATTGAAAACTTGCGGGCGCCTTTAATGCTGTAAGCAAATTTGATAAAAATACTTTGACAAAATCAGGGAAAAGCGGTTTCATTCGATTGAAATGTGATGGTAAGTTGTAAGCATCATAGTTATCTAACCGTAAAGGCATTCAAATCTCGCTCTCTTCATATATTAGCTCATAAACACACAGGTTGTATTTCGATTAGGCGCATTAGGCTAAAGAACGGCAACGCTGTCTCCTTCTAAAGTGAAGCGCCCACACTCGACCGCCGGCGCCGCAGCGTGCTCGATATCGTGCGTTGCCGCTTTTCGCTTTTTAGACTTCGCGCTAAGTAATCATTGAATATACAACCTGTATATACTACTTCATATTTTTGACACTTTTTATTTGTGAACTAGTATGTTAGTATTTTCCTAGTTTAGTCCTATTCAGTGCGTGATCCTCTCGATTTGCGAAACACATTTTTTCTTAAATAATTTTCAGTATCGTCGCTTAAAAGACGCATATATTGCTAATTTTTTTACACCTTTGTATAATAATGACTTAAAAATAGTATTTTTGGAAACTGGAACGCCTCTCGATAGTGGTGTAATGTTACCTGGGGTTGTTTCCAGAGATTTATTCATGTCAGATTTCGATAATATCAACCGAGAAGAATATCCTCCTGAACATGAACTCGCCCCCCCACAACTGCTGGATCCGCCCTTGATTAGCGCCCCAACCTACCGATGTGCACCAATTTTCATTTGCTTGTTCTAACTACAGGAGTCGAAGGCATATTTTTTTAAAATCTCAGTGATAGTGAATATCCGTTAAAAAAAGTAATTAACTCAGCTAATGCGGTAGAAAATGCAAATGAAATTCAGTTTCTATCACTTTTGCTTGTTGAAGAGAAAATAGTAACAGTAACCATTTCCTTTTCAACCAATTAGGTAAATTAATGCAAATATTATAAGCTTACGAAACAGTTTTTCCTCAGTTTGTATCATCCGCAAGTTTAATTTGCTTCTAGCACCGATATAATACATATTGATTGTATAATGTGTAGGTAAATAATGGACAATAGAAAGCCGATTGCATGAATCCTGAAAAGTAGGTACTAGCAGAGAATTTCAATTTATCAGCAGTTGGCTATGGAAAGAAAAACAATTGACGAAACTCCAACATATGTATTATGTATAGATATCGCTTCTGTGCTTCTTTTAAATATCACTTTTGTGTTCCAAAAATAGACGGAGATATGTTAGAGGGTGATTCCTTGTTAAAAAATATGAAAAAAGGGTGATACATTTTTGTATCAGTATCTTAAAAAATATTTACTCGACTCTGTTGAAGCTTGGCAATATTATTTGTTGTATTAAGAGGATACTTGTGATTTTTGTAGTAAAAATTAATAAACCAATTTTGTCCAGTGACAACGGTTTTTATTTTTTTTTTCGATACGAAAAAAATACAAGAGGCAAATAAGTTGTATTTTTAGATGCTTAATCAAACAACAAATATTAAAGTTACAAGAAAGGCAGTCGCGTACATTTTTTCTGCCAAAAGTATTCTCTAAGATGCCAGCTCGGGATGCCACTGGTCCTAATAATTTTGATCTACGAAGGGTTAAATTATCCTCTTAATACAACAAATAATATTGCCAAATTTCAACAGAATCAGGTAAATATTTTATAAGATATTAATAAAAAAAATTAAATTTATTGCCCTGTATGTTGAAAACTGCATTTCCGGACCCATTTTTATAGAAACTTGTTTTCATATTTTTCAACAATGAATCGCCCTCTAAAATATCTGTATTTTTGGAACACCCTGTATACTGACAATCTTTGGATTGAATTGAGGATAAATGACAAGTTTTCGATTGAAAATGAGCATCGGCATTACTTATTATATTTTTTCAAAATCGTTTTAAGTATTCCCAAGTCTAACAAAGATTTTTTTATCAGACCTTTACATTTTTATTAACCGCTTCTAAAACTATTCGCAAATTTTCCTGGTTAATAAAGTACTTCTTTGAGTTTTCACCCCACTTCCTGACTCGTGATTTTTTTAGTAAAAATTAATAAACCAATTTTGTTCAGTGACATGCAATAAAACGGTTTTTCTCGAAAATGAAGTCAGATACGAAAAAAATACAAAAGGCAAATAAGTTGTATTTTTAGATGCTAAATCAAACAACAAATAGTAAAGTTACAAGCAGGGCAGTGGCGTACATTTTTTCTTCCAATAATATTCGCTAAGATGCTCCCCCCCCCCGGGACGCCGCCGGTCCTTTTTTTTTGTTCTACTAAGGGTTAAATTATCACCCTGTATCTTGAAAACAGCATGTCCGGGCCCATTTTTATAGAAACTTTTCAACAAGGAATCGCCCTCTAAAATATCTCCGTCTATTTTTCGAACACCCTGTATATTGACAATCTTCGGATTGAATTGACGATAAAAGTATAAAACGACAAGTTTTGGATTGGAAATCAGCACTGCCGCAACTTGTTATATTTTGTTAAAATCGTTTATGGCACTTGCTTTAAGTATTCCCAAGTCTGACAATCATTTTTTTATCAGACCTTTAAATCTTGATTAACTGTTTCTAAAACTATTCGCAAATTTTCGTAGTTAATAAAAGTACTTCTTTGAATTTTTAACCCACTTCCTGACTAGTGATTTTTTTAGTAAAAATTAATAAACCAATTTTGTCCAGTGACATGCAATAAAACGATTATTATTGTTTTTCTCGAAAATGAAGTGAGATACGAAAAAAATACAAAAGGTAAATAAGGCAGTGGCGTACATTTTTTCTTCCAATAATATTCGCTAAGATGCCCCCTCCCCCCCCCCCCCGGGACGCCACCGGTCCTTTTTTTTGTTCTACTAAGGGTTAAATTATCACCCTGTATCTTGAAAACTGCATTTCCGGGCCCATTTTTATAGAAACTTTTCAACAAGGAATCGCACTCTAAAATATCTCCGTCTATTTTTGGAACACCCTGTATATTGACAATCTTCGGATTGAATTGACGATAAAAGTATAAAACGACAAGTTTTGGATTGAAAATCAGTACCGCCGCAACTTATTATATTTTTTTAAAATCGTTTATGGCACTTGCTTTAAGTATTCCCAAGTCTGACAATCATTTTTTTATCAGACCTTTAAATCTTGATTAACTGCTTCTAAAACTATTCGCAAATTTTCCTAGTTAATAAAAGTACTTCTTTGAATTTTTATCCCACTTCCTGACTAGTGATTTTTTTTAGTAAAAATTAATAAACCAATTTTGTCCAGTGACATGCAATAAAACGGTTTTTATTGTTTTTCTAGAAAACGAAGTGAGATACGAAAAAAAATACAAGAGGCAAATAAGTTGTATTTTTAGATGCTTAATCATTCATCAAATACTAAAGTTACAAGAAGCGCAGTGGCGTACATTTTTTCTGCCAATAATATAATGAGCATAACTTATTATATTTTTTCAAAATCGTGTATGGCACTTGTTTTAAGGATTCACAAATAATAATAACAAGCATTTTTTATCAAACCTTTAAATTTTTATCAACCGCTTCTAAAACTATCCGCAAATTTTCCTAGTTCCTAAAAGTACTTCTTCGAATTTCTACCCCACTTCCTGACTCGGTTGGGATAACGAAATGTATGTAATGTAATGAAGCTGAACAACTGCTGTTTTAACGGATTTCTGTTTCATTCGTTTATTATGCCTACACCTGTCCTCGTTCTAAGGGCCACCATACACGTTTTAATTTTTTGAAACAAGAACACTAGATGATATTTCCATGCCTAACGTTGCAAATACAGGAAAACAATATGTTTCCAGTTACGGCAAACACGTGCACAATCAAAACTTATGAATTTTGATTTCTGTCAAGTTGACATGTATCGCTTTATCGACAAATGTCTTCTAATATTCGTAAGGTTGTTCAAATATACATTATTTTGAATATTGATTCATCTAATCACAGGTATATGGATGGTAATTTATTTTGAATGAGCTCATTTTGCTTAAACTCAAATGTATGTTTTCTATTTCTTACTTGAAAAAGATCTGATGTCATTAATTGATTGTGATATTTATTCGGAAGATTAAGCAATTTGGAACACCTACTTTATAGGTGTATATACTTATTTGGTAATGAGTTTCCGGTACAAAATCTTAAAATATCATAGGATGCTAGTGATATTAAGAGCCAAATCATTGAATAGATTAAAATTTGTAAGCATGTAGCAGTTTTAATTAAGAGAGTAGTTTAGATAGCACATCCTTCTGTTTCGATAGCAATAGTAAAGGTAACTGTACCGGACGGATCTCAGTATTTAGGAGTGTTTGAACTGTAATAGGCACTGTAACTATTGCCGATCGGCGTGTGAAAATTTCGTTGTAAATGTCTACCTGTTCATCCTTGTTAAGTAATTAACGTGCGAATGCGAGCAGGTAGCGATCCTTGAAAGGATGCTGATACACAGGCACAGGTTCACAGGTAAAAGAGAAAAGAAGAGGATACGTGGCTGATAAATTCCCAAGTGGTACCTTCTGCAGTTTAAATCCCGTTTGTCAACACACACCGTCGTTTTGTCACCGCTTTGCCGTATGCCTAACAAATTGTCGGTTCGGAAATGTTCACTATAGTGATGGTATAGCCGCATTTGGCGCAATCCAATACACAACACTGCATCGCATTTCACATTTTTGTAACGGAATATCGTTGGACGGTTCGCGAGGCCGAATGACCGAACAGCCGAACATCGAAGAATCGCCTCTCGAAAGCCGACGGCGACGGCCCAAGGAAGCTTTGGCAGCACCGTACCACGATACCATCGATGGTACCGCGGTACCATTACCAACATAGCTGACAGTACCACTTAGGCAGGCGGCGAAGCTTGTTCTCGACATTACCCACAGGAGCTGCGAGCGCGTAAACTCAGCAACCTTTGAATTTACTTTAATGAAACTTTGGAATTGATAGGAGAAAATGTGGTCAGTTAAACAGTTGTTCTACAGTATATTCAGATAAGAGAGACCGGACATAAACAAGACCACGTGATCATCGAACGCTGTAACATTCGGCAGGGACGTATTAAGAGTCACGCAGTATATATTTTAGATAGTAGATGCTGCTTTGCGTAACTTTGTAGTAAATTAGCACAATTCGATGTGTATACGATTGGTGATGGATATAGGATCATGTGGGGGTGGGGTAAGAAATATATAATGATGTAAATATACATAAGGGTTTCAAAATTTTCGCTTCGATTTCCAGCTTCGGATGCCGCCTGATGTTTGGTGAAAAACGGTCGAATATAATCTCAAAATGGCGTTTAAATTAGCCTAAATTAAAAATAATCGTATATCTCTTAAAATTGCTTTTAGAATATTGATTAGTATATTTTTTGATTTCTAGGTAAATATGTAACCAAATTAAAACGTTCAAAACGTAAAAAAATGTGCATGGTTGAACATTGTCAGAAAGTAGATTCTTGAATAGATTTTGCCAAAATGGGTTCAAAAATGTCAATAATTAATTAAAAAATACAGTAGCTTTATAATTACTTATAACTTACCGAATTTGATGAACGACATCTTTTATTGGAAATATGAGCTTGATGAGCTTTCATCATCGCTACTGCCTGAAGCACCAACGTCAATAATGGATGGCTCGACTTGTTCCTCTAAAATATTGTCCAGTTCCCACATTCTCTTTTCAACTTTGTCTTTCACGTGCTTAATACAGTTTTATTTTGACTTGCTGCCATTTCGTCAATGGCGTATTTTTGATATTCCGCCTTGTGATCCTTGACAATTCTTAATAATTGTACTTTCAGCATTGCTTCTTCAAAGTTGATATTTTTCGAGCGGAGCCAATTTTGAACATCAACTTTCCTTGAAGCCGTTGTTGGGACCTTCTCCATTCTTCGAGAATGATAAGGCGCATTATCCAACACAATTACTGCGTTTTCCTCTAAGTTCGGTAAAATTTTTGAAAACCACTGTTCAAACGATTCACCATTCATTTCCTCGTGGTAATCTCCAGTTTTCTTAGACTCAAAGCACCACAGACCGTCAACAACAAATCCATCCTCACTGCCAATATGGCAGATAATGAGCCTTTTCCCTTTACCTGGAAATCGAAGTACTAACTGGTGTAGATTTATTTCAATAAGCGAACCTTTTTCAAATGTTTTCATCACATTCAGCGAAAAAACATTGAGACATGAGTATCAGATTGCTATAATTGGGATTATTTAGTCATATTGAAAGAAAGAATATTGAACGTCGTATGATTACTCAGCGCTTCACAATTTAATTTAAAGTTATAAACCTTTAAAAAATGAATGATCAGGAACCTGAAATACGCGCAAATATTAATATTAACAAATTATAACTTTATAAAGCTTAAATTATGAATTAAAATGATTAGAAATATTAGGAACGGTACACAATATAAAACTTAGTAACTTTTTTTAAGTTTATAATATTCGACATATTTTAAGATTATATTAAAAAATTATTGAAATATCGAAAACACATAAAAACATGCCTTAAAAAAGTTCTAACAAATGAAAATGACAATAAAACATCCACGCATTTTATCGAAAGTTATAAAAGTTTTGTTACTTGTAATATGTTTTATCTGCCCCCTGGAATTAATGTTTAGAACCTTGTTCCCAAGGTTTGAAAAGCATCCGATTGTTGTCTATTACTCGTATTTACCTGCTGGATTTTTTAATCCGGTGGACAGTCCATCTAGAAAGGTCCTCCTGGATGAAGTTACAGAATCATCAACCCATACTTTACTTGTAGTGTGTCCTGCGTTTACCCACGTTTCATCAAGGTAATAAATCTTTCTGTTTTGATTTCTATATTTCCCAATTTTTGTTAAATAATCCCTCCTCCATAGCACAAATTCTTCTCTATCCAGTAGTAAACTATTACGACCCCGTTTTTTCCATTTGAAATTTAAATGCTTCAGTAACGCATGGAAAGTTGATCGTTTGAAATTTGGCAACGTTGTATCTCCATTTACCTCCTGCAGTACTTTATCTATAGTAGGTATTACATTCCTAAAGAAGAATTCATGCACTTTCCTCCTAATCGCATGCTTATCAGCTTCATCCAATGATTTAACAATACTTTTGCGATGTTTACTGGTCATTGGCTCAGAAAAGGTGTGATTTTTTTTGTATTGTCTTAACACATTAAACACTGATGCGCGACACACTCCAACTTTGTGAGAAACCTTCACAACAATTTCTTTGATGGTTGATGCCTCGTTCTCCTCGCGCTCGATCTTATATATATTCAAAATGACCTCTTTCATTTCTGCACTCAGGTGTCTTTTTTTAGAGCGTTTCCCAGGTGGACTACAGGAGTATACAACTTCATCGGCAGTATCTGTACTACTGGGCATTTTGCGCAAGCAGTTGATAACAATAACAATCAATAACAAGGTATAAGAATAACAACGACAAACTCAACAACTTAATAAGATAACAAACGAAAACGTCCAAAGAAATATCAAATTGCAATGATGCACACGACATACGTAACACGTCTGAACCTGAATGTGACTCTGCCTTGATACGACTGCTCTGCCGCTCGGCATAGGCATTTAATTGCGAATTGACCAATGAGGGCTCCTGTTTTACGTCGAGACGGCGGCGTTAGCGTGAAAATCACCCGAACCTTTTGTTTACATCCGGTCTATCTCTTATCTGAATATAGTATATTAATGTCTACTTTAAGCTTTAAATCAATAAATCTTCAAAACTACTGAACTGAAGCTCATGTATTTTACATCATTATAAAGGGAATTGAAAGACCTTTAAAATAACGTATATAGTTTTTTCCAAAGATTTCCAAAATTCTTACATGCGATCAACACCGATCCGAAAACTGAGACAACAACAACTATGCTGTAAATATAAGTTCGACAACGAAACTCTTGAGGAATAACATCTATATTGAATTTCATAAAATAATTGATATTTTTATCACCTGCTGATATAATAGAAGTGCTTGATTGTGTCAGTATTTACACCAATCACTTGATTTGTTTAACGGGTAGTTGAGAGTATTAATCCTTAAGCTTAGTACACACTAGTAGACCTTGTTGCGCGTTTTGTCTATAGGCGGTCTCAAGACACGATCTATACGTATAGATGGTCTATAGACATCCTTCTTTGTCTCGTCCAGCGTCCATACGATAATGTGAAATCAAAAATTTCTGCTCCCAGGTCTCATACCATACCCAATAAGAGGATTTAATAAATAATATAACGATGCATAAAAAAGTAAAAACTTTATTAAAGTAGGTATTCACATTATACGTATACAGTGTTTTTCAGCGTCCCTTGGACGGGTCAAGTTAGTGAACTGAGGTCTGGTTTGATTTGGCGTAAAAGTGGCAGTTGAAAATTCCAAAGCGGCCAATTATCATCTTGGAGCATTTTTTTTTAAATCGAATGGGAGGTCATGTGATTCTTCATTTTGAAGAGGCCTTAGGTTTATCCATCTTATAGGATATACAATTACTCACTCAAATTGGCGGACTGGCACGCTGTGAAAGTTGAAAGTAATCAAGACGCTATAGTAATAGTATATAGTCATATCAATCTCGTGGAAGAATCTATCTACATACAGGGTGACTTCGAAGTAGAGTCATTTATTTTAACAGTGAGTAGATCTGATCAAAAGAAATGTTTTTTCCTTTAACGTTTTTCTGGTAAAATTAAAGTAACAAAGTTATAGCCCTTTAGAAGTTTGAGTACCGCCCTGTCTCAATAATAATATTATGTGCTCGTGTTTGGCAACAACGGATATAATCCGCCTTATCGGTTCATCGCATCAGAAACAAAAAAGCGAAAGAATTTGAAACGCTTATCACGATGTTTTTACTACAATTTTATTCAGTTGTATTCAGTCAATGTGTCAGTCGGTAACGCGTGAGTGAATAGTGGTGTTTGTTGCATGGCTCAAACGAAATAAAAAATGGCACATACTGAACTTGTGGACATGATTCTTATTTACGGGGGGGAGTCTTTACAAAATGCTGCCGCGGCATCACGGATTTATGCGGATCGGTTTCCCAATCGAGTGCAACCAACCCCTCGTGCCTTTGTTAATGTAGTACAAAGGGCTCGTGAATCAGGTGACGTAAGACCTCACAGGGGAGGGCATGCCGGTGCTCCAAGACCGCACGATCAAATACAGGTCCGCACTGAAATACTTTATGACAATGTAAAATTTTTTTTAAATTTTTTTTTTATTTTTACACACATATTTTGGTTTATCTTCCTTCTACAATGATTATCTGAAAATTAATGACTCAACTTCAAAGTCACCCACCCTGTATACGCTACATTGGAAAAATGTCAGAATTTGCGAACTTTATTATTCTCTCATATTTTATTGCACCTTCTAAACGGAGAAGATTAATATGACATGCGTACTATAACGCTTTGATGATTACTTGTCGAGTTATCAGCGATTCGATATTCAAAAACGCTCAACTCAAGAAAGAGTTTGTATTCTAGAGTTGAAAAGTATTAGTAAGAAGCTTCAAAATGAGGTATAGCACGTCCCTCATTCTGTTTAAAAATGTTCCAAAATGGCGCCCAGACTCTTTAATGAAATTTTCAAATGTTATTTTTAATCTTGCTTCAGCCGTTCACAAATAAGTAGGTACCTAGGGGAATGGAACATTTCAATGTATGTATACTCTTTTGTGGCATGACAATAAATGCATAGGAACCATCATTAAGGGTGTCAGCAAGTTGGGGTTTTCCTTTAAACGACATGCAGATCTTGAGAAGAAAAGCGGATTTTTTTAGTAGCATATAGACCAATGTCTTAAGAGAACCGAGATATTGGGCTCCGAAAACTCAATCAAACCTGTACCAAACCGAAGCCGATCCTGTCCTATCCCTCGATCACGTCCACAGCGCCAGCGGACAGTTATACGATGTATCACTACGATGTAAATACGGATTTTACGACAGAGCCGTACTTAGAATTTCAATTCAACTGAGCAGCGAGTATTTTTTCATTTATTTTTTTTACTTGTTCGCTCACGTTTCACCACACGGTAGCTTTGTTATGTCAAGCGTGGTTGTGCTTGAAAAGGAAAACCCCAACTTTGCGGACACCCTGTATTTTCTTATAAGAAAGAACCGGGACCTATTTTCCTATATATCACCATGAATCAAGTCCTCTTTGTATTTTTTCAATACGAACCTGAGAGGTCATTATTATACGGACTATATTTTTTTAAGAAAATGTAATCCGCTAATTTCATCTTGCAATTTTGATAATTCAAAATTCAGTTGGAAGTATTTAGCATAATAATGAAATAATGGACACCTCTATGTTGGGTCAATAGTAGTTTACTTTTCAACCAAGGTACGTAATGTTCTATTATCTTTTTTGAGGTACAGTTATTTACTCATACTGATTATCATATTGTGCGTAAGTAGGCCTCTGATTGTTATGACGATGCGATTGGTAGTCGATGGTATCTGGTTGCCTATATTGGTGTCCCCTGTCGGCTGAATCCTGCTGCTGATATTGTGGCTCTCCTTCCCGTTCCCGATATTTGCTGGACTGTTTTGCTTCATGCTGATATATTGCCGCAGGTAAGTATTTGAGATGGACGTACCTGGAATCGATTGAATAGACATATACTGAGTGACAAGAAAAGGTAAACACCTACGTATGTTTATCCGATTTTAATAATTTTTGGCATATATGTTCAGTGCCTCTTACTAGAGCTGCTAATGTCTGTGGAGGGTGTTGCAAATGCAAGAGCCTGCGGCCTATCATGTCCCAGACATGTTCAATTGGAGATAGGTCAGGCAATCGTGGTGGCCAAGGTAAACGGTTGATGCGATGTCGATCCATAAAGGCTAACGATGCTGTGGCAACATACGGTCTGGCATTGTCTTGCTGAAAAGTCGAGTTTTGGATGGTTTTTAGGTATAGAATAAGATAAGGCTCCACTACTTCCTGAATATAACGTCGGGCTGTCATATTGTCATATGAAAATTAGTAGTGATCTGCTACTCTAACCAATACCACCCCACACCATAACAATTTTATCACTTGTTCATGGCAAGATAAATCGATAAGTAAAAAATTCTTCAATTCTAATAAACATACGTAGGTGTTCACCTTTAGTTGTCACTCAGTATAGAAATTACACTGATCAACAGCCAAAAAATATCCTAAATAAAATCAACAAAATATTACTATTTTTAATGTGCTAAAACCGGAATGAAACTTATTTTTTCAATATTAGTTCAAGTTTTAGAGATACGGTAATTATATGTGTTCCTGCTGTGACAGTGTTAATATACTGTAATTCACAAGAATGCACGTGCTACATTTTTATATTCGGCAAGGAAAGATGATGTAATCGGCATGATTGTGTTACGTTATACATACGTGTACATTATATTGTTTTATATTAGCCATTTTTTCCTCAGTTGGCTGACAGCGTTCATGCAAGATGTCTCGAAAGTGTGTAAACAATCCAGATCAGTTTTGTTACGTGTGTGGTGATGTGACTTTTGCGTCTCAGAGACGGTCTATTACTCCACTAATAACAAAGGCATATCAGCTTTATTTCGGTTGTAAACTAGGTGATCAAGACAAACAGTGGGCACCCCACATCTGCTGTAATACATGTGCTTCAAGTCTGAGGAGCTGGTTAAATCGCAAAAAACGGTCTATGCGCTTTGCTGTCCCAATGGTTTGGAGAGAGCCTACAAATCATATTAATGATTGTTACTTTTGCATGGTACCTTGTGTTGGACAAGCCACAGGTATGTCCAAGAAAAAAAAATCGGTTATTAACTACCCAAACATACCATCTGCGATGAGACCTGTGCCTCACAGTGACGAAAATCCTATTCCAAAACCCCCAGAATCCTACACTTGCGAATCAGAAAACGAATCAGATCATGACGATCGAGTGATTCGTCAGGAAGAAGATATGCCATCAACGTCAAGAGATCCTGATTTTATACCGAGCACGTCATGCCACCAACTGCACAAAATAACACAGTCAGAATTAAATGATCTTGTAAGAGATTTAGAACTTCCAAAATGTAAGGCAGAGTTACTTGGATCAAGACTGCAGCAGTGGAACTTGTTAGAAGACGATGTTTCGGTATGTGTTTTTCGTAAACGCCACAAAGACTTAGAACCATTTTTCAATATGGAGAATAACTTGGTTTTCTGCAGTAACATTAACGGCTTACTGGCGGCTTTAAATATAAACTATAACCCAGAAGAATGGAGATTGTTTATAGACAGTTCAACATTGAGTTTAAAGGCAGTGTTATTGCATATTGGAAATATTTTACCATCTCTTCCTGTAGGGTATGCAGTTCACATGAAAGAATCATATGACAATACGAAGTACCTATTGACATGCATAAAATACGATGAGCACCAATGGCATATTTGTGGCGATTTGAAAGTTGTTGCACTTTTACTTGGGCTGCAGCTAGGCTACACAAAGTTTTGCTGTTTTTTGTGTGAATGGGACAGTCGGGCAAAGGCACTTCATTACACCAGACAAAACTGGCCTGTTCGTCAATTCCTAGAGCCAGGTCAAAAAAATGTACAGCATATGCCATTAGTAGATTCGAAAAAAAATTTATTACCACCACTGCATATCAAGTTGGGTCTAATGAAAAACTTTGTCAAGGCATTAGATATAGATGGGTCAGCTTTTCAATACCTGCGTCAGAAATTTCCAAGACTAAGTGAGGCAAAGGTTAAAGAAGATATTTTTGTTGGGCCACAGATTTCCGTCTGGTGGTCACTAATTTCTTGGGAAATAGAAAAGCTGACAACTATAAAACCCTTGTTAAAAATATGCTGTCATCGTATCAAAAGATGGGCTGTAATATGTCTCTTAAGATACATTTCCTACACTCACACCTGGAGTTTTTTCCTGACAATTTGCGGAGCCGTAAGTGATGAGCACGGCGAACGTTTTCATCAGGATATTTCAACAATGGAAAAAAGGTACCAGGGAAAGTGGAATCCTTCCATGCTTGCAGACTACTGTTGGACTCTTGGTAGAGATGCTCCAGAAACGATCCATAAAAGAACAGCAAAAAGACAGCGCATATAGTGATTCTTATAAGTATATGAATCTTGTTACTTTTTTTAATATATCCTTAAAAATAAAAAGTTTTTTTTCTAAACCGCAACTAATTTTTTTATTTCATTGTCATTTTTGGATTCAGCGCCCCAAAATTAATAAAGAAGTGCACTTTTCCCACAAGATACAATTAAAAAACTAAAATTTGTTGTCCAGTGTTATGAATCGAGATGTACAAATGTGCCGTACGAAATTCCTTTTCTCTTTGGCATAAAGGAGATATCCGAGTTTTTCTCGCTTTTTCTTTGAAAATTTCTAGAAAAAAAAAATAAGATGCGGAATCAAAACAGTGTCACGCTGATATGATCGCTCATCATTTAGCTATCGAATGAGACCGATCTCGAGTAGATATTTTGATAAACGGCGAAACGTAGCCTACCGAAGTCTTCCGTTTTTCAGAATTGAACCGCCCTAAAGCGCCGAGTTTCTAGTTTTGATAATACCAACTCAATGTTCCGATGGAAATTTTTGTACGGTAGGTACCTCGGTTCCTGTTGAGCAAAGTGATGTTTAGGTATGTTGGCGTTCGCCTGTTTTGTAGCTTGTTGCAACCGAGCTGCGACCATTTCGTATCTGGCGAGCGCCTGTTGCTGCTCCACTGGCAAATTCACTTGTTCGTACTCCAATTGCTGGCCGTTCCCTTTTTGGAATCGGATGGTTTTCGATTTCGAAAACGCCGCCGGTTGGTACTTCTCCTCTTCAGCCGTTTTCGCGTTCGGCAAATACATGGGGCCCCGGTATTGGTTCTCGTGCTCGCCGTCACCGTCACCTTCGTCTGCGCCCTCATTTTCGCGCTTCCGCTGGTCAGGATATATCAGAGTCGGTGCTCGCGGGAGGTACCCGTATCTACAACATTACATAATAATGCAATACCATGTAAAAAAGATAATACAAATAATAGGAGGTTTTTCAGCGTTAAGGGAAGCTGAATATTCAAAATGTTTGTGATTAAAAGATATTTGCATCTGCGTATCGTCAGCGTATGTCATAACATTACAGCTTTTAACTAAAATGTGAGACGTATAAATGATGAAGAGCAAAGGGCCTAGAACACACCCTTGCGGCACTCCAGATGTAACAAACATAGGAAACTGTTCATTCTGCTGTTTGGGGGGAGGTATAGAGTTATTATCAATTTTGATTTTGATTCATAAATGTTCCAGTATCTACTGCAGTGTCATCTTCAATAAAAACCTCGAAATCCATCATGTCCCAAATTATATTGTTCTTTAGAAAAATCGACAAACCACCGATACAACTACCCCTTATATGGAGAGCGTCTGAAGTAATCTTAGTATTGAGCTTATTGAAAGTATTTCAAAATCTTTTTCAGTTATCAATGACGAGAACTCTGTAGAGAGGTATAATATTTATATGATTTAAATGATGAAAATAAATTGATAAAAATATGAAAACACACTTGGGTACCGGACGTAAGGCCTATGAAGGACAACAAGGCAAAGTTGCCAGATTGCTTGCAGTGTTGTCAGTCTTATTACTTTTCTGCAACGCCTGGTATTATAAGAATAAAAACCAACTGATTCTGGGGTATTTCCGCAGAGAGCGTCATATTTATAGCATCTTCAATTTCGATTTAAAATTGCCTATATTTGAAAAAATGAATTTTTGTTGCGCTGTTGAAGACGTAGCTATAGCTTGACTGAAAAAATTGACAAATCAGTATGAGGAAAAAATTGAGTGAAATTGATTAATTCGGTGAAAAAGTTAAAAAAACAAATTCTGTGAGATGTGTGTACCTTGGCGGTGCCACTGGTTTCGATGGATGGTACTGTCGAGCGGGAGCTTTTTGAAAACTTTCGTACGTTTGTTCCGGTTGTGTGTACTCCAAACCATCTGGCAACCTCTGGGACGTAGGCTGATATTTTATATGCGCCCTTTTTCCTGAAAACATACACCACACATAATAAATATGTAATATGTAATATATAATATATAATATATAATATATAATATATAATATATAATATATAATATATAATATATAATATATAATATATAATATATAATATATAATATATAATATATAATATATAATATATAATATATAATATATAATATATAATATACAGGGTGACTTCGAAGTTGAGTCATTTATTTTAACAGTGAGTAGATCTGATCAAAAGAAATGTTTTTTTCCTTTACCATTTTTCTGGTAAAATTGAAGTAACAAAGTTATAGCGCTTTGGAAGTTTGAGTACCGCCCTGTCTCAATAATAATATTATGTGCTCGTGTTTGGCAACAACGGATATAATCCGCCTTATCGGTTCATCGCATCGGAAACAAAAAAGCGAAAGAATTTGGAACGATGTTTTTACAATTATTTTATTCAGTTGTATACAGTCAGTGTCAGTCGGTAACGCGTGAGTGAATAGTGGTGTCAGTTGCGTGGCTCAAACGAAATCAAAAATGGCACATGTTTACGAACATGCTGAACTTGTGGACATGATTCTTATTTACGCGGCATCACGGATTTATGCGGATCGGTTTCCCAATCGAATGCAACCAACCCCTCGTGCCTTTGTTAATGTAGTACAAAGGGCTCGTGAATCAGGTGACTTAAGACCTCACAGGGGAGGGCATGCCGGTGCTCCAAGACCGCACGATCAAATACAGGTCCGCACTGAAATACTTGTCTTTTTTTTATTTTTACACACATATTTTGGTTTATCTTCCTTCTACAATCATTATCTGAAAATTAATGACTCAACCTCAAAGTCACCCTATAATATATAATATATAATATATAATATATAATATATAATATATAATATATAATATATAATATATAATATATAATATATAATATATAATATATATAATATATAATATATAATATATAATATATAATATAATATAATATATATATAATATATAATATATAATATATAATATATAATATATAATATATAATATATAATATATAATATATAATTAACATCGTTAGTTAAAAATTACGTGCTTTATGGTTTTATAAACATTAAATAGCTCGCCGTTTTTGTTCACAATGGTCCAAAATAAGAAAAAATGGTTGGAGCGGAAACAATTTTTTGTAATTTATTTTAATAAACTCTTAAAACAAAGTTTATCTGGGTTACTGACCGGCTAGGTTTTAGAAGAAAAAGTTGTTTATAAAAGTTGTAGGGTCTAATATGAAGTTTTTCATGTTATATTTTTTGTATACCGGGTGTTTCAGAAAAGTGCTATCGGAAAAGGTTGTATTTTTTCGCCGGACACCCCATACCTTCTCTACTGGCAGTCTTCTGGTAGTCTGGTTGTTGGTGATAGTAAAATCCAGAATCGTGAGACTCCTGCGGTGCGCTTTCGATCGGATGTCTGGTGAATGCCAGTTTTGCCTGGTACTTCACTGGTGCCGGATGCTGTTTCAATTGATCCTGCTGATATTGCGCTAAATGTTGCACGTAAGCTGGTGGTGGATCCGCAGCTACTATCTTCGTATTTTCTTCTGGATGAAAATGAGGTGAAACATCACCTTTATCGGACTCGTACGCATGAGAATGGGCTTTTGCGTGCTTTTGTTGCAGCTGCTGTAACTCTTGTAACCTGCAAAAAGGTGGCTGGATCATCGAAGGATATGCTCTACGTAAGGCACTTTGTATTCTGTTTTTTACAGAGACTGCATAGCGTGTTAAATCTGTTGGCGCAAAAAACGTAGTTATTGCCAGGTGACGACAAAAATATATATAATATATATATATATATATATATATATATATATATATATATATATATATATATAATTATAATCCGATTTCACAGCAGAACTTCAGTTTTCAAGCAAATGGACAATTTTTTTTTAATTACCGTATTTCCATTTTAGTTAAAATATCGTTAGCATTTCGTTAGTATTCCAAGGAAATCAAATGATTTTTTGCAAGGTCGATAAAAAATTGGCAGTTCGCTTTCCAAGGGCGCAAGAGCCTTATTTACTGAATTGTAGATTTCTAACACCACAAAACACATTCTGGCCTTACATGAAGGAGCCCACAAGTAGGCCATTTTGGTCGGTTGATTTTTTTCTTATTTCATTATAAAGGTTGTTGGCAACTTATTTATATAATACTCATTAAACTCCTTAGCTCTACGATAATGTTTAAGTAATGTCAGTTGAGATTTTTTTTTCGCAAAGTTGGAGTTTTCCTTTACACGATGTGTAGATCTTGAAAAAATAAGCGGATTTTCTTAGTAGCATGTACACCAATCTCTTAAGAGAACTGAGATATTGGGCTCCGCAAACTCAATCCGAACCCGGCCCTGTCCTATCCCTCGATCACGTCCACAGCGCCAGCGCCAGCGTACAGTTATACGACGTATGACTACGATGTAAATACGGATTTTACGACAGAGCCGTACTTGGAATATCAATTCAACGGAACAGTGAGTACTTTTTCATTTATTTCTTTTACTTGTTCGCTCACGTTTCACCACATATTAGCTCAGTTATATCAAGCGTGGTAGTGTCTGAAAAGGAAACCCTGTTTTGTAAGTATTTCATATTTCGTTTTAATGAAATTCCTTTCTGTTTTGATAACATCGTTAGTTTTAAGATAAGCGACTGATTTATTATATCGACATTGTATGGCTTATTCCTTGCAAAGCCATTCTCAAGAGTTTAATGAAACTTAAATTCACTAAAGAATGATCAATTCTGCAATAATACAGTTACAGAATAAAAAAAAATGTTAGTTCAGGATTTGTTCATTTCATTGATTTTTTTTACACTGAAGTGTAGCAGTAGCAGTAGCCTAAATGCCAGGGCACCGCGGCTGCTATGAGGAACTGGGAAAAGCCTCCTCATGTAGATTGTTCCACAATCTCGGTGCTCTAGGGACAAAGGAGCGATCCTATCGACCAGTTCTGGATATATAAAGTTTGACACAGTGGGCGTAGCGGTAGAAGAGCGATAGCTCGATGGCGCGAAAGGGTCCGAGACTGTCCGCTAGAGAAGAGTAATCGACAGCCCTCTTCTGAGCTGCATCGAGCATGGATAATGTAGTCGGGGCGACTGCACCCCAAACATGTGAGCAGTACTCGGGGCTAGGTCTTATCTGGGCCCTAAACAAATAGCCGAGATTTTTCCCAGCAGATGCCGACATTGACGAGATGTGTTCGTGCCAGCTCAAGTTCTCGGTGACCTGGACTCTGACCAGCCGAAATGAACGGCTCTGTTCCAGTAAATGAAGGAATAACTGTTCATTTATTATAGTAGTCTTCCAAGGGATTTCAAACATTTTGAGTTGGGTACCTGGAATAGTAATCAATATCTTCGTCAGCCGGCGACTGTTTGGGTTTGACAACCTTCCTGATGTGTTTTTTTGGTACTGATTGGGTAACGTGGATGAGTGATCGTGGAGATGAAGTATCCACTCCATCGTGTGTAATCTGCTCGTTTTGGTATTTTGGAGGAACGTATACTGAAGCTTGCTCTGCTCTTGGTTCCTCTAGCTCGAATTGGAAATGTGGCTCGACTTCCTGTTTGCTGAAAAAAAAAACGAGAAAAAAATTAATAATTATTGCAACAACAGCTTTTATGCGACTTTCAAAATTCTAATGGTGAGATTCAAGCTTCAAACATTGGGCAAGTCTAAAAACTACAAAGCCCCCCGGAACTTTATTCTGTGCGTCTGTCCGCTGATTACTCGGAATATCGAAACAAGGTTACGACTAAGGCAGAAAAAGCTTTATAGGTTTTGAAAATTGATCTAAGCTAAGATGGGGAACTATGGGCAAAATTCGAAGAAAATAAAAATCGCTAAAATTTCTTTTGACCTCTGAGAGACTCCTAACAATTTTAATTTTTTGTTTTTGGTGTGGGTTGATAATCAAGAATTGGGGGTTGTAGGGGATGGGGGCTACAAATGTTGCATCTTTGGTGTCAGTGACAGATTTTTATTATGAAGGATGTTTGTCATCGCATAGAAACAGTTATAACCGCATGATGGCAGCACCAGTATTTAACGCCAAAAGGTAGAAACGCAACGTAACTGATATACCTTAAAGTCGGCTGTCGGCATTTCGTCATGGTGGGTAGCGTTGCGTTAAATAAATACCAAAAGTAATAGCCATCCTATTGTACATATACATTCATATTGGTATTGTCATATAGTTATTATAATAGATGACAGAATTGTGTGGGAAATACAAAGATACAGAGTCAATTAACTTGACGCCATTTTCCCTGGGTATCAAAGAAATGTTGTTATTGAGTATTTGATGGTGACAGTTGCGCTAATGCTAATTATATGATGGAAGGTCGGCAATCGGCATTGATCAATGCCAATGTTCCCCAACGGCATTTCACTTTTATTTGTTATTCTATTATCTTCAGCGCCAGCGGCAAGTGCGATTTTCACCTTTGCGGCTGCTTTCGCAAACTTTTCATTACTTTATTTACAAGGCTTCAATTCCTTTCAATTGATGATAATTTTATCACCTATCTCACTGATTTATGTATTCATTTACTGTTATTAACAACTTCCTGGTCCGGATTTTTCACTCGTTATTATAAAATACATTTTCGCATTGCTTTTAGACCACATTACATTTATTATCAATCCCGCCATAGCAAGATCCTGTTTCCGAGTTGCGTGCTAAATGTAACCACTGGCAGTTGGTTAGGCTTAGGTGTAACCATTACATTCATTAAGTAGGGGACGAGCGCTGAAACGTTTTAATGATATCCTATCTGGCATAGTTCAATTTTTCGAACAACGCGATAGATAGATAGTAGCTTTATTGTCCAACAGTGGCCCATTAACACGACAATATTATACAAAATCCATACAAAAGATACAGAACAAACTATGTAACAAAACAAACATATCTCATGTATATCCTTGACCTACATATGTATACTAAGTGACATATAAATCCGAACACCCAGCTTAAATGGTTTCATTTTAATAAAATTTTGTATAAGTACTTAATGAAGCATAATAAGTAAATGATAAAAATTTCAAAATGATTGCACTGCTTTAAAGCCCTTTGACCTTTAATAATGTGTGGATGCACCCTGATGTGCTGCGCATTCTCCAACGCGCCTAGGCATGCTTCTGATCAGGTGGTCAATGTCCTCATGTGGTATCTCATTCCAGGCAACCACCAACTCCTCTCGAAGTGCTTCTAGAGTCTGAGGAGGACGTTGCAAATTGAGCAATCTCCTACCCATCATATCCCATACGTGCTCAATTGGGGATAAGTCGGGAGATCTTGGTGGCCATGGTAACAATGTGACATCATTATGTTGAAAGAAGTCTATTGTGACTCTTGCAACATGTGGTCGGGCATTATCTTATTGGAAAGTTGGATCTGCCAGGGTGTCAAGATAGGGTAAAAGATGGGGTTCTAGAACTTCGTGGATATAACGTTGCGCGTTCATGTTACGTCTGATAAAGATTAAAGGTGACCTGGAACCATAAGCTATAGCACCCCAAACCATAACTCCAACAGTGTGATGAACATGTCTTTCAACAAAAAACTGTGGATTCCTCCTTTCACCACGTCGCCTTCTAACCCTGGCACGACCATCGTGCATGCCTAAACAAAATCGAGACTCGTCACTAAAGACAATACTGTTCCATTCCTGATCCCAGAGTGACCGTTGTCTGCACCACTCAAGGCGATTACGTCGGTGTTCTCGGGTTAAAGGGAGGACCCAGTGTGGCCGGTATGAAAACAAGCCAAAACTTCTCATTCGTCGGTAAACACTTCGCATGCCAATAGGTCTTCCGTGTTCTGCAAACCATTCATTTGCAATGGACCTGGTAGTGGAGAAACGGTCCCTTAAGGCCAATAATCTTAGGCGGCGATCTTCACGGTCTGTTGTTCTACGGCGGTGTCCAGTGCCCCTTGCTCTTTACGTACGGCCTTCTCGAAGCCGTGCCTGACAACACCTAACCACAGTGTCTACACTTCTTTGCACTCTAACTGCAATTGCCCGAAAAGAAAGTCCAGCTTCCCGAAGTCCCACTATACGGCCCCTATCAAACTCACTAAGTTGACGAAATCGTACAGGTCTCCGCACTCTAGGCATCGTAACCGATCGTAAAGGATGTCAAGAACCAAAATCCGCCAACGTTGATTCTTTACTGCGGCTAAAATATTCATTTTTAGAGCGTTAGTGAATTAAAAAAAAGCAGTATAAAAACCGGAATGTCCAACTGATAAGGCTGAACATTTTTTCACTTGTTATTTACAGTAAGATAAATACATTCACCAACTTTTATTAAAATAAAACCATTTAAACTGGGTGTTCGGATTTATATGTCACTTAGTATATTAGCTATCCTAACTAATTCTTTGTTAGAAGTACAAAATATATCGCAGAAACTACAGATTCTATTGAAATTTTTAAACTGTATAGCTCGGTATTGGTAACACCCCTTTCTGGGTAAATTCCATCAATTTTATAAACTAAGAACTTAAAAAATCTTCTCTGTACTTTCTCCAAACAACTCTTTTGCCACTCATAAATGAGATTCCAAACTATACAAGCATACTCCAGTTTGGACCTCGTAAAAGCAAAATACAGTAGCTTAATGGTTCTTATGTTATGGAAATGTCTACAGTTTCTAACAATAAATCCATATAACTGTATAGAATGTGAAACTAATGCTTCAATATGTTTACCAAATGTCAACTTGTAATCAAAAATCACACCTAAATCCTTAATTTCGGTACAACGCTCCAGAGATAGCCCATTTAACAGGTAAATAAAGTGATAGGTAGTTTTCCTCCTAAAATAACTCCTAATTTTACATTTGGGTACATTAAGAAATAACCTATTGGTATCACACCTGTGCTGGAGGATGTCCAATTGAGTCTGAAGGAAACTACAATCATTTAAATCATTGATAACGGAATATATTTTCAAATCATCCGCAAAACATAAGCGCTCACTCTGCAAATCTTCACATACATGATTGATGAATAGCAAGAACAGCGAAGGACCCAAATTTGAACCTTGCGGAACACCGGATGATTCTAAGTAAGTATCAGAACGAAATTTATTATCAGAAACAAATTGCCACCTCGAAGATAAATAAGGTACAAAAAGGTCCCTAGCATCACTAGAAAAACCAAATTTGATTCACTTTTCAAGCAATACATCATGATTTAAGGCCTTCGAGAAGTCCGTGTAGATGACGTCAACTTGACTATTGTGTAACAACGCATGTATATTGGTTCAAAAGGTTTTATCAACTGGTCAAACAGAATATATAGATCTGGTACAAATTCTGATTTAACGCAGACAAGTTCAGTTTTCCATCTTCAAAATCTAGACATACTTTTGATCATTGTCAAAATATGAATCAAATACGAAGCCCGTAGAAATTGGGTAACTAATTTGCACGATAATCACAATAAAATTTGCTGCGCAAGTTATTCAATAGCCCTATATCACAGTGTATAAGTTTATCATATACCTGTGTATGAAATTCACAATGGCCGATATGTAAGTAAACAAGATGACTGTAATGTGTTAGTTATATATTCTACACTTCGTCTATACAACACATAAGAAATAGTTTGGTTGCAATAAAGTAGAATCACGTAACAGAATAGTTGTATAGTTGACAAAAACTGAATCTTTCACTGACGCAAGAGCGGCTGCAAGAGGCTTACACTTTTGTTTTATAACTGTTACCTGCAGCCCTTATACAACCTCTTAAATGACTGAAGTGTCCTATTAGGTGTGCCCATTCCGCTTGTATAGCTGTTCTAAGAGGGTTTTGCCAATGTTCTTACAGTATACAATGGTGTGTAAGGAATACTGTATAATCATTCTTGCAACTCTAATAGGAGTGATAATTGTTAGTTGAGATGAGCAACATTGTTGAAACTATCGTCCACATTACCCAAATTGGCTGCTTGAGACCCTATGTAGACACTCTTGAAAAATACACTTAAGGCATTCACAATGTCTTGCGGATAATCAAATGATTCGTTAAGGTAAAACATCTTTCCAGGGATCCTAGAAGTGTTCTTTTTTGAATTCACCGGAACTGGAAAATTCACTCTGGCTTAGAGATTTTAGTTTTCTTGTGGATATTAAAGAAAAATTAAATGAACTTAATTTGCAGCTTCAGGGGGGAGACAAAGAACTAACAGAAATGATTTCGTTTATAAAAAAGCTTGAGTTTTGGGAACAAAACTTAATCGATGACGGTACCAGGAAAGTAAACGCATATTAAAACAAGAAAGATTGATATTCAAATCAAGTTGGGTACTTTATTTTGAAGGTTCATTTATACCATTTATGTATGAAAAATAATATCGCTCAAATGTTCACCACGACTGGATTTACAGACGTCCACGCGATGGTCGAAATTTTCAATGACATTTTTCAACATGGTCGGTTCTATGGCATTTATCTCGGCAATGATGTTGTTTTTGAGTTCTTGGAGGGTGGCTGGTTTGTTGACGTAGACTTTGCTTTTCAAATATCCCCATAAAAAAAAGTCCAAGGGAGTCAAATCGCACGATCTTGGTGGCCATGGCACATTTCCTCTGCGCGAAATCACGCGATCACCGAAGAAGGACTGCAATCGATGGATATTGACGTTGGTTGTGTGGCATGTTGCACCGTCTTGTTGGAAATAAACATCGTCCATATCCATTCCTTCAAGTTGCGGCAAAAAATAGTCCTCTATCATCACGTGATATCGCTCAGAATTGAAGGTAACGGCGTCCCCGGCCGCAGTTTCGAAAAAGTAAGGTCCGATGATGCCTTTTGACCACAATGCCCACCACACAGTCACTTTTTGAGGATGCATCGGCTGCTCTTGATACTCACGGGGATTTTGGTTCGCCCAGATGCGGCAGTTTTGCTTGTTTACCGTCCCATTCAAAGTGAAATGCGCTTCGTCGCTAAACATGATTTTTGATGAAAAATTGGTATCAATTTGGCGGTGTTCAAGGAACGTTCGGCGCGAAAAATGGTCGGCCCGACGTAGCTCTTGCGTCAATTGGATCTTGTAGGCGTGTACATTCAAATCCTTGTGGAGAATGCGGAGCAAACTGGTTCTCGAAATGCCCAATTCTTGGGATCGACGCGTTGTTGATTGTTTCGGATCGTCTCTCACACTCTCCTTCACAACAGCAATATTTTCCGGTGTGCGAACGCTCCTTGGCCGGCCAGAGCCTGGCAGATTTGCCACAGAACCTGTTGCCTCGAATTTACGCACCAGACGACCGATGGTTGTTTCGTTTGGGCGGTTGTTGCGACCGAAATGTTCACGAAGCGCGCGAAACGTGTTTTTTATTTTTGCACCATTTTTGTAGTGCTCTTGAATAACTTTAATGCGGTATTCAATCGAATACGACTCCATAGCGATCAATGGTAAACATGCAACTAACAAAATGACATGTCGGTGACAGAAAACAAAGATGGCGTCTATGTCAAATTGACGTTTACTTTCCTGCGTCCCTATTGGACAACCCTTTATATCTCAAAGTCCATTAGAACCATATTACAGTGAAGATCATGTACAAATAGCCTCTAACTCTACGCTCAGAGGGGCAACCTCTAGTAGTGTAATGGAACTTACCGATGTTGTACCCGAGGCAGCAGATACTGATATGTGGATTGTCTTTGGATGCTTTCATCGGCTTGTTCTGGGTAACCCGTGGCTGCATTTACAGGTGGCTTGTTTCTTGCTCTTGTATTGATGTCCACTTTTGCAGCAAACGAGCTTGTGGTTGGCGTTACTTCCTTCAGATACTGCTCAACGAATGCCGGTTTCTTCACTGTCACCTGGCGCTGCTTTACCGTGCTGGTACCTTGCACCCTTCTCTCATATTCATAAGAAGGATAGTTTTGCACCTGCTCTGCCTCCGCCTCTGCCTCTTCCGAGTGCGGCTGATATGTCTGCAGCCCATCCGAACGTCTTTAAAGAATAGACCAATGGACTCACTCAGAACAGAAAGCGGACAAAGTAACTTCTTTTATGAATCCTAAAAATATCCTGATCAAATGCCATTCGCATGATATTCTTCAATAATTGAGATATTGACATGAATCAAAAAAATAACTGTTGAGAAAAGTTGAGGCTTAAAATTCTCATACGAAGACACTTTATTCATTAATCCAAAGTTTCCACGGGGTGTTCAGAAATTTAGGGCAAAATGCACATTTTATACAAAGTGACATATAAATCCGAACACCCAGTTTAAATGGTTTTATTTTAATAAAAGTTGGTGAATGTATTTATCTTACTGTAAATAACAAGTGAACAAATTTTCAGGCTTATCAGTTGGACATTCCGGTTTTTATACTGCTTTTTTTTTAATTCACTAACGCTCTAAAAATGAATATTTCAGCCGCAGTAAAGAATCAACGTTGGCGGATTTTGGTTCTTGACATCCTTTACGATCGGTTACGATGCCTAGAGTACGGAGACCTGTACGATTTCGTCAACTTAGTGAGTTTGATAGGGGCCGTATAGTGGGACTTCGGGAAGCTGGACTTTATTTTCTGGCAATTGCAGTTAGAGTGCAAAGAAGTGTAGACACTGTGGTTAGGTGTTGTCAGGCATGGCTTCGAGAAGGCCGTACGCAAAGAGTAAGGGGCACTGGACGCCGCCGTAGAACAGCAGACCGTGAAGATCGCCGCCTACGATTATTGGCCTTAAGGGACCGTTTCTCCACTACCAGGTCCATTGCAAATGAATGGTTTGCAGAACACGGAAGACCTATTGGCATGCGAAGTGTTTACCGACGAATGAGAAGTTTTGGCTTGTTTTCATACCGGCCACACTGGGTCCTCCCTTTAACTCGAGAACACCGACGTAATCGCCTTGAGTGGTGCAGACAACGGTCACTCTGGGATCAGGAATGGAACAGTATTGTCTTTAGTGACGAGTCTCGATTTTGTTTAGGCATGCACGATGGTCGTGCCAGGGTTAGAAGGCGACGTGGTGAAAGGAGGAATCCACAGTTTTTTGTTGAAAGACATGTTCATCACACTGTTGGAGTTATGGTTTGGGGTGCTATAGCTTATGGTTCCAGGTCACCTTTAAACTTCATCAGAGGTAACATGAACGCGCAGCGTTATATCCACGAAGTTCTAGAACCCCATCTTTTACCCTATCTTGACACCCTGACAGATCCAACTTTCCAACAAGATAATGCCCGACCACATGTTGCAAGAGTCACAATAGACTTCTTTCAACATAATGATGTCACATTGTTACCATGGCCACCAAGACCTCCCGACTTATCCCCAATTGAGCACGTGTGGGGTATGATGGGTAGGAGATTGCTCAATTTGCAACGTCCTCCTCAGACTCTAGAAGCACTTCGAGAGGAGTTGGTGGTTGCCTGGAATGAGATACCACAGGAGGACATTGACCACCTGATCAGAAGCATGCCTAGGCGTGTTGGAGAATGCGTAGCACATCAGGGTGCATCCACACATTATTAAAGGTCAAAGGGCTTTAAAGCAGTGCAATCATTTTGAAATTTTCATCATTTTCTTATTATGCTTCATTAAGTACTTATACAAAATATTATTAAAATAAAACCATTTAAACTGGGTGTTCGGATTTATATGTCACTTAGTATATGTCCAGTCTCTCAGCATCACGTATGAACCACAATACAGAAAAAAGAAAAAAGTTGAACACATACTAATTGATAATCAACTGTCCGACAATTACCAAAATCTGCACTGTCAGCGTATTTTGAAAATCCCATCCCAACGTTTCCTACATGATAGCAAGCAAAGGGAATTCTAAATAACCAATTATATCTTGTGAGAGATAAAAAACCACCAAAGACCCGCCTACAAGCCATACACCTAGCAGGCATCCGTAGAATATTTTGCAGACGATAATCGTATTGGTTGACCAATCAGCGTCAAAACATTTTTTTGTGGGACTATTTCTGTTTACTAATTTGCTAGCAAGGTAAGCTGGTCTGTTAGATAATAGAACTTTATGCGTGAAGGCGGTCAAAAGAAATATAAATAACTTATCAATTCGCAACGAGTTGAGTTCTTTGATTTTATCTGAGACGCGACTAAACGTGCGCAATCCAAAAATAAACCTACAACAGCTGTTCTGAATTTTGGACGGATCCAAACCAAACACTAACTGAGTATCATCTGCATAAGTTTGCATACAACAGTCGACTAAACAGTCTTGCAGATCGATCGTATAAATCAGATATAGTAAGGGACCTAACACTGAACCCTGTGGAACTCCTGAAGGAACTGGCTCAGTGGAGGAAATTCCCTGATCAGTTTTCACTGTTTGTTGACTCAAAGAACCTTAGAACGACATCTGACATTCCATAATGAGATAACCTACTCAGTAGTATCTGGTGATTGACCATGTCAAAGGCTTTCGAGAAATCTAACAGTACCAGGACGGTGTTGATGTGATTATCTAAATTGTGAATGACGGAATCAGTAAGATGTATTAAAGATGAAGTAGTGCTGTAACCAGCTCTGAAACCTGACTGATCTAGATGAAATAAGTGTTTTTGTTCGAAAAACTCCACTAGTTGTGAGTAGACAGCTCTTTCGAGTATTTTTGATAGAAATCATAATAAGGTAATTCCAACTGGCAGGAAAGTAACCTGTTTCGAGACAGACATTAATAATGTGAGTTATATGGTCTATGGTATCAGGCAAACATAAGCAAACCATATTTAAAGTTAGACCATCAGAGCCACATGCCTTAGACTTAATGCGAGAGATTATATATATTATGTCTTGCTGAGTAAGGAGTTTGAAAGCAAACAGAGGTGCATCCGGTGTATGGCGTCTATCGCCATAAGAGTTAGAGACACTATCAATCAAATTTGGATCAGCTGCAGCTGTCTGGAAAATTGAAAGAAAATAATTATTTAAAATGTTAGGCTCAAGGAGACTGGGAGGTATCGCAACATGTTTCTGGGCTACCACATCAATGGCAATGATACTCAAATAGGAGGAATGAGAGTTGATGGTGAAGACTGAAATTATGTAATGGAAAAAAAAGCAACCAAAGATTAGAGAAAGGATTATCGTGACTACCGTACACTTTGGCTTTGAAAAGTATTTTTTATAATAAAGTTTCTGCGAGCTTGTACGTTTTAAATATTATTCCCGAATATTCTATGTAATTTTATTTAGGAAAAAATGGATCACTCATAAGATTAGTGAATAAATAAAATGTAATACGACAAAATCTTGGACTGCAGCTATTCAAAGAAAGAAGAAAACTTGAGAAGATCGGTGACATATCTTTATAAGGAAGGATAGTTTAATACCTACCTGGCAGCTTTTTGATATTGGGGTTCTGGTAAATAGTCTTCAGATGCTTCGTGGCCTGGGAGTAGAAATCTTGAACGAGGAGACTCGATATAAACCCTCCCACTTCCACCGGGTATCCTCGCTGCTCCACATTTTGATAGCGCTTCCAGAAACGCAACTACATATTGAACAAATACGTCATTTTAATTTAGCATTTCAAATTTCATTAGCAAATGAAAATGGAAAAAGCTTTTTTTTTTTTTTATATCGAAACAGCCGCGCAGGCAGAAGCCTAAATGCCGGAACACCGCGGCTGCTATGATGATCCCAAAGAAATTTTGTTAATACGATTTTTGAACTGCCTAAGGTTAGTAGAACTGGGAAAAGCTTCCTCCCGTAGATTGTTCCACAATCTAGGCACCCTCGGGACAAAGGAGCGGTCGTATCGGCCAGTTCTGGATGTACGAAGTTTGACACGGTTAGGATGGGATGCCGAAGTCAGGCGGGTCTGTCTGGCAGGAGCATCGCGCGGCGGCATCATGGAAGAGAGCTCTGAGGAGCAAAGCCCGTTGGTGTAGCGATAGAAAAGAGCTAGATCGCCGACGGCCCGCCGGTGCGAAAGAGTCCCGAGACTGTCTGTTAGAGAAGAGTCATCGATCAGTCGGACCGCCCTCCTCTGGACAGCATCGAGCATGGACAATGTAGTCGGGGCGGCAGCACCCCAAATGTGTGAGCAATACTCGAGGCTAGGCCCTATCTGGGCCTTGTATAGAGTGAGAAGGTCATGCGGAGAAAAGTACTTCTTAGCCCTAAACAAATAGCCTAGCTTTTTCCCAGCAGCTGCAGCTATTGAAGAGATGTGTTCGTGCCAGATCAGGTCCTCGGTGATCTGGACTCCGACCAGCCGAAATGAATGGCTCTTTGGTAGAACTCGACCGTCCATCGAAACTGTATGAGCGCTAGGACGCTTTTTGTTCGTCAAGGTACAGTACTGTGTTTTGGAAGCATTGAACTGTACAAGATTGTTGCGTCCCCAAGCAGTGATAGCCTCCAGGTCTCTTGTCAGAGAAGAGGTCGTCGCTAGTCTTCCTTTTTCCAGCGCAGCGGCAGAGATCGGCTTGTCACTCTGAATTCCTGCATGTAGAGTGCTGTCATCAGCGAAGCTGTGGATTGGGTTGATCGTGCAGGAAAGGAGGTCGTTGATATGTAAGAGAAACAGTGTTGGAGCCAAGACCGATCCCTGGGGAGCTCTACAGGTTCTACAACCTGCTGCTATATACGGAACTAAAATTCACCAGAAATTCGTCATCCTATTGTTAATTATGACAAGCTACGCCAGTGGGCGAGGAAGTATTGTAATCGCCAAAAATTTCGAAAATGTGATATTGTTTTTTTATCAAGTAGTTACCGGACAAGCTTTCCGACAATGTCACAAAACATAAAACTGTTACCAACATGTAGTAAATGTACCCGGGAAATTAAAACTATACGTACCAATTTAGGATCTATTTTGCATGAATGTTGGCTTTCAAATTTACTAAATATGAGGGAACTGCTTTGTTTCAGTGAATGAACTATATATTATATAATATTGTCGTAAATTTGATTTGTATAGGTCGTTAGTTCTGACTTAGTGCAAACAATAATTAGTAAGACGATGACAGGAAGTAAATGCATAGAAACCATTATGCATTGGGTGTTACGACAAAGAAATTTTTCTATTAGTCTTCCTTCGCTACTTCAGCTAATCTCAGTGGCTATTACCAACCGGAATAGATCAAAAAGCCGTGTTCTTAGATGGTATATTGTATACGCTTTTGTAGTAAAAACAAACTCTAAAGATTTCTAACAACTAAAAAACGTGCATTTCGTTAAAAATTTTCACTTATTAATTGTATTAAAAAGAAGCATCTTGTTGATTCGTTAGCTTGCGGTTTATCGACACTCGCTAGTTTCATTTTATGTTTCATTACGGATTTAAAACAAAAGCGTAGCAATGCGACTTTCATTCTACAAATAATTTCAATGGAATTCGCAAGATACGAGCAGCTGTCAGCCCCGAAGGTCATTAGCTCCTCTCGAAAATAAAAAATAAGACCAAAATGAAGGTCTTATACGTGTTAAACTCTCAGCATGTATTTTTCTAATGAGTATTATTATACAGGGTGGCGCATCGAAAACGAAACAGACGCATTTACTGGCAGCTCAGTTAGCACGTGCAGCCCCCTAAGCGGGGGTGACACCACCCCCAAAATCTTAAATGGAAAGGGGGGTCGAGTGATACCTTATTTTAAAGGTCTTTCAATTCCCTTTATAATGATATAAAATTAATGTACTTCAGTTCAGCAGTTTTGAAGATTTATTGATTTAAAGCATAGATAAAACTAAAATACTAAGTGACATATAAATCCGAACACCCAGTTTAAATGGTTTTATTATTATTATTATTTTTTATACCCCATCTTTTACCCTATCTTGACACCATGGCAGATCCAACTTTCCAACAAGATAATGCCCGACCACATGTTGCAAGAGTCACAATAGACTTTTTTCAACATAATGATGTCACATTGTTACCATGGCCACCAAGATCTCCCGACTTATCCCCAATTGAGCACGTGTGGGATATGATGGGTAGGAGATTGCTCAATTTGCAACGTCCTCCTCAGACTCTAGAAGTACTTCGAGAGGAGTTGGTGGTTGCCTGGAATGAGATACCACAGGAGGAAATTGACCACCTGATCAGAAGCATGCCTAGGCGTGTTGGAGAATGCGTAGCACATCAGGGTGCATCCACACATTATTAAAGGTCAAAGGGCTTTAAAGCAGTGCAATCATTTTGAAATTTTTATCATTTCCTTATTATGCTTCATTAAGTACTTATACAAAATTTTATTAAAATAAAACCATTTAAACTGGGTGTTCGGATTTATATGTCACTTAGTATATGTCCAGTCTCTCAGCATCACGTATGAACCACAATACAGAAAAAAGAAAAAAGTTGAACACATACTAATTGATAATCCACTGTCCGACAATTACCAAAATCTGCACTGTCAGCGTATTTTGAAAATCCCATCCCAACGTTTCCTACATGATAGCAAGCAAAGGGAATTCTAAATAACCAATTATATCTTGTGAGAGATAAAAAACCACGAAAGACCCGCCTACAAGCCATACACCTAGCAGGCATCCGTAGAATATTTTGCAGACGATAATCGTATTGGTTGACCAATCAGCGTCAAAACATTTTTTGTGGGACTATTTCTGTTTACTGATAAGAGCGTTCCAACGAGTTTTTTCTGTTTTGCGAGAGGAGTGTGCTAAAACAATTTCTATTGGTGGAGTTAGTATTTTTATTTATATTGATTTGTACTGCCTAACCTTTAATTTGTGTTGTGATGGTTCTCTGAATATTTCGTCAAGTAGATCGACTCATCACTTATGACGTTTTGATATGCAACAGTCATGAGCTAACAAACCGACATAAATGTGTAACACGGACTTGTGTGATGCAAATATCTTTATGCAATAGGAAACTTGTGAACCGAAGTTCGAATATTATCGGAGGAGGAGGAGGAAGTATAGAGTCAATCTACTTGACGCCTCAATACTCAAAAACAATGTTATATCGATTCAGAAGTAAGATATGATATGGGAGTTTCATGTTTGGTCCTCGTTTGACTCAAGCCGAAGCTCAGGAAGTACAGAACAGCTGTATTAGATATTCTGTTGGAGTCTGAAAAAAGGAGCTATTTTTATATATTCAAGAAGTGAATTGGTTGACGATGAGGCAGAGGTGGTTGGTGCACACTTTATGCTTGGTTCATAGCATTTTATTGACCAAATACCCTACATATTTAAATAATAAATTATCGTCGAGAAGTCACCTACACCCTTAGCACGGCTTATCATAAAACCACCCTATTTACTAAGAGTTTCACTTTTGTTGCACCCTATCTCTATGATAAGCTCCCTGTCAGCTTCATTAGTGCCACATTTTACGTCAAAAGTAAAAAACTTGTTTTTTAAAATATGTTATAATTCTGTATATTGTCTAGTTTTTAACTTCTGTAATGGTGTATTTGTTAACTGTGACTAAATTTTCTCTATTTTTATTCTTTCTTTTTTTGGCACAACTATATATTTATTCTCAATCTCCAGATGTAGATTTTATCATCTTGTTAATTGTGAGTTATTCTTTATAGGTTTATTATTATTATACAGGGTGTTCCTTAATGATATGCGAATATTTAAGAGTGTGAATCTACTTGAAAAATTAATGTTAGTTTGCTATGGTCCAAAAATGTTTCCTTACAAAAACTCGGGGTGTTGAAGTTTTAGGAAAAAATGGATATTAATTAATATTTTCAGAACCGCTTCAGATATTTCGCTGATATTTTGTACGTAGTGAAAGTTAATAAAGCTGCATATTTTTCAATGCAAAAATAATTTTCAGCTTTAACAGTGGTAATGGTACGCCAATGGTTTTTTGCCAAAATAAAAATTATTTTTGAATTCTTCGTTCAATTTAAAACAAATAATCTCTGTTGAAATGTTTTCCTTCGATGCGCCATTTTTGAGTAAAAAAATAAAAACCGTTCTATTGTCTAACTTGCAAAAATATTAGATATTAATTTAATTGGAAAAATTAAACACATTAGGGCTAATGAACAACAACAACTGACAACATAAACATGACATTAAAACCAACGAAATGATTACAAAAATTGTTGTATATTCACATTGTTTATATTTCCCCAAACTTGTGTTGTAATTGTGTTTTTGGCCCTGGTTGGTATTTAAAGCAGCTTTTCGCTGACACCCGGCGGGTTATATAAACGATATTATTATATGTTAGTAGTAATATCACGCTGGTAACAGCTAGTACTAAAATAGATTTAATGAATCCCCGAACTGATCATTAAATAATCTGTTTTTATACCCTTGATCATTTTTTTATAATTACTCATTGGATGAATCTAATCAATTTGACCACTGAGAACTGATATTAATCCACTTGGAACAATCTTCTGAGGGGTCTAATGACATCACGACACACAAACTATCACACAACAGAACTACAAATGTATTCGAAAGCCCGGCAAATCCACTACATAATGAGTATATCACGCGTTTTACCTAATATCAGGACAAATCTCATGGCGAACAGAGAGGCGTAACATTGAACTAAGCGCGCGACTTGCTATTGCACTTTATATATAGCTACAGTTTTGTTCGAGAGAAAGGGTCTTACATTTGAAGAATTCATTCTAGTAGTCGGCTTATTCTTATTGCATTCAAGCTGATGCTAATCATCTTTATAGACAGCTTCAAAAAAAAAACAAGCTCCAATGCGATGGTAGAGTAAAATGCCTCACTTATTTTTATATTCGTTGTTGATACAAATATGTTGAGATGCAATTAGACAAATGAGAGTGTACAAGTAACCTTCGTGAATGTCTAATGCGTATTGCATATACTTACAAAACATCAACTGATTTATCCTGCGATCACGCATGTCCTTGCATATACGAACTTACAATCCATGTGTAGAGAGCGAATCAAAAATAAGGACATTTACGTATCTGAACTGCTGATACTCATCCAAAGCGATATTTCCACAAACATTCGTTACTCAAAAATAGGCGTCAAGTACGCAACGACGGTCATCAGATCATAAAGGATCAGGTTCAGCAAAATCTAGACCCTATCGAAATAAGACCAGGCCATAGACCTTATACCCAGTATAGATGATAGTTCCTATACTTTCGTTCGCTGTCCATGGTTGGCTGTGTTTTGTCGGACGAATTAAAGCAGCATATTTAAATTAGACCCTGTGATAAAGGGGTTAGTTACGAACCTAAACAACAGAGAAATTAAACAGCGATACAATTAGTCTATGGACAGTGTTTCCCTGCTGTACCGGCAATACCGTCCATCTGGCAACGTCGCCTTTCCCCCATACTTGATCACACGACGCGGCAGCGCGGCGCAGCACCAGTCATCCCAAGGCATTTATGAATACCGGCACGCCCGCCGGTGAGGCCTTAGAGCGAAACGCAAGGACGTTTATTGAAAACATTTCTCTATCGTTATAAGTTTTAAGGAAAGTTATGGTGTGTGAAATATGTGTAATAGGTTAATATAATTACCATCATGGCCTCGAATGTGTACTTGTCGCATGCACACGTGTTCCCTCGCATGAGCCCGTGTGAAGTCCCCCCTTTTCCTTGTATCCCCCTATAGCTCCACGATACCCATGGGTGCTTAGGCCTTAGTCCTTCGTGATGTTTCAAGTATACAAAATAGCGCATAATAATGAAACGCTGTTTCGTCCTCCTCCCAGTATATGAGGCTGGTTAGATCTCTCTTCTCTCAGCATAGCCTGTCGAAAGCTTGAGTATTTGTAAGTCAAAAGGGTACACTTAGCATAATTTGTCGATATCCCCAAAGACAAGTCTTTCACTTAGCTAGATATCGTCAATAACCATGAATCGCATATATATATATATATATATATAACAAAAAATAGGAAAATAATGGGCAAAATCAGCAAAAAGAAGGAAATTTAATTCGAGCAAAAAATAGGATAGGTAACTCGAGCGATAGGTATTTCTGCTGGTTGGCTTCATCAGGCCCGAAATGAATGCACATATGCAACTACAAAAGTAGATACACATGCCCATACATGCGGATACGGGTGTAACCTGAGGAAACGAAGATGGAGAGGGAAAAAGATCGCACACGAAGTGAACAACAAGAGCCAACCAACACATTTCAAGGCGACATCTAACCACAACCACGCGGCCGGTTATAGCCACTTGATGTGGTACTTCAAGCCCAAAGGATCTATAAAGAGAAAATGATCATGCGGAGAAAGGTATGCAACGAAAAATAGGAAAATCATGGGGAAAATTCGCAAAAAGAAGGAAAGTGGATTCGAGCAGAAAATAGGATAGGTAACCCGAGCGATACGTATTTCTGCTGGTTGGCTTCATCAGGCCCGAAATGAATGCACATATGCAACCACAAAAGTAGATATACATGCCGGATATGGGTGTAACCTGACAAAAAGATGAAGAGGGAAAAAACCACACTCAAAATCCACATCAAGAGCCAACCTACACATTGTAGTATAAAATGGCTAGAAGACCTCGAATTTTCAAGGCGACATCTAATCAATCTCATATATATATATATATATATATATATAGTCAATTTAAATTCATTTTACACTTTTGTTGCTACTGTTATCATTGTAATTGCAGCTCCTGATGATGATGGCAAAGTCCATTGAAAGCTAGAGAGAATTAAAAAAAGTATAAAGAGTCCTCTTTGCTTAAATTTTGTCGAAGTACCCAACAAAAGGCGGAAGCTTTAATTTTTCACCTAACTGGTCTAGACGACAATGACCACGTCTCAAGTTATATATATATATATATATATATATATATATATATATATATATATATATCCGCGATCGTTTTGAAACACCATTTGGCTGCAACCTCAACGACGAGTAAGTTGTTTGACAATTTAAATCGTTCCTGTATTGGTTGCCAGCATCATAATTGTGTTTTCAGATCCTGATGAAGGCTCCATAGAAAATTGCCGAAAGCTTGATACTATCGTCAAAAGTTTGCCAATTTCCCAATTAACAATTAATTGTATTTTTTTGCCCAACTGGTCGTTGGCAATGGCAATGACTACTACGCACATATACAGGGTGACTTTGAAGTTGAGTCTTTAATTTTCAGATAATGATTGTAGAAGGAAGATATGTGTGTAAAAATAAATAAAAATTAAAAAAAATGTTACCTTGTTTTATAAAGTATCCTCCCGACAAGTATTTCAGTGCGGACCTGTATTTGATCGTGCGGTCTTGGAGCACCGACATGCCCTCCTCTGTGAGGTCTTAAGTCACCTGATTCACGAGCCCTTTGTACTACATTAACAAAGGCACGAGGGGTTGGTTGCACTCGATTGGGAAACCGATCCGCATAAATCCGTGATGCCGCGGCAGCATTTTGTAAAGACTGTGCCATTTTTTATTTCGTTTGAGCCACGCAACAAACACCACTATTCACTCACGCGTTACCGACTGACACATTGACTGAATACAACTGAATAAAATTGTAGTAAAAACATCGTGATAAGCGTTTCAAATTCTTTCGCTTTTTTGTTTCCGATGCGATGAACCGATAACGCGGATTATATCCGTTGTTGCCAAACACGAGCACATAATATTATTATTGAGACAGGGCGGTACTCAAAGTTCTAAAGGGCTATAACTTTGTTACTTTAATTTTACCAGAAAAATGTTAAAGGAAAAAAACATTTCTTTTGATCAGATCTACTCACTGTTAAAATAAATGACTCAACTTCGAAGTCACTCTGTATATATATATTGATTCTTTATTCTCTATGAAATTGTACCTGCCTATATTCATATAGTTAACCAGCCTATCTTTCGTGAAAATGTGGGCTGTGTGTTGTGCAGGTATGTAACGCTCCAGAATCGTAACAGTAATGAAGTTGTTCATAATTTGATTATGAAATAGATTCGGTCGTCGCGTCCGCGTCCCCAGCATGGCGGTATCTGCTGAAGCATTCGTCCATTCAGTGCTGTTTTGCAATATAGAAGGTATCTACACTACATATTTCCACTTCACATTTTATTGGTCCGGTATCGGTACGTTCCTTAGAAGCCATATGATGGCATGCGGCCGCAATGGTCATTCTTGCTCTTCTTACTTTTACCTTTTACTAAACCAATTCGCTACCTACACTAGTTACATACAGAGTGCTCATTTGAAAACTTCTCACTACAAATTTGTTGAAAACCACTGACTAAAATAAAAAAACGCCGAGACACGTCAAAAGATTTGTCAAAGGAGACAACTTTTTAATCAAAAACTACTGCACCCCAGGGTCATTCCCTTGAACATTTTAAATAACAAGGGGTATTGAATAATATTGTTTCAAAGTCCTTGATTTTGACGTTTGGTTTTTTAAAATCAGGTGATTCGTTTTCGAGAAAATTAGAAAAATCCGTATTTATCTTAATTTGTTCAGGAGTTGCCAAATCTACAATGCGTTTACAATTTAAACCGGCAACTGCCAACATAGACAGCAATTCGGAAGATTAGACGTGGCAACACCCAAATCACAACCCGAATTATTACCGCATTATTTTTATCAACACAGATATCCTGGGCGAACTGTATTTGTTGTTATACCTGTTTAGTTATTTGTTGCTAAGGGAAAGAAATAATTTAATTTAACATTTCGAATACTTATTGAAATAAAAAGTGATATTTTCGTGTGCTTTTGTTTTCTATTTGAACAAATTAAGATAAATAAAGATTTTTCTAATTTTCTTGAAAACGAATCGAACGATTTTCAAAAATCTAACGTTAAAATAAAGGACTTCGAAAGACCTTTCAAGCAAGCTATTACTCTTTACGTTTTGTCATTGAAAATTTTTGAGGGGATGGCCCTGGGGGCCAGAGGGTGAAAAGTTGTTCCCCTCGACAAATCTTTTGACGTGTCTCAGCGTTTTTTATTTTAATCAGTGGTTTTCTTGGTGGGAAGTTTTGAAATGAACCTCGTATGTCTGTTTTTTACAAACATGCTTCTCTTACTAAAAACGCTTTATTAAAGGTTTATGGGTATTCTAGCTATACGAGGTCTGCAGATTAAGTGATAAGACTGGCAACGTAGCGTCAGGTCTGGCAACACTGGAGGCGTCGAGATAGGGGAATATGTAATCCGCCTTCAGTACAAGCTTGAACTCGCTCGAGTCATTTGCTTGTCAGTAGCATTTTTTTTTCGAAATAGGTTTTTCTATTGTGATCTAAATATGAGTGACATCAGTCGCGATCAACGGATCAACAAGTAGTAGCGATTCGTGCTTCGACGTTTTAGATATCGCTCGTATTTAGAAATTTTATGGAGTGGTTGAAAATTGGGGTTTGGAGTTATTAACCTAACACAAAGCGCCACCTTTGGGCGTTGTTGACCTGTATAAAAATAAAACGAGCCGCTATGAAATAAACCCTCTGATTTATTCTTAAAATTAAAACTCATACAATCGCATTTTGTTAAGCTTACTAAGTAATTCATAATAATAACTACTTGACGTATTCACGCCTAACAATCGAATCAACAATATATCAATGGCACTGGTTAAATATCACCCGATTCTATAAGTATATGCATAAGTAACAAATAATTTCATTATTTACAGGATAATCATTATTTTTTACTATACTCGGAGGCTAGTACAAGTAACTTCAAGTGAATAGATCATTCGCTTGGTTTCATTTATTTAGTTAAAATATTTAATTTCAACTAAGAACTATATCAACAAAATATTAGAATTATTATATCACACAATTTCTACAACATACAAAGATAACGTACTATATAAAATAAATAAACAACACAAACAATATGTACAAATTATCTTAACACTAAATATCTTAGAGTGAGAATTCCTTTAAAACATTTTGTCTTTGAAATTGTTTAAGCAGAAAAACAAAAAACTTCTAGGTTACAAAATTTAAACAGTTTCTGTTTTATGTCAGTTACCATATTGAAATCTGAAACTAATTATTCAGGGATGACTTAGCGGTTAAAACTAACACAACAAATAGTGTTTTCTGGGTTTGAGAGTACTGTTATCCCTACAAAAAAATTATTGTCTCGATTTCACTAAACTTATTCATATGACTCTTTGGTCGATTTCCTAAAAGAGCTGAGCAGCCTTACAAAAATAAAATAAAATAACAAAGTTATATTTTTAAATAAATAAAACCGTTTTCGCATGTTTTGATTGAAAAACCTGCTTAGATCTGATCTATTTACTTGAACTACAGGGATAGAATGGGAAATGGATTGCAGAGTGTCCACAGAGCAAAACTGTTAATATTTTAGCGGAGGGAGTAGGTATGTCAGTCAGGGCCACTCTGCTAAGTTATGTGACTAGATTCTCGACTTTTCTATTATTACCTTTGAACAATTTTTTTCGTCATTCCATTCCATGCACATTCCGCTTAGAATACATGTACATACATACCATTATCTAATAATGATATAGAAAAAATGCAGCTTTTGCTTTTACCGTTGGAAAGCTCGGCTACAGAAACCGACTGTCATGTGACGATGAACATTTTGGTTCGATGAATTTTTACTATAAACTACGAAGGCACTAGAGTAAAATTGACTAAATTAATACAGTTAACCCCGCGGTTGTTAGCTACTTTGCATATTATTACTTTACTTAGGATCTTAAAAACGATATTGGTCTAAAAAAAAGTGTGTCACCGGTGACCTTTAGGTTTTATACTGTTCAAAATCAAGTTTGCAAAACTATTTTTGAACATCACCTAATTTATGTCCACATAAAAGTTGCTTATTACAAAATCGAAAATTCAAATAGCAAGACAGTGTTTTGCATCAAATGCAGCCCATCAGCTTACCACTAGTCTACGACTAACTTTTTCAGGTACTATTTTACTCACTATACTGTTTATAACCATGTATTTCTGCATTTTTAACGCCTTAACGGTGGTGGTGTCTCTTTGATGAGTTTGCGACTGTGACATATTTTGATTTCAAGCGGTCATGCCGTATTGTACGTTCTGTTTTGATTGTAAATATCTAAAAGAATAAGCAAAGCGTACAAGGTGAAAGAACAAAAATAATAGGCGTCATCGATTATAACAAAACTCAAAGCGCGTATCTTTAAGCTTTTACTAGGAAAATTTTATTTGCTACTATTATTTATTATTTGTTCACACGAACAAATGAACGTATGTATACATTTTCCGTAAATGTGCATGTAATGAAAATACATCAGTTGCAAAGTAAATCTAGAAAACATAATTCAAAGGAGGTTCAGGGAGCGTTGACCTGTATAGAGCTATGACCTGTTTTAGCTCCACGCTCAACCCTTACTGCTTTAAATGTACTCAATCACAGTATCATTTAATTATTACAAAACTAACGCAACGAAAAACATCTTTCATTTTTAATAAACTGTTGCAAATTATCATTAGTGCAAATTGTGTTATTCTCTAACAAGATGAGTATACCTGATGTTCTGTTTCAAATTTTGAATGCAAGGATTTTTTATACAACTTGTAGATATGTCACTATTTTTTCTTAATATGTTAAAAAATTAGGCCTATAAGCGATAAACGTTTTTTTAATCAAAATTGAACATTCATATCCAAAGTAAGGAACTTGTTTCCAAAGAAATCATAACTCTAAAATAATTATTCAAAACCATATTGGATGCTATATTTATCTGTATATTATTAGGGTATGCCAGAACGAATATAATTATTGTCACGCGAATATCTCTATAAGCTTATCGTAAATATTTTGTAAATAAGAGAATAGTTCTTACATGTTGACCTGGAAACGTGTAAGCGACAATGGAGATTTTGAAAGATGCTATTCGCTGCCCGTTTACCTACTAAAGTACGTTGGTATATAAATATATATTATATACAAGTTACTTTAATGCCGATTTTTGTTACAGTCACAATCACCTCAGACTAGATTTTTTCCAGACCATGCCATGAAAATACCAATGTAGCATTAAGCAATGGATACAGGTTATTTTTTTCTTGCAAACTAAAAGCCAACTTCGCAAATACTTCGGTAGTTCCCGTACTTAAAAAAAATGCCTCAAGGCAATTTAGGATGATCCTAAAGTCTGGAAACTGCAAAACATTTAAGCGCTCAGTATTTTTCCCTTGCTTTTATTGGCAATCTTGAATTCTACCCTAAGCATGACCTTGAAGGTCAAATAAAAAATAGACATGACATTTAGTGGAATCCTTAACTTTTGACCCCGGTAACGGATAAAGTGGAAAATTCTACATTCAGGTATGACCTTGGATAAAAATTAGTTTTTCCTTGGTCATCGTAAAAACAGTCGTTTGAGAGGATTTCAGGGATCTTTCTGAAAATAAAACAAAAATAAGGTTCCGGAAGGCAACAGAAGCTTTAATTTATCTCTGAATTTCCAGTGATGACCTTGAAGCGGAGCTGTACCATGACCTTGACGGTCCAATCAATGTTAAGAACATGTTATATCGCAGTACTCTATACTTTTGACCAGAGTAAAAGATAGAATGGAAAACTTTACGTTCACGTATGGCTTTGGGTGAAAATTACTTTTTTGAACGTCCTTGTCAAGGTAACCGTAAAAAAGGGCGATTTTAGGGATATATTTAACGATAAAGGAATCATAAGAACTCAAAGACAGCATGAGCTTGCATTTCCCTGACTATTCACGGGTGACCCTGAAACTGACCTTGACCATAACCTTGACGGTGGAATCAAGGTCTAGACAATTTTTTCACAAGGTACCATATACGTTTGGACCCGAAAGCGGATAGTATGGAAAATTTGACTTTCAGACATAGCGTTCGTGGTTTAAACGATTCCCAACCAACGTCATATTTAAACGTGATATCTTCCGTTATATCCGTTTCCACGGTCCAAAGTACAGGATCCCGTTTTAAAAAAGTTTCACTTTAATTTGCTCAAGGTCAAATTCAATGTCACCACTGAATAGCCGGGGAAAAGCCCTCTTCCATTTCACGTTTACCAAGCCTTTTGAATATCGTCGTTCTGATCAAGGTCATCGTAAAAAACGCTATTCTCGAATGATTTTGACCAGAGTAAGAGGTAGAACGGAAAACTTTACGTTCAGGTATGGCTTTGGGTGAAAACTATTTTTTTGAACGTCCTTGTCAAGGTCACAGTAAAAATTGGCGATTTTAGGGATATTTTTAAGGATAAACCAATCATAAGAACTCAAAGACAGCATGTGCTTGAATTTCCCTGACTATTCACGGGTGACCCTGAAACTGACCTTGACCATAACCTGGACGGTGAAATCAAGATCTAGATAATTTTTACAAGGTACCATATACGTTTGGACCCGAGAACGGAAGTGCGGAAAATTTGACTTTCAGACATAGCGTTCGTGGTTTAAACGATTCTCAACCAACGTCATATTTAAACGTGATATCTTCCGTTATATCCGTTTCCACGGTCCAAAGTACAGAGTCCCGTTTTAAAAAAGTCTTCACTTTAATTTGCTCAAGGTCAAATTCAATGTCACCACTGAATAACCAGGGAAAAGCCCTCTTCCATTTTACGTTTACCAAGCCTTTTGGATATCGTCGTTCTGATCAAGGTCATCGTAAAAAACGCTCTTCTCTAATGATTCCAGGGATCTTTCTGAAACTGAGCTTTACCATGACCTTGACGGTCTAATCAATGTTAAGACCATTTTATATGTTAGTACTCTATACTTTTGACCAGAGTAAAAGGTAGAACGGAAAACTTTACGTTCAGGTATGGCTTTGGGTGAAAACTATTTTTTTGAACGTCCTTGTCAAGGTCACAGTAAAAATGGGCGATTTTAGGGATATTTTTAACGATAAAGCAATCATAAGAACTCAAAGACAGCATGTGCTTGAATTTCCCTGACTATTCACGGGTGACCCTGAAACTGACCTTGACCATAACCTTGACGGTGGAATCAAGGTCTAGACAATTTTTTCACAAGGTACCATATACGTTTGGACCCGAAAGCGGATAGTATGGAAAATTTTACTTTCAGACATAGCGTTCGTGGTTTAAACAATTCCCAACCAACGTCATATTTAAACGTGATATCTTCCGTTATATCCGTTTCCACGGTCCAAAGTACAGAGTCCCGTTTTAAAAAAGTCTTCACTTTAATTTGCTCAAGGTCAAATTCAATGTCACCACTGAATAATCAGGGAAAAGCCCTCTTCCATTTTACGTTTACCAAGCCTTTTGGATATCGTCGTTCTGATCAAGGTCATCGTAAAAAACGCTCTTCTCGTATGATTTCAGGGATCTTTCTGAAACTGAGCTTTACCATGACCTTGACGATCTAATCAATGTTAAGACCATTTTATATGTTAGTACTCTACACTTTTGACCAGAGTAAGAGGTAGAACGGAAAACTTTACTTTCAGGTATGGCTTTGGGTGAAAAATATTTTTTGAACGTCCTTGTCAAGGTCACAGTAAAAATTGGCGATTTTAGGGATATTTGTAACGATAAAGCAATCATAAGAACTCAAAGACAGCATGTGCCTGAATTTCCCTGACTATTCACGGGTGACCCTGAAACTGACCTTGACCATAACCTTGACGGTGGAATCAAGGTCTAAACAATTTTTTCACAATGTACCATATACGTTTGGACCCGAAAGCGGATAGTATGGAAAATTTGACTTTCAGACATAGCGTTCGTGGTTTAAACGATTCTCAACCAACGTCATATTTAAACGTGATATCTTCCGCTATATCCGTTTCCACGGTCCAAAGTACAGGATCCCGTTTTAAAAAAGTCTTCACTTTAATTTGCTCAAGGTCAAATTCAATGTCACCACTGAATAACCAGGGAAAAGCCCTCTTCCATTTTACGTTTACCAAGCCTTTTGGATATCGTCGTTCTCATCAAGGTCATCGTAAAAAACGCTCTTCTCGAATGATTTCAGGGATCTTTCTGAAACTGAGCTTTACCATGACCTTGACGGTCTAATCAACGTTAAGACCATTTTATATGTTAGTACTCTATACTTTTGACCAGAGTAAGAGGTAGAACGGAAAACTTTACGTTCAGGTATGGCTTTGGGTGAAAACTATTTTTTTGAACGTCCTTGTCAAGGTCACAGTAAAAATTGGCGATTTTAGGGATATTTTTAACGATAAAGCAATCATAAGAACTCAAAGAAGTGCTTGAATTTCCCTGACTATTCACGGGTGACCCTGAAACTGACCTTGACCATAACCTTGACGGTGGAATCAAGGTTTAGACAATTTTTTCACAAGGTACCATATACGTTTGGACCCGAAAGCGGATAGTATGGAAAATTTGACTTTCAGACATAGCGTTCGTGGTTTAAACGATTCTCAACCAACGTCATATTTAAACGTGATATCTTCCGTTATATCCGTTTCCACGGTTCAAAGTACAGGATCCCGTTTTAATAAAGTCTTTACTTTAATTTGCTCAAGGTCAAATTCAATGTCACCACTGAACAACCAGGGAAAAGCCCTCTTCCATTTTACGTTTAACAAGCCTTTCGAATATGGTCGGTCTGATCAAGGTCATCGTAAAAAACGCTATTCTCGAATGATTTTGACCAGAGTAAGAGGTAGAACGGAAAACTTTACGTTCAGGTATGGCTTTGGGTGAAAACTATTTTTTTGAACGTCCTTGTCAAGGTCACAGTAAAATGGGCGATTTTAGGGATATTTTTAACGATAAAGCAATCATAAGAACTCAAAGACAGCATGTGCTTGAATTTCCCTGACTATTCACGGGTGACCCTGAAACTGACCTTGACCATAACCTTGACGGTGAAATCAAGGTCTAGACAATTTTTTCACAAGGTATCATATACGTTTGGACCCGAAAGCAGATAGTATGGAAAATTTGACTTTCAGACATAGCGTTCGTGGTTTAAACGATTCCCAACCAACGTCATATTTAAACGTGATATTTTCCATTACATCCGTTTCTACGGTCCAAAGTACAGGATCCCGTTTTAAAAAAGTATTTACTTTAATTTGCTCAAGGTCAAATTCAATGTCACCACTGAATAGCCAGGGAAAAGCCCTCTTCCATTTTACGTTTACCAAGCCTTTTGAATATCGTCGTTCTGATCAAGGTCATCGTAAAAAACGCTCTTCTCTAATGATTTCAGGGATCTTTCTGAAACTGAGCTTTACCATGACCTTGACGGTCTAATCAATGTTAAGACCATTTTATATGTTTTGACCAGAGTAAGAGGTAGAACGGAAAACTTTACGTTCAGGTATGGCTTTGGGTGAAAACTATTTTTTTGAACGTCCTTGTCAAGGTCACAGTAAAAATGGCCGATTTTAGGGATATTTTTAACGATAAAGCAATCATAAGAACTCAAAGACAGCATGTGCTTGAATTTCCCTGACTATTCACGGGTGACCCTGAAACTGACCTTGACCATAACCTTGACGGTGGAATCAAGGTCTAGACATTTTTTTCACAAGGTACCATATACGTTTGGACCCGAAAGCGGATAGTATGGAAAATTTGACTTTCAGACATAGCATTCGTGGTTTAAACGATTCCCAACCAACGTCATATTTAAACGTGATATTTTCCGTTATATCCGTTTCGACGGTCCAAAGTACAGAGTTCCGTTTTAATAAAGTCAAGGTCAAATTCAATGTCACCACTGAATAGCCGGGGAAAAGCCCTCTTCCATTTTACGTTTACCAAGCCTTTCGAATATGGTCGTTCTGATCAAGGTCATCGTAAAAAACTCTTGTTTCGAATGATTTCCGGGATATTTCTGAAAATAAAGCAAAAATAAAGTCCCGAACGCATCAGGAGCTTCAATTTATCTCTGACTAATCACTGATGACCTTGAAACTGAGCTTTAACATCACCTTAATGGTCCAATCAATGTTAAGACCATTTCATATCTCAGTACTCTATACTTTTGACCAGAAGGGAAAACTTTACGTTCAGGCATGGCAAGGTCACCGTCAAAACTGGGATATTTTTAACGATAAAGCAATCATAAGAACTCAAAGACAGCATGAGCTTGAATTTCCCTGACTATTCACGGGTGATCCTGAAACAGACCTTGACCACAACCTTGACGGTGGAATCAAGGTCTAGACAATTTTTTCATAAGGTACCATATACGTTTGGACCCGAAAGCAGATAGTATGGAAAATTTGACTTTTAGACATGACGTTCGTGGTTTAAACAATTCTCATATTTAAACGTAATATCTTCCGTTATATCGGTTTCCACGGTCTAAAGAACAGGCTTCAAGGTCTGCTCAAGGTCGAATTCAATGTCACCACTGAATAGCCCTCTACTATTTTACCTTTACCAAGCCCTTTGAATATTCCCAAATATCTAGCCGTTTCAGAACTTTTGGATCACCCTGTGTATGATGTTGAACCTGTGTCCAAACTACCGTAGTATGTCTGTGTTTGAAAATGAGCGTTTGGCAAGTTTTGGTATGGTCTATTTTGAGTGGAGCAGAAGTGATGTGACCGATGTTTGAGCGGACCAAGCTCGATTATATAATGTCTCTAACTAGGCTACGATAACAGTATCAATATTATTGTAATACTAAGGCACAGACCCAGCTCACTGCTTGTTCACGCAACAACAAGCTCTTTCGTGGAAGACAAGCATCGCTGGATATTCTACCCAACATAGGAACGGAATTTAAACGGAAGGCCGCCAAATCCACACCCCTTCGTGTCACTCATAAATATTCATTTTTAAATACTCCAAAATGTGTTATTTACATCTTTGACCTCGGCTTGGCCATTTCAAAAAAGTACGGGAGGGATGTAAATCGGTCTGGCGTACGTCGAGAAGACTAACGACACTAACGATACCGATGCTATAAAGGGATATTCTAACAATAATTCTGTATTTGTGCATCGGCATTTAGTGTACTATTTCACTAGTCTGCACTTTAACTCTATTTGAGCAGCTTCTATAGCGCATTACTTGCGCGAAATTATTATAATCCAACTAAACATCACACACAAATTGGCAAAAAAGCTTTGTGCGTCTCTATTACATCCCATGCTCCATTCACAACTCTCAATTGCCCGTTGCGGACATATCTCAGTGGATTAACAGCCGATTCGATGAACTTTCACAAATCTAAAATGTTTCGACATTGAGAAAAGTAATATACGTAGGACAATGGCTAAAAATAACAGTTGACAGAAATAACTGATACATTGTAAAAGCGAATAAAATTCCATAGCTTATATTGATATAAACATGGTGTTGGGTAGTAGCAGTAAAAATTAGTTTAGGTAGTCAGTATTCGTTTCTGGTGGATTGCGTCTGAAATAAACAGCATAGAAATGGAATGTATAAGTCCACCTAGAAAATTTGGCAGTTGTTATTGCTGAACAAGTGAGAAAGCATCAACCACGTGGAAAAACCTTTATTCTGCAAATTTCCATACCAGATGAATGTAATCCAAAATATAATTATTCAAAATGTATTTTTCCTGTAATGGTTTTGTAAAAACATATACAGAACTGGCATTAGCATAACTATAGTGTTTGTGTTATCTAGTAAAAGGATCAAAAAAAGAAAGCTCGTTTAGAAAGTCAGTGACTTCTGGCTTCTAATAATTTCAGAGCCTGTAAGCAATATATGATTCACTGGTTGGGTTATTCAAATACGGAATAAAATAACAATGAAGCAACTCTAGCTGGAAGTAGAGCAATGAATGTAAAAGAGACTTATTTATCCAGGAAATAACCTCTTAAAAACTTTGGAGAATGCAAAAATAGCTGAACGCCGAAATCTCATGCAACTGTACAATATGCAGAACTGTTTCGATAGTTTTATGCTGATTTTTGTCAGATGCACTTGATGGGTTTGTAGATTTTTTCTTTTAATAAGTAGCTATTATAACAATCACGGTTCATAACTTGCAATAAAAATTTCAACGTCCAACAGATGTTCGCATATCTGAATGTAGACCATTTGATTCAGGAATAAAAATGATTCCCAGTTGCTAGAGAAATTAACTCACCGTCTTTTGATGTGTTCAAATCAATATTTATGTAAGATGGGTGGACCATGGAGGCTATGCTAATTGTAAGGCCGATTATTACAAAGCCCTATAGTTGACAAATTTCTTGTACTCACACCAACATCCATCGTTAGTTTTTAGTTGTAGGGGAAGTCGGGTTTTTGAATTGTACCAACTCAATATTTACCAAAATGTAAAACATTTCTAACGCCACCTGGAACATTTTGGCCTTACAAGAAAAGGACCTATTTTGCTGGACACATTTTTTTATTTCATTACAAAGGTTACTGGTAATTTATTTGATTTATAGTTGGATTGTTTTTAAAGCATTTCACGAATATATTCTTAGTTTTAGGATGGTGTTCAAGTAATATTCCTTGAGTGTTTTTTTATGACAATATATTCATAATCACCTTAATGAAAGACCTTTATATGCAGTTTGAGATATACAGGGTGACTTCGAAGTTGAGTCAGTGAGTAGATCTGATCAAAAGAAATGTTTTTTTCCTATAACATGTTTGTGGTAAAATTAAAGTAACAAAGTTATAGCCCTTCAGAAGTTTGAGTACCAATAATAATATTATGTGCTCGTGTTTGGCAACAACGGATATAATCCGCCTTATCGGTTCATCGCATCGGAAACAAAAAAGCGAAAGAATTTGAAGCGCTTATCACGATGTTTTTACTACAATTTTATTCAGTTGTATTCAGTCAATGTGTCAGTCGGTAACGCGTGAGTGAATAGTGGTGTTTGTTGCGGGGCTCAAACGAAATAAAAAATGGCACATGTTTACGAAAATGCTGAACTTGTGGACATGATTCTCATTTGCGGGGGGGAGTCTTTACAAAATGCTGCCGCGGCATCACGGATTTATGCGGATCGGTTTCCCAATCGAGTGCAACCAACCCCTCGTGCCTTTGTTAATGTAGTACAAAGGGCTCGTGAATCAGGTGACTTAAGACCTCACAGGGGAGGGCATGCCGGTGCTCCAAGACCGCACGATCAAATACAGGTCCGCACTGAAATACTTGTCTGGAGGATACTTTATAAAACAAAGTAGCTTTTTTTTTATTTTTTTTATTTTTACACACATATTTTGGTTTATCTTCCTTCTACAATCATCTGAAAATTAATGACTCAACTTTAAAGTCACCCTGTATAAGCAGATTTGATCACAAAGAGGGAAATACAACTAGAAACCACCAACAAGAGCCAGCAGGCACGTTTGTGTCTTTGGTCAGAAGACCTCGTGTTTACGAGATATCAACCCACGTCGCCACGAGCTCTTCTCCGAAGCCATGTGCCTGCTGGCTCTTGTTTTTCTTCAGGTTACACCCGTATCCAGATGTGATGGGTATATGTTTTCCATAAACATCCATTTAGGCTTGATGAAGGTAATAAGTAGAAACGTACATAGCTCGTGTTAGCAATTTTATTTCTGCTCCTATTCCTTTATTTCCTCGTGAAAGAATAATAACTGTTTATGGTCCACCCACCTTTCATTGACTTGATAGACTTTAGCAAGTGTAATATTGTTAAGAGCGCATGAAAAGACACACTTTCCGGACATGAATTGACTGTATTGTATACTTCTATTGGTCTAACGCGGATATTTCCTGGAATATAAGGCAGTTTGTCGTTGTTATGGCGACTTGGGCCCAGTAGCATTGGCAACGGCCAACTGGTCCGAGTCCCTCGTCGAGGCCCCGTGCTCCAGAGCCTCGCCTGCACCCTGGAAGAACCTGTCAGCGTCACACATCAAGTTCGCACTGTTACAGCAGTGTCCCGTGTGGTCACTAGAGGGCGCGCTACCAGACGCGGCTGTGCCGCCTCCACTCCCATTAGTCGAAGGAGTGTTCCCCTGACCCCCTTGAGGACTCGACTCTTCCATCAGAATGATCGCCCCTGGCTCTCCACCGCCAGGATGGGTGATCATGCTGAAATCCTCCTGGTCGAAGGTTAGAAGTGGAGTGCTCCATCGAGGTATACCGCTAGAACGCGGAGTGCCTACAATTAGGGAATCAAGTTCGAGGTGCTACTGCTCTACAAGCTGTCCCAGAATGTGTCGTCATTCTTTCGATAAATTTAAGCAGCAAGCTGCGTTCTCATAGGACAAAAAACGACAACGTGGCACGCTGTCGTGACTCTTGCCTTGACCGGTGGAAAGTGAACCCGTTTACACGATCACGATTCAGATTTCTTAAAGCCGACTATGGAGCAGCTTCTGGTTAAAAACTGTGCGCTTTTGAGTTCAGATCTTGGTGATATGTTAGAGGGAAGTTTGAAAAATCGTTTTTGAGTCAGAAAGTGGTCACCTGCCAGAAGAAACAGGGAAACATAGTTTGGCAGACGCTGCAATAAGTAATGAACACCCTTACTTTAAAAGTATGCTACCATTGTCTAAAGATTACACCATACATTTCCAAGTCAGTCACCAACATTAGGATCTGCCTCGTTCTCGACTGTCGTGGCAACACCTGAAGATCAAACGTTTTTAATATCGAGCGTGGGTGATGGTGCACTTTTTACCCTCCTGATGTCGGAGGTAAACTCACGACATCACATTCAGACGTATACAATTTCACGAATGCGAGAATCACGGTAGCGTGCCATGGTCCTTGAGAATCCAGCTTTACTTTTTTATTCTATGTGAAACCGGCAGATTGACTACAAATTTTGAGACGCCCTGTGAGTGCAACATGTCTTGTTCGAATGAGCCCAGATTTCACTATTCTGATCTGAATTTGCGTCTTCCGCACAAATTGGACCAATAAGAAGGCGTCTTTGAAGTAATGGATCTAATGAATTTCGTCGATTTCTTGTAAAATGTTTCTCAAACTAGAGAAAAATTATAAAATTTGTGTAAGATCCAGCTGCAAAAGCCTATTTTCATTTGGGACGCACGCACATTCCACCCATCGAAAAGATACTAAGTGACATATAAAATGCAACATCCAGAATTAAAGGGTTGTCCAATAGGGACGCAGGAAAGTAAACGTCAATTTGACATAGACGCCATCTTTGTTTTCTGTCACCGACATGTCATTGTGCTAGTTGAATGTTTACCATTGATCGCTATGGAGTCGTATTCGATTGAAGACCGCATTAAAGTTATTCAAGAGCACTACAAAAATGGTGCAAAAATAAAAAACACGTTTCGCGCGCTTCGTGAACATTTCGGTCGCAACAACCGCCCAAACGAAACAGCCATCGGTCGTCTGGTGCGTAAATTCGAGGCAACAGGTTCTGTGGCAAATCTGCCAGGCTCTGGCCGGCCAAGGAAGCGTTCGCACACCGGAAAATATTGCTGTTGTGAAGGAGAGTGTGAGAGGCGATCCGAAACAATCAACAACGCGTCGATCCCAAGAATTGGGCATTTCGAGAACCAGTTTGCTCCGCATTCTCCACAAGGATTTGAATGTACACGCCTACAAGATCCAATTGACGCAAGAGCTGCGTCGGGCCGGCCATTTTTCGCGCCGAACGTTCTCAGATTGGCTCCTTGAACACCGCCAAATTGATGCCAATTTTTCATCAAAAATCATGTTCAGCGACGAAGCGCATTTCACTTTGAATGGGACGGTAAACAAGCAAAACTGCCGCATCTGGGCGAACGAAAATCCCCGTGAGTATCAAGAGCAGCCGATGCATCCTCAAAAAGAGACTGTGTGGTGTGCATTGTGGTCAAAAGGCATCATCGGACCGTACTTTTTCGAAAATGCGGCCGGGGACGCCGTTACCGTCAATTCTGAGCGATATCACGTGATGACAGAGGACTATTTTTTGCCGCAACTTGAAGGAATGGATATGGACGATGTTTATTTCCAACAAGACGGTGCAACATGCCACACAACCAACGTCAATATCCATCGATTGCAGTCCTTCTTCGGTGATCGCGTGATTTCGCGCAGAGGAAATGTGCCATGGCCACCAAGATCGTGCGATTTGACTCCCTTGGACTTCTTTTTATAGGGATATTTGAAAAGCAAAGTCTACGTCAACAAACCAGCCACCCTTCAAGAACTCAAAAACAACATCATTGCCGAGATAAATGCCATAGAACCGACCATGTTGCAAAATGTCATTGAAAATTTCGACCATCGCGTGGACGTCTGTAAATCCAGTCGCGGTGAACATTTGAGCGATATTATTTTTCATACATAAATGGTATAAATGAACCTTCAAAATAAAGTACCCAACTTGATTTGAATATCTAACTTTCTTGTTTTAATATGCGTTTACTTTCCTGCGTCAACCCCATATTTATTGAATTTTGATAAACGTGTTTGCTATCATGGAAGTATACGCTGCTAAAATGTTGAAGGCTTTCCGAGCCATACATTTTTGTAAATGCTTTTTTGTCATATGAGGATCCGAATAATATGAACATATTTACTTAATATCCAGTGATTTTTCGTGTTGGTTCCGTTTGTTTCATTGTTGTGTCATTGCATTATCATGCCTAGAGTTCGCAGAGTTTCACTTCACTTTCAGAGTTTCAGAAGGGTCCTTGAAGCCGGATCTCCTTTTATACCCTCTCCAGACCCACGCGCGGATCACGCAAGAAATCGCCGCGCGGATCTCGGTGCGAATCCCGAAAACTTTTGACGGTAAGGACGGTGAAACTGCTACTGCGGCTGCAGGGCTACTTTGCGCTTTGGCAATTTATAATTACGTATATACAAGTAAAACTAAGACAATTGAAAAGTAGTGGAAATAAGCGACCACGACAATTAACGGGAATGAAAAAACATGTTTTTATAGCTAAACCAAATAACGTATAAGGTGTTTCTTCTTCATTAGTCGAATTGTGCAAAAGTCGCAAATTCTGCACACTTGATTAGTGAAATCGGGCCTAATATCTTAAATAAAAAATATTTCATTACATTGGAGAGACGATCGTATGTTTGTGTATTTTAGATACTTACCTCTCGACGTAGTCACGTTGGGCGAGTACATACTGAGGTTGGTAGGACTGATAACACCAGACATCCCCGTCATACTGGGGTAACTGAAAAGCTGAAAATAGGCACATGTTAGAATTTGTTCGTTTGTTCTGAACGATTATATTCTGCTGTCCTAAGAAAGACCACCGTATTTTCAAAAAAGATGTTAACCACTCATCTACTGAGATTTCCTCATATACGGTGGATTTATACTACAACAAATTAGATAGACAGAGAATATAATAAAGAGATGATAAAAGCATGATCACACATTTTGTGTAGGTACTACAATGACTTATTCAAAATATGCATAATTCAACGACCCTATGATGTGACATGTGGGATGTGCAGATTGATTACTTGAGCAGTTATGACATGATGGAAATTTTATAAAGGCACTAAGAAGAATTTAGCTGGATTACTTATTTAAAACAATAACGTTTTCAACGTGTACTGGTGTGCTCAATAAGAATATACGTAACCTACAGCGTGGTGCAAAGCTAATGCTTATTATGTATTACTATATATATTTGAAGTAGCCAGCCATCTCTCCCGATTTGGCCCCTTGCGATTTTTTTCTATGGGGTTTTTGGACAAAATCATGCGTCAGAAATCCGTTTACTCAGTGTATGGAGAATTTGGACGTCACCTTTTTGCGAGATTTCGAGCTACATGACTGCGATTTCGATATAGATGTTGTCTTTCTAGTGAGTAGTGTTTCTTATCAGATTGATGTAATCGTAGTTATTCAAATATCCCCCAGGGAAAACTCGGTGAATTTGAAGGCCAATTCGCCAAATAATATGGTTCTCAAAGACTACCTTTCAGGAACCGAAGGGTATGCAGTAGTTTCATATTGTCGAAACCACAGATTTGGATAGTAATGAAAACTGGGTTTTGTTACAAATTCTCACGTCAAGTCTCAGTATTATTCAGCGTTTTCCAACAATACGAAGATTTAGTGTTGCCAAACATTGGAGTTAGATGGCTTATTCTTGGTAATGAAAGTTCACAAGCCTTAATTAATTGAAGCTGCGACGATATGCACCCTGAGATAAACAGCTGATCTTGAATTTAAAAAAAATTAAATACGTCTATCTTTATTATTTCATTCAAATTGAGACACTTCATATCAAATTTCCCAAGTCGTCTCTACTGAATCCAAAAAAATAAACAGAAAATTTTGAAAATCGGACGCGTTATACGAGGGTGGTTCGAAAAGTTTCCGACATAACAAAGATATGAGGCATTTTTTCTGTTTTTTTTTTAAATTTTTTAACATAGTCTCCTTGTAGCTCTACACACTTCCCGTATAAATAGTTCTCGGCGTTTTTATCTCCAAAATAATTGTTCACGAAGGCGATTGCCGTTAATTATGAGAAAACTGATTAACCTTTAAGAGAGTTAATATGCACCATTACGAAATGCTGATAATTTGAAAAATGTCACAAGCTAGAGCTGCTACACAAACACTAATGTGATTTCTTAAATACGCACACCATAATGCATTAAATGTGAGAAACATATTTTGAATTAGTTACTTGTTGGGCAGTGTAATAGGCTATTTGGCTCACATCTAATTTCATAGAATAAACGGGTATTGCTTACGATTTTTAAAAGCGCAAGATGGATCTATAAGTCCAATTTAAAAAGGATATTTTCAATGTTTAATCTGAAACGGCGAAAACACCATCGGCTATGATGTGACGTCATCCAAATTGTAAACAAAGAAACGTCATCCGCATGTTACTCGTGGACTATGTCTTCTTTAAATGTTTCAAAACAACTCCTGAACATTATCATTTTTTTGTTTTATTGAAAAAAACAATAATGGACGTCCGATTCGTAAAAGCAGAAAGCACAAATTTGTCGAAAATTGACACATCGATGGTTGCTTTCAGCCCATATTTTTCTGCTTTGCTAAGCTGAGGAACGTCAAGACTTCTTTTTAAGTATTTGATATGATAATAGACATAAACAGAAAGAAGAAGTAATACACTTAGCATTATCTTCCTTTTCATAAGTCATCCAAAATGAGAGAATAAAATATGCACAGTAAAATGTAAAATATGTCCCGAACATAAGGTATGCACCAAGCAATACACAGTGTTGCGTGTATTTGTTTCCCTGGGTACCCTAATCCGCGACTTTCCTGAGGTCTTTATCGATGTTTTTTTACATACAATAACCATATTAATATATTTTTCATGTGTTTACATGTGTTAGTCATTTTTTAAAGGTTTGAGAGGTTATGCTGCTGTCAGCTGCTGTTTACAGATGGTATGACGTCATAGCACATTGATATAGCTTACAGCGTTTTCTCCTGTCTAAGAAAAATATATTTGTAAATTGAAATTTTACGTTCTTTTAGGTCTGAAAAAATACAGGGTGTCCGTAAAGTTGGGGTTTTCTTTTACACGACGTGTAGATCTTGAAAACATAAGCAATTTTTCTTAGTACCATATACACCAATGTCTTAAGGGAACCGAGATAAAGGGCCCTGCAACAAATAAAAATATCTGAATACCGTCCTGTAGCCGCGACCCGCGACATCACCGAGTGGTACAAAGTCACTGGCTCAACCCGACGACAGAACTGGGTCGGGGTCAGTGTGTCAGGTCAGTATGCAACCTTCAACCGAGGGTTACGGTCACGCGTGTAGAGGTAATCGCGTAGACGAGAATCCCTCAACAAGCACTAGAGGCGTGGCTAGAGAAGTGCAAGTATCAAAAACTAAAGTGTGGCAAACGCTGCGTGAAGAGGGGCTGTATCCGTTTCACGTCCAACGTGTACAAGCCCTTCAACCTGACGATTTTCCAGCAAGAGTGCGGTTTTGTGAGTGGTTGTTGCATCAACATGACAATAATCCGGACTTTTTGAAGTGCATATTGGTGACAGACGAATCTACGTTCACGCGTAATGGGGTGAATAACTTTCGCAACACTCATGTTTGGTCAGTAGAAAATCCGCACGCTGTCCGTCGGGCACATTTTCAACAAACATTTTCGGTGAATGTTTGGGCTGGCATGGTGAACGGTATGCTCATTGGACCCTTTATTCTCCCAAATCGATTGGACCAATACCTTGACTTTTTACGCAACATTTTGCCTTCCTTGTTAGAAGATGTGCCATTAAGTGTAAGACAATCAATGTGGTTTCTGCACGATGGTGCACCGCCCCATTTTAGACGCGAAGTGCGTAAGTTTTTGAATGAATTATTTCCGAATAGGTGGATCGGACGTAATGGACCCGTAGCGTGGCCTCCGCGATCTCCAGACTTAACACCATGTGATTTTTTTCTTTGAGGAGAAATGAAACGCTTAGTGTACAAAACTGAAGTGCATACGGTTGACGAACTTCGTCTCAGAATTGAACAGCTGGTGCTTTCATTCGGGGGAGGGACTCCATTCTCAAAACCTGCACCGATGCATGGCTACGTCGTGCACGCACCTGTGTTTCTGAATCAAACGGCGATAACTTCGAACAATACCTATAAAGTACGTTTAACTAAAAACTGAAAACGCGGCAACGCCGTCATATTTGTTACCTCTGTTCGTGGTCTGCACCACCGCCTGCGTCTGCTCGGTAGCGCATCAGCTGATTTCATTTTCTGTTGGAGCGGTATGATTTCGGGCAGAGACGTACTTAGCCCTTCTCGTCAACTGGAGAGTGAGTACTTTTTCCATATTTTTTTTTTACTTAGTCGCCCTCGTTTCACTACACATTACCTTTGTTATTTCAAGGGTAGTTGTTTCTGAAAAGGAAAACCCCAACTTTGCGGACACCCCGGATAATATTATTTTTTTTATGGCCTACTTAAAATAGTGTCAACTAGCCTATCGTGTATTCGCTCATAATTCAAAACCAATCTAACCTCGTTTTGTAATAAAGAAAAATACGTAAAAGGTAAATTCTTGTATCGTATGTATAGGATATGTATATATCAATTTTGAGAATGAGGAGTGTTCCTTAGGACAACAGCGTTCACTACCAACATGTCCTGCGGGCTGTCCATGGAAATGGTTAAACGTATAGTCCCTGGTTGGGGAGTACGGACTGCTGGTAGGTACTGAATTTCTGAGCGAGGGTGACTTCTTTCCCGTGCCGGCGGTGGCTGTGGTGGGGCTTAATGGTGGAGATGAGGCAATGTCTGGTACCTCGTCGGCAGGGGACGTCTCGCCAGCGCCACAGGGCGGAGTGATCGTACCGGCCGTCGGTTGCCCCTGATTTGGGGGCGGCGAACCTCCCGAGCCCATGGCGACGTCGCTCGTCGAACGGATTATGGCCACGGGCCGGGCCATTGGGGGCAGAGGCGGCGGGGGGAGCATGGACGGGAAGTACTGCCCCTTCGGGCTGCGAGACAACGGGGAAGACTGCATCTGAAACAACAACACCAGCATATTACGCTCTTAGACCACTCTCTATGCATACCATACATTTGTCACATACTTGTACTGTACATCTACGTATTGCATTTCGTCTAAAATATACTAAATGACATAGAAAATGCAACAGCGACTTGGAGTGAGTAATTTTGAGCATACCTTTAGGTCTACTGATAAATAGTGTGATTAAAATTTTAACTCGCAAAATAGCCGAGATATCCCACATTGATATTAACAATGTGTTGAAGTTCCTGTGTTCGCTACACATTCGTTAAGTCGTCGCGACATTGATTGGATCAAGTGATTGATGTCTTTTTGGTGTATTGTATCTCAGGTCTTCTGAATTTGGTTTCCTAGAGCCTTCATTGCTTGTGGAGGGTGCGGGGAATTTTGTAGCCTTCTTTCCATCGTGTTCCATACAATGGGGAAAAGGTCTGGAGATCGAGGAGGCTACTGAAGCAGATTTACTCCGTCTAAAAAGTCTACATGAGGTTTGTGCTGCTGGGTCTTCCAATGTTTCCAAAGAGGAAAGCAGATGTGGTTGTAAAACTTCGTGGGCATAGTCATGCTACCTCGAATGCACACTAATCATGACACCCACAGTGCAATGAATATGCCGTACGATGGAAAATTCATCACATCTCAAACAGAATCTGGACTCATCGCTGAACACGACTGGGTTCCATTCCATATTCCATTCAGATCTCTCTCGCTCTCTCTCAATTATGGGTGTTGCATTTTATATGTCACTTAGTATATGTTGCTTCATTTTACACTTGGTTAATTTGGGGCGATCCACTGTCTTCGCTGCTATTCAACATTGTGCTCGAGAAAAATATGCAGGAAGCAAACATAAACACATACAGAAAGCATCAATAACTAGCATTTGCTGGTGACCTGGCTAGGAGTAAAGTCGAACTTATAGACACCGTAAAGAGACTCGAAGAAAACGCACGATCCAAAGGACTGTACATTAATGTAGAAAAGACAAGATACATGGAATGGGCAGATAAAGAACCGCACTTAATAATGACAAGGGGAAATCTATGAGTTTGGACAGGTACATCCCTTTGACTACTTGGGTACAGTACTTACATCAAAGCCGAGTAAATCGTGCCATATATACCCTAAAATGACTACTGAGAATCAAAATTATATCCAGAGGAGCTAAAATCAGGATCTACAAAACACTAATAGGGGCAGTGGTTACGTATGCATGAGAAACACGGAAGACCGAGCAAAGCTAGAGATATGGGAACGGGAGGTGTTAAGAAAGATTTTTGGTGGCCAAATGTTACGTGGACACGAAGATAAATGATTAGTTGAAAGAACTGTTTGAAGAGCCAAATATAACGGCGGTCATAAAAGCTCAGACGTTGAGATGGTTGGGACACGTGCAAAGAATGGCAGAACATAGAGTATCAAAGACACTGCTTATCCAGTCAATAGGAGGCAGACCAAGGACGAGGTGGAAAACTGAGGGTTAAGAGGACCTGAGAAAATTAAACATAAATGTCTGGGGAAGGACAGCAATTAAAGGAGAAGGCCTGTAATGCTAGCTTATATACTTCGAAGTTGAGTCATATAATTTAACAGTGAGTAGATCTGATCAAAAGAAATGTTTCTTTCCTTTAACATTTTTCTGGTAAAATTAAGGTAACAAAGTTATAGCCCTTTAGAAGTTTGAGTACCGCCCTGTCTCAATAATAATATTATGTGCTCGTGTTTGGCAACAACGGATATAATCCGCCTTATCCGTTCATCGCATCGGAAACAAAAAAGCGAAAGAATTTGAAACGATGTTTTTACTACAATGTACAATTTTATTCAGTTGTTTTCATCAATGTGTCAGTCGATAACGCGTGGGTGAATAGTGGTGTTTGTTGCGTGGCTCAAACGAAATAAAAAATGCACATGTTTACGAAAATGCTGAACTTGTGGACATGATTCTTAGTCTTTATGCGGATCGGTTTCCCAATCGAGTGCAACCAACCCCTCGTGCCTTTGTTAATGTAGTACAAAGGGCTCGTGAATCAGGTGACTTTAGACCTCACAGGGGAGGGCATGCCGGTGCTCCAAGACCTCATGATCAAATACAGGTCCGCACTGAAATACTTGTCGGGAGGATACTTTATAAAACAAGGTAACATTTTTTTTTATTTTTACACACATATTTTTTTATCTTCCTTCTACAATCATTATCTGAAAATTAATGACTCAACTTCAAAGTCACCCTGTATAATTTGGAGCGCTAAATGTGTGACCATTGTAGAGCCACGTCTCAAGAATACGACGAGATACCCAAAAATAACCGGAATAGCATTGCAGTGGGAGGAGCTTGTGTAGTACCTACACATCTCTGCCCCTAGAGGCATTACCAGTTCAGTGCCACGTGAGTTGTCGATCTGGCTTGTTTAGTTTCTCTGTAGTTATTATTTTTGATAGAGCTGTTTCGTGCTTGTTTCGTTTTTTACAATGGCAAACTTCAGTGAGCAACGTGCAGCTGTGAAATTTTGCTTTTTGATTGGTAAAAATGCCGATGAAAGTGACGAGTATTCAAACTTATCATTAGGAAGTAATAATCCAGCGATGCTACCAAAAAAATAGTGTCGCCCAAATTAAAGGATTTCCTTAAATAAAATCTGCCTACCTATTGACCTTAATGTTTTGCGTCTAGTGGGTTTCATTATAGACTTGAAACAGAAAAATAGTGATGGTGGTTTGGAATACCTACATTCCAATGCAAAAATTTCATAAATGCCATCAACTTGAAATTTGAATTATTAATAAGGCCGCAAACCCCACTAATATACCCTGATCTTCTTTCTGTACCTGTGTCTTGCCATATTCTTTTTAGTTTGTATTATTTAGCAAAAAGTATGTGATAAATGTTTCAATTGAAATGTATATATAAGATAAAAAAAAACACATACACTATATACCTGTGCGTTTTGATTACTATCTGTTTCTTGACAAACAAAGGTAACAAAGTCAGAGAGAGTGTCGTGCCCATTTTCTGGATATTTTACTTGATTCTGGTGTTGGTGGTGAGAATCTGGACTATGCTGATAAAATAAGGTACCTGGACTGGCTTGTGAACTGGAAGACACTAACGTTGTATTTTGAGGCATTGCTGAAACAGGATATTGTGTTTAAACTAAATAAGTAAGATAATTAGAAAAGGCATTACGACCATTAAGATCACTAAGGCGCCAAAAACAAAAAGCTCTTTACTGCAGTGCTTAGGTAAGAGGCAGTAAACCTCATTTTCTGTTTTTTTTTTTAATTTTGAAGGCAATACATTTTTTTATAATTACAATTGCAAAATATATTGATCAAATTGTTTAACAAAAATAGTTATTTTTTCACTTTGTCGAATATTTCATATTAATTGCATTTACTAGGCATAAAAGCAGTAAATCAATATATCAAAGTAAGAAACTATACTGCTTTTACGTTCTGCTTACCGTTTATCACCTATTACGATATTTATTAAGTTTTTTTCATGTAATAAATCTGTTATTTGTGAATAAGTATGTATCGTTATAAATAATTACTTTTGCTCCGAAATGATAATTTTGAAAAATATTCTTCGATCAAGTTAACATTTTGGCTGACGTCGTAATGTGTACGAGAGAGAAGCGCTCTGGTTGCTAGGCAACGAAATGCGTCTATCTCTTTCTAACACATGTACTGCTCGGTTCTCTCTCACACACATTACGAGGTGGTATATGGATTTCACTGTATAAGAAAACATGCTGTTTTGAGTTTATATTATCCGGAAAGTTGGTGTTATCCAAGAGATATTGGGCTCCGCAATCTCAATTAAACCTGAACCAAGCCGAAGCCGGTCCTGTCCTATCCCTAGGTCACGTCCACAGCGCCAGCGCCATAGTAAAGTTATACGACGTACGACTACGGTGTAAATACGGATTTTACGACAGAGCCGTACTTGGAATTTCAATTCAAATAGAACAGCCAGTACTTTTTCATTTTTTTTTGGAAGGAAAAGGAAAACTCCAACTTTGCGGAACCCTGTATAATTATTTTTGTTGAATGTGATTATTAAATGTAATCATATAATTATTATGAAATTGAATTATTAGATGACTTCTGTGCTAATTATGTGAACTTGAATGAATATGTATTAAATAAAATAACATCTTGCATTATTGCGTTTTTCATTTGAAAGTTTAATATAAATATATTATGAGAACAACGAACAGTGGCAGTGAATTTGTTTTTGCAGAGTATAAAAGCAGTAAATCACATGTTCCTCCATTTTGATTTACGACAATTAAAGACGGAATATCATTTATTTTAGGCCTTGACAACAATTATGATCCGAAATCACATTTAACTGATTCTCTATAAAGTACTTGTAATAATGATTCTCTTTTGAGTGTACTTATTTGGGCCGAAAAAAAAAAACAGAATTTTGAGTTCAATTTTCGAAAAGCCGCTCCACACTCACGCAATAATCTCGGCGAGAACTTCTTTGGGTCCACACTCACAAGGTTCTCAATACAGTTCTCGATGTCGATGGACGTAGGATTAATTGTCGCCCGATTTCTTGACTTTATTTTTATACCCTCTGTAGCTGGCTTTTTGATTCTTCAATGGGTAATTCCATCAAGGTACTAAAGGTACTAATACGTTTCCACGCAACGTGGGCTTTTAGTTTATTTTTTTTAACCGGTTCTGCTTGAAAATATATATATATACATATATATATAGTATTCATAGTTAATTGCCTTAGCTGTTAGGAGAAAATATCTTTGAATTTCTTTGGGTAGAAGGCAAAATATTGCAAAAGTACATTCTTATAACTTAAACTCAAGCTTTTGAAGATTTATGTCTTCATCGTCTGGAGCTGGAAACAATTATTGACAATTAACAATTAGGAGGAAAAATAGTTACTTACTAAGTCAGCGAGATTGTTGCTGAAATTGTTTTTAAACAACAGTGAAGGGAACACATAATCGACGAATAAAAAACTGGACTGATGAGGTTCGATTAGGACGGAATTATTTTATTATTAAATGGCAAATTATAGCTATGTTTTCTTCCAAAATCAATCAACTTTTAAGGAAAAAACCCTTTCAAAAATAAAAAAAAACATAGCTATGATTTGCCATTTAATAATAAAATAATTCCGTCCTAATCGAACCTCATCAGTCCAGTTTTTTATTCGTCGACTATGTGTTCCCTTCACTGTTGTTTAAAAACAATTTCAGCAACAATCTCGCCGACTTAGTAACTATTATTCCTCCTAATTGTTAATTGTTGCTATTGTCAATAATTGTTTCCAGCTCCAGACGATGAAGACATAGATCTTCGAAAGCTTGAGTTATATATATATATGTTCAACTGTTCTGATAGGCGAGTCACCTGCCACTGCGAAACATGCGAGTGTGGAGTCAACACAAGTTCTCATCTGTTCTCGCGTTTTCAGCTCTCGCGCCAAAAAAACCGACAAGAAATGGGGGAACAAGCCGAGAACTTGCCAAGATTATAAACATGCGTTCCACATTGACATATCTCATGTTTTTCTCGCGTGAGTGTGGATAAGCTTTTAGACTTAGATTCTTACATTCTATTGCCTTTTACCTTAGTGCAGTATATATTTGTTTTTGAAAAAAAATGGTTTGTACTTACAGTATGTGGCTGAAACTACCATCGTATCTACTGAGGACGACCTGTCTACAATGACAGGTCCTTGCTCGGAATAGCTATTACAGTAAAATGCAGGGTGTTCTAACTTAACGTTGTTCATATTAGGTTGTGGATCCGATAGCTCATGTAAGATGGATGCTAAAATATTCAAAAATTAGTCAACAGTCCAACGAAATTTAAGCAAGTATTTACATTTTGATAATTTCCATAATTCCTTTGACGAAAATACTCCAGTAGCTAGTATTATGTCATTACATACCACTCCGTTATATGGATTGTGGGTGTATCCTGTAACTGGAAATAATTTCTTTTAGGTCAAACATGAACTATTTTCAAGTAGTCTAAGGGTCAAATCACAGAAGCGATTTTTTTTGTTATATCTAAGTGTACGTTATTTACAACAACAACAACATGAATTTGACTTTAATACTGTTAACTGCAAGAGCTGTCAATATTTCTCTTTTATGGTTTTTCCCTTATGTTGCTGAAGCCGAAATTTTATTCCAATTTTTTTGCATGGAAGACATTGCCTGGTTGTTTTAATAATATTCGTATCATATTTATTTTTCTTTATTAAACGAAATTGTTGCCAATTACTATACACTACAAATTGGAAGAAAACACACCTTTGGTTTTTCGTTCATCCTCCTTTTTGTTGTTATTGTAACACACCCCACTCAAGATTTCTGGAACAAATAAAAATTTTTAAAGGTATTTCGAATTTACAATAATGATCGAATTTAATTCCAGAACTGAACCTTGAGGGCATTCACTTTGAACTTCAGAATCATACTCGCTATAGGCAACAGCATATTATTATTCACATTGTATAAAATATAATTTCAAGTAGATTATGGATAAAGTGATAACCTGTATGAGATATATACTGAGTGACAACAAGTGATAACATGGTCAGGTTTTTCTGTTGGGTGCGTGTATTGTTTGGTGATGAAGAAGCATTCAGTTTTCGTACATTTACCGTGTCAGTTCTGGACGTCCCAGAGACCGACAAGACCGCCGGTTAAGGCTTCTGGCTCTGAGAGACAGATTCAGTAGGTCTTCCTCAGCGATCGGTCATTGCCACGACATTGTTCCTCGTACGTAGCAACGACCTCCTTTCCTGCACGATCAATCCGATCCCCAGCTTTGCCGATAACAGCACTCTACATGCAGCAATTCAAAGTGACAAGCCGATCTCTGCCGTTGACATGGAGTAAAGAAGATTAGTAGCGATTTCCTCATCTGGAGGTTATCGCTGCTTGGGGACGCAGTCTAAAGTTAAAACGTAGTACTGCACCTTGATTAACAAGAAGTGCCGTAGCGCTCATCCAGAGTTTCGATGGATGGGTTTCACCAAAGAGTCATCTATTTTGGCTGGGCGAAGTCCAGATCACCGAGGACTTGATCTGACACGAACACGTCTCATCAATCACGGCAGCTGCTGGGAAAAAGTTAGGCTATTTTGTTTAGGGCTAGAATTAGAAGATCTCCACGTAATCTCCTCACTTTGTATAAGACGTAGTCTTCTGGATCCGATGTGTTGTCAAATTGTAGGTTATGTATATTGTTAGTTAGTTGTCAATAACAGCTGATTATCTAGTAATATTCCAAAATTTCCTATGCCGATAAGTGACACACACTTTTGAGGGATCCGTCTGGGGACCCGTCAATTCCAGGTAGACAGAGCCACATTTTGTTCTGTTTTTTTGTTCACTACGGATTCATTTTGTATTTGCTAACAAAAAATAAATATGGCCTTGAGTTTTACAGACTAATACAAAGATGTGACTTGCTGATCAGCTCTTCACCAATCAAAACGTAATGGATACTCGTGAAATATAGGGGTGTAGGCTAGGTGTTTTGTCAGTTAGCAATCAGTTTTGATGTCTAGCTAATTCAATATGTTGATCATTTGATCAGCTGTGACTTGCTGCCCTTATGCAAGCCTCCATCCTATGATTTCCCAGAGAAGCTTTGCAGATGGGCGGCTGGCTAACTTCCTTCTTGGCCGCAATGTCAGTGCGGGTCTTCCTCAGGGATCGGTCATTGCCACGACATTGTTCCTCGTACGTAGCAACGACCTCCTTTCCTGTACGATCAATCCGATCCCCAGCTTTGCCGATAACAGCACTCTACATGCAGCAATTCAAAGTGACAAGCCGATCTCTGCCGTTGACATGGAGTGAAGAAGATTAGTAGCGATTTCCTCATCTGGAGGTTATCACTGCTTGGGGACGCAGTCTAAAGTTAAAACGTAGTACTGCACCTTGATTAACAAGAAGTGCCGTAGCGCTCATCCAGAGTTTCGATGGATGGGTTTCACCAAAGAGTCATCTATTTTGGCTGGACGAAGTCCAGATCACCGAGGACTTGATCTGACACGAACACGTCTCATCAATCACGGCAGCTGCTGGGAAAAAGTTAGGCTATTTTGTTTAGGGCTAGAATTAGAAGATCTCCACGTAATCTCCTCACTTTGTATAAGACGTAGTCTTCTGGATCCGATGTGTTGTCAAATTGTAGGTTATGTATATTGTTAGTTAGTTGTCAATAACAGCTGATTATCTAGTAATATTCCAAAATTTCCTATGCCGAAAAGTGACACACACTTTCGAGGGACCGGTCTGGGGACCCGTCAACTCCAGGTAGACAGAGCCATATTTTGTTCTGTTTTTTTTGTTCACTACGGATTCATTTTGTATTTGCTAACAAAAAATAAATATGGCCTTGAGTTTTACAGACTAATACAAAGATGTCACTTGCTGATCAGCTGTTCACCTTAGTAGACGTCAAAACGTAATTGATATTCGTGAAATAGGGTGTAGGCTAGGTATTATGTCAGTTAGCAATCAGTTTTGATGTCTAGCTAATTCAATATGTCGATCATTTGATCAGCTGTGGCTTGCTGCCCTTATGCAAGCCTCCATCCTATGATTTCCCAGAGAAGCTTTGCAGATGGGCGGCTGGCTAACTTCCTCTCTGGCCGCAATGTTAGTGCGGGTCTTCCTCAGCGATCGGTCATTGCCACGACATTGTTCCTCGTACGTAGCAACGACCTCCTTTCCTGTACGATCAATCCGATCCCCAGCTTTGCCGATAACAGCACTCTACATGCAGCAATTCAAAGTGACAAGCCGATCTCTGCCGTTGAGATGGAGTAAAGAAGACCAGTAGCGATTTCCTCATCTGGAGCTTATCACTGCTTGGGGACGCAGTCTAAAGTTAAAACGTAGTACTGCACCTTGATTAACAAGAAGTGCCGTAGCGCTCATCCAGAGTTTCGATGGATGGGTTTCACCAAAGAGTCATCTATTTTGGCTGGACGAAGTCCAGATCACCGAGGACTTGATCTGACACGAACACGTCTCATCAATCACGGCAGCTGCTGGGAAAAAGTTAGGCTATTTTGTTTAGGGCTAGAATTAGAAGATCTCCACGTAATCTCCTCACTTTGTATAAGACGTAGTCTTCAGGATCCGATGTGTTGTCAAATTGTAGGTTATGTATATTGTTAGTCAGTTGTCAATAACAGCTGATTATCTAGTAATATTCCAAAATTTCCTATGCCGAAAAGTGACACACACTTTCGAGGGACCGGTCTGGGGACCCGTCAACTCCAGGTAGACAGAGCCATATTTTGTTCTGTTTTTTTTGTACACTACGGATTCATTTTGTATTTGCTAACAAAAAATAAGTATGGCCTTGAGTTTTACAGACTAATACAAAGATGTCACTTGCTGATCAGCTGTTCACCTTAGTAGACGTCAAAACGTAATGGATACTCGTGAAATAGGGTGTAGGCTAGGTGTTTTGTCAGTTAGCAATCAGATTTGATGTCTAGCTAATTCAATATGTTGACCGAAGTTTTGATGGTTATTGAGTTTTCTAGAAAGCGATCTTCACATACTACTAGGGTATATGAACGCATTTGAAGTTTTATGTCGAGGTTAAGTAAGTTTTGTGAGTTTTTGAAACGCGAAAAGGCGCGAAGTATTTTATTTCGACTGTGATAATATATTTTATTACTGTTCGTCTTCGCCATATGGCCACAACGGCACATGGATCTTTCTGTGTATGTGCCTGGTTGTATGAGCGAGATCGTAGGGAAGGTGCTAGTGAATTTTTAGTATGTTTTTCGTAGGTTTCGAATGTTTCTACGAACATTTCAGTTCTATTTAATTTTCTCTATTTATAAAATAGACAAATGTGTCCCAGTCGCAGCCCGCAGACCAGTCATCAAAAACATGATGCAGAGTTACTCAAAAAGTACAAGGTCATAGATAAAAGGTCACGTGGACCAGTATAAGCGCTATTTTCAACTAAATGGATTGCCGGACTGCTATTTTTTATCACTGACTTTTGGTCAGGTGCAGTGGGCGTGGTTTTACTAGCTAATTATAAAGCCTGGAGCATAAATAGATCTTGAACTTTACTTGAAATAATGCAAAGCGTCGATGAAACTATATTAAACCGCTTATTGAGGAAACATATTAAACCTAGGCCAGTATGTGAAAAAATGGCGTTTCTTTATACGAGGGATCATGGATCATAAGAGGTTTTTTTGGCCTTAAAACAAGTTGATCACATGTATGAAATTTTTGCATTTAACATATTTTAGAACATATGTATTTTAAAGCTTTCATCAAGATTTTCATGTTTGTTGTAGTACTTGATTGTTCTTTTAAAAGCCTAAGGTGCCCAAAATTGGAATTTTTGTCCAAAACTTCACACATTAAAAAACGGCGTCAAGTAGGTTGACTCTGCACAGAATAATCGGATCAAGTCAGCCAAACAGACTCATACACCTAAAATGTGCATATTTACCATGGTTTTTGTACAATTTTGGGGCTCTGAAAGATTTGGCGTCCTAAGAAAATGGCTATCCTTCGCTCTTCAAAAAGTTTTGGCGGCAGCTACGCTTTTACACAAAAGTTATCTCTTGTCGCTCGTCCCATGAAAAAAATTCCTGCGGGCGCATATGATCGAATCTATCTGTTCACATCCAGTCGAGCAGCCGAGGCTAACCGCTACATACATGCATCGGCTGGACCGTGAAGCGTATGATAGACTCGTGAAGGACGGAAATATTTCACCAGCATTCGAAGTACAGTACAGTAAATGTACGGGGGAAATCTATGATGAGTGAAACTTGTATAAAAGGAGCGTAGAATTACCACGGCAGAAGGCTTATAAGTAGACCACTGCCAAACAATTGAGATATACCCTCCCCCACCCTCCTAACGGGTCTTTTTTTTAGAGGTATAGAACTTTAAATTGCAATAAAACAACGATGGATTATTCGATTCACATGATTTTTTTTTATTCGAAAGATAATCTTGTGGCATTACATTTTAAATATGATTGCCACGACTGGCTCAGATGTAGTCCAATCTGGACGTCCAATTTTCGATTACTTTTTCCAACATTTGTGGCCGTATATCGGCAATAACATGGCGAATGTTGTCTTCCAAATGGTCAAGCGTTTGTGGCTTATTCGCATAGACCAATGACTTTACATAGCCCCACAGAAAATAGTCTAGCGGTGTTAAATCACAAGATCTTGGAGGCCATATCACAGGTCCAAAACGTGAAATTAGGCGGTCACCAAACGTGTCTTTCAATAAATCGATTGTAGTGCACCAAACAGTCAGTTTTTCTGGATGTAACGGTGTTTCGACATAGTCTT